AACTTTGAATTTCTGAGAAATTCCTTGCAAGATTGAACTACTAAAGTCGCATTTGGTACAAGAGAATTGCAGTTTAATATTGTTAACGTTGTTCAATTGAATTCAAGGATGATGTCAGTTGTCCAATAAGAGCATCTTTGTGCTTTTCCTTCATCATGGTGCTTTTCCTTTATTTTGAACCTTGAATTTCTGAATATTTCCTTGAAAGATTGAACTACTAAAGTCGCATTTGGTACAAAGTCGCATTTGGTACAAAGAATTGCAGTTTAATATTAATATTGTTGAATTGAATTCGAGAACGAGCCGTTGTCCAAGAACGAGCAGTTGTCCAATAATAAAAGTATCTTTCGAGCTCCCAATTACCGATTCCAATCTCTCAAAAACTTTTCAAAGGCTTCATCCGTCAACCTTCAAGTCTTGTTTGTTGCTTTATAATCAATGAATGAACAATGAACTTTAGTTTTAATATTTTAACCCATCATATCCTTTTTATATCTAGAAATCAGAGCTGAAAATTTGCCATAAATATTCAACAGATATCTCGATTTAAGTTTTTAAGTTCCCAATTGCCTTTAGAACCTAAAAATCTTTAGAAACCTTTAGAAATTCAAACCGATCACTCAATACCATTTTTAAGGATTGAACAAAAAGGCCTTAAAGAAGCAACAATCAATTTTATCCCTGTCTTTTCAACTAATCAAATATTTTACTTCTTTTAACTACTCACCCATAATCCATCTCGTCAAATCGGGATCGGATTGATTAAGGAAAATTGTCAACGAATCATTGTTGCATGTCACTTCTTCGACTAAAATTTAAAGTTTATAATGCTAAAGGAGAGTTTTGTTATCAGTTTATCTAAATTTAAATCCAATTTTATTGAAAATACTCACCAAAGCCTTTCCCACCAACGCTTTCAAATGAAAGCAAGAGTAGAAAAATCAAAAGCATCGAGAAAACAAATTGCTCTAAAAGAAAACTGATGTACTTGATGATGGACAAAAATAGATGAGTTGGAAAATAAATTTGAATAAGTCAAGGTCAAGAGTCGATTTGATAATGAGATTCAAATGAATGGAAGAACGGAAGTCTCTAAAAGGTCATTGAAACTTTTTGATCGATATCATCAACTATATAAAAGAGCAGTGTCTGTTTGTCCGTCTGTACGAGGTTTTTCTCAGCCGTCTTTGGGTCAAAAAAACGGAAATCTTTTTAAAAGTCTTAAAATCTCTTAAAATATTTCAACATGAAATCGGTAAATTTGTTTTCATTAGATATGCAAAATGATTAGAAGGAAAGTCACAAATGCTTGTCACTAAAGTACCGTATTTTCTCTAATAGTGCGCCGGAAGCTTCGCCTAAATTGCTCGAAATCTCGAGAACCGCTTATCAGAACCTATCGATGCGGGGTCGGAAAATGTAGCTGACGATGAGAGCTTGTCGAGGATTAGAGTGTTGAGTTTCTGGGAAACCGTAAAATAGTCATCAACTCGGCTACTAGTAGGGAAAATAAGGTATTACAAGTGTGCTCCACTTTAATGCCTTTTTCTAAGAGGCACCTTTTCAGAAAGCTACCATGATCAACCACCAAATTCAATTAGCCTAATTTTTGAATCACAAAGCTCAACAAAGAATAACAGCTCATAAAGACAAAATCTAGCTGATCAAATGTAAACTGGCGGCTACGGTAGTTTTCTAAAATTTGTACCTTTTTGGAACAAGCATTACTTACTTAGCTGACGATGAGATCTAGTGGGGAATTAGAGTGTTAAGCTTCTGCGAAAGCTTGGAAACCGTACAATCGTCACCAACTCGGCTCGCCGGGGTGCATTACTATTAGAGAAAATACGGTAATACTAAAGTAAGTTATACTAAAGTTTAATTGTTTTTACGTCGGATTAGTTTTTCGTTTTAGTTTTTGACCCTTTCTGACACATTCAACTATTTGGGTACACGGAAAATGACAACGAAAAAATGGCAACTGCATTTCTACGTCAAAGTATTTGATTTTGTTCAGTCTACCGTAAATTTCTAGACTAATTTGACTACAGCAACTCAGGTTTCATCAAGTTAGTCGAAAGTTATGAAAGTTTCATAGTGAAAATGGTACTTATTGGTTATCTTTCTCCTTCGCTCATTGAAATTCCCACCACGTCTTCTGTTGGAATTCAAATTCATTAGAGTTTTGATTTATTCAACCACAATATCATAAAAATTAACGGTAAACATTTCGGTCCGCTGTGGTTTCTTTTTTGGGGAAGATAGCCAATAAGTACCGTGAAACTTTTCAACTTATTAATTAATCTAAAAAATATTTAGTGTTGACGCTTGAAGATTAAACATACAATAGATAAGAGAATTGACGCCGAATTTTAAAGACACTTTTTGTACGCATAAAACCTTCTTTAAACACAAGTTTTGTTTCATTAAAAGGCTCCACTATTTCTCTACAAAATGACTTTTTAGAAATTTCACAAAGCTTTTGTTTCGTGAAGTTTATCGACTCTCAAACACAGCTAGTCAAAATGGCAGAGTCTGACTCATCGTTTTAACAGTTTCCTTCAAATAAACCTTTTTTGGCGTCTACATAAAAAAGATAGAGCACATTTAATTACATAAGTTCCCAAATTTTCAGGAAGATCCCTTCAACCGTTTTCTCTAGATAACAGTTTATAGATTTTGTAAAAGAATGACCTTTTGTTGAGCTGAGGCGCTGTTTGAGTTCGCTTTAAAATGTCATTTTGTAGAGAATTAGTTAACCTTTCTACTGATATCAAACGCGTATCATTTGAAAAAGTTTTAAAAACAGTATCATTTGCTAGAAGTTTTAGAAATTTCTTTGATTTTTGGCGCATTCTCCACAGCTCAATAACATTAGACAAAAAGTTTTGTCTAATGTTATGATATTAATGTTCTAAACTGTCAAGCTTACAACAAGACAAATGTATTAGAATTTTGTAGACTATTTTGTAACCTAGCTAAACTGAATAAATTGATCGATGTGATCAGTTTATTCAGTTTAGCTCCTTGACAGCGTATTATTTTATTCTGTGAGTATAGAAGTATAATTTCTAGACAAAAAATCTCATTCTGACCGTTATTATTAGTAAACTGTTATAAATAAAGTAAAATTACTACCAAATTGCTACCAATAAAGCCATTCCTTTCCTGGAAAGTGTATAAAATGAGATTTTGTGAATTCGAAGGAGAAAAGTTAAATGAAAGGATAGTTTTTTTGAGTGAGAACATGAGGAACTTTATTTTAACGTAGATCAATCAATGACAAATCAAAAGAATCCAGTAAAAGTTGCTAAATTGGCAAGGAGGACAGGTGAAGCGGAAAAACAAAATGCCCGTCGATTTGCCAATTGAAGAAAGAGACGAGGGTCGACTGGAAGCTGGTACTGGGAAACAGAGGATCCACCCCTTATGGTCAAGGCACCGTAATTGGCAGTGCCTCTCTTCTCTTCACCTATGAGGATCTCAAGCCCCATACGGATTTATTACCCTCTCCTAGGTCAGATCATGTCAATTGTGTACCTGAATAAGCCGAGATTCGAAATGAGTACCTCGATATGGGAATTTTCGAGTGGGTCCTTGACTAGATTGTAATCAAGTTTGTGGATGAATGATTTATGGAGCAAAGTTTTAGTGGCAATAAATAAGTAAACACTAGAACAAGATATATTGGAAATTGCGCTAGAGGGCTAGAAAAAGATTGGGTTTGTGTACGGTATCCGATACTGATTGTGGCACATTTGCCCCGCCCCTTTTGCCATTGGCAATTCAACTGTGAGCTCAAATTTCTTGGTGCTTGACTGTTCAATTTAAATATTTTTTGTGCCAATCGATAGAGAAAGACTTGGTGCATCTAATCATAGCAAGAATATTTAAATTGAACAACCCAACACCAAGAAATTTGAGCTCAAAGTTAGATTGCCAATGGCAAAAGGGGCCGGACGACGGACCTTTTATACGCGCCCCGCCCCTTTACCATTGGCAATCTAACTTTGAGCTCAAATATCTTGGCGTTGGAATGTCCAGTTGAAATAGTATTTGTACCAATCGATAGAGAAAGACTTGGTGCATCTAATGATACTAAGAATATTTAAATTGGATAGTCCAAGACCAAGAAATTTGAGCTCAAAGTTGGATTGCCAATGGCAAAAGGGGCGGGGCGTCCGTTCCTATAAATGTCAAATGTCCGATAACCTTCGCTACTACCTCTTGAGCAAAATAAAAACTAAATATTTTCTAAAGTAAGGGTGAGCTTAATCAGCTATTCATTTTAACCGTAGCCTGAACTGTTAATCAAAATAGTTCCAATAGTGGTTTCTAACATTTGTCCTTAATTGCTTGAACTTTTAAGATAATCTGCTTACCCATCTACACTAACAACTATAGAAAACTATCAAAAAAAGAAGCGAAATCTAAAACTAGTAAATGAATCACTTGTCAAATCCAAAAAAGAAAATGTATGATCGTCGAGAAAATCTTGGCAGCGCTGGAAAGCTGGAGGGAAAGGCGGCGAGGCGACAGGTGGGTAGCCGGACACCCCGCACCTGACCCTCTCCTTACCCCGTGCACCCCCACTAAAGACCCTTCAGTGCTTGGACCCGATTGGATACAATCTATTCTTCCAAAGCCAGTAAATGAGGGAAAATATGAGGTGAAGGGGGATGCCGACTGGATGAGAGAGGTGAAGAGATGGATTGAGATAATCACAGCCAACCCTAGCTAGGATAAAAGAACCCCTAACGAACAAATACGTGCATATATCATCTTTATTTTGTTTGTAGTAAAAAGTGGATGTTGTAGCTTTGTACATTAGAAAATTCAAAGTGTGGATGTGTTGAAGAATTGACTGTCATTCTTTGAAATGATTGCTGGTGCTTTGAGCTGAGCTGTAATTCTGTAGTTTTGCGTACCTTTGCATAGTAAAATTGTGGAAAAACTGCTTTCAAAGAAATTTTATTTGAACAAAAGCCTTTTTTTACTTAAACATAACATCTTTGGTTTGGTTGCCCGGCGCAGATTCGTCCATTGCCCATTCGAATGCTTTCGCAAAGATAGAAAGGAGTCTGAATTTGGAATTAAACTTAAAATGACTTATCTGCTATTAAAACTTGCCAACTATTGCCATTAAAACTCAGATAATCTACTAAATCAGCTTTTATAAAGTTTTCAAACAAATCAAAGTACTTTTAAGCACTTTAAGACCTCAAAAACTTAAGCAAAGCATTTAAAGAAATTTTTGATAACTTTTCGAGTCAACAATATCACAAAAGTTTTGTCTAGTTGTCAGATCTCTTTTCTAAACTGTGATCCTGGTTTATTCAAATAAATTTCTAGCGATTTGTTGCGCAAAATCATTACCAAATCGTCTTTGGTATTGCATCCGTAAGAAACGACCGAATCATAGCCACATTGCATGTAAATAGCCGTTGCTCTGAAAAGAAAAAATCAGCTTTAAAATAAGCTTTTAAAATGAGCTTTGTTTAATTTAATAATTTAATAAATTATTATAATAAAAAGTCTAATTAAATGTTATCCTCTAAAGCAACTAGTCAACTTGTTTCCAGTAAAGAAATTTCCTGCCAAAGGACTTGACAATGCCCCTCTTCCCTCCCCCAAAGAACGGTCTCGTGGTGTAGTGGTTATCACATCTGTCTAACACACAGAAGGTCGGCGGTTCGATCCCGCCCGAGATCATTTTTTTGATCATTTTAGCTTTTGAGCTCATTTTAATGAAACTCACGCGCAATAGTCCTGAATGTGCATGAATTGATCACGATTGTTGCGCCAAGTTTGGTAGCATGCGCTGAACATTGGCAAACGAGTGGCATTGTAGACACATTCATAGCTGTAGAGGGAGACTGAAGAAGAGTTTTATTTTTGATTCTAGAGGTTGAAAGACTTGAAATAGTTTAAAGAAGTATAAAAATAAATGGCAATGAACAGAATTCAATCTAAATATTAAGGATTCGAACAGGAAAACAGTGACTGATTGCAAAATAACTTTAGATTTGCATTTTCGGGCTTATTTCAGCTTAAAGCTTAAAACTATTTAGACAACTGTTTATCCTTTAACTTTACTAACAATTTTACTCTTATAACTCTTCTAAATCTTTTTAGATTCCTTTCTCAACTAACTAAATGATCCAGCTCCACATGCGAACTCAAGTCGATTCCAGATTTGAGCGTAATCGATTGGAGCATATCCAGGTAAACCTCCAAAGCTTGAAATCGTCCACGGATCAATACAATCCATGTATTTTGCACCCAAATATTGAGCGAATTGTTGACGCGCTCTGAAAAGTGATCCTAATTTTAAATACCTCTGCAATGATTGTGTTTTACTGATCAATTTCTTTTCCGAAAATTTCCTTACCCACAAACTTTCAGCTGATCTTGACGGAAAACGGCAAAAGTCGCTTCGTAGAGATCACTGATATTTCGAAAGGTAAGATTCTCGTCGATTCCAATTGCTTTGTTGAATCTTTTCTGGAAATACGTATTTAGGTTGTATGAGAATTGTAGTTTTGGGTACAACAAGCCGGTCATAAACAAAAACCATTAACTGACTTTTTCATCAATTGAGCTTTTTTCTAAAAGCTACCGTACGTTGCTTTTTTTGAAAATATAGTAAGATCTGCCAAAATCGTAAAAAACGAGAGCTGGTTCATTGGTTTATCGGTTTTTAGAATTAAAACACCTAAAACTAGGACATCACACCTAAACTTGCAGTTATTGGACATTCGATACGCCCGCCACTTTTGCCCTTGCCAATCCAACTTTGAGCTCAAATTTCTTAGTGTTTGCCTGTTCAATTTAAATAGTTTTTGTACCAATCGATAGAGAAAGACTTGGCGCATCTAATAATACAAAGAATATTTCAATTGGACAACCCAACACCAAGATATTTGAGCTCAAAGTTGGATTGCCAATGGCAAAGGAGCCAATATCAAATGCGCACAATCTAATCTAATTAGCTAGAGTATTCCTGGAGTCGTTGGCTTCGGATTTAATGCCCAATCGACTGAATTCCAACCTTGGATGGATCAAGGTTATCACAGTAGCATTGCTGTCAAAACAACAACATTGTTGTCATTGTTGTAAACTAACACTTGAAACCCATTACTTTCAACTCTGACCTGTTCAATCTCCAAATCGGTCTGCTCACATTTGTACCAAACATCCTGCGCAATCGTGGCCGCAAAGAAAAGCACCAACAACAAAAGTTTGGCCATAGCTTTTTCGATTCCGAAAAAGACGGTAGAAGACAGGAATTTTTCGGTCAACAAAACGATGACTTCTCTTTGCTTATCATTCTATAAATTGAACATAAAACGTCTTTCAGTGGGGCTTTTTGGGCGAAATTTCACGACACCTTTTACGGTTTTTGCAATCACAGAAGGGCTGCCGAAACACACCCTGTTTCCTCTTCCCCACTTTTCACTACGTGTTTATGAGTAAAGCTTTTAATGGCTTTGTGAAAAAATCAGTTCGAATCCGGAAAACCGAAATTTTTTGACTAGTAGATAAATGAAAGACTTTACTTTTGATTGAAAGATCTAAACCATTGAAAGTTAGTGAAAATTTAAAAACTAAACTAAACTATTAAAGCCATTCGATAGCCCTAAATCTTCTTTTAAAAACTAGTACAAAGTTACCGAGAACTTGCTGCAAAACAATTAACAAACGTTTATTCAGAACTTGAGTTTACACCAAAAATAATCGTCATTAGTACGGCCAAGGGGATTTTATACTTGCAAGAATACTGTTTCACTGGAAAAGGCTTTGTGGGCAGTCGCTGCAACCTGCTGTAAGCACCAAATTTTTTTTTGTTTTTGAAGTGCTTTTGTGCCCGAGGCAGCACTTTCTGCTTCAAAATATCTAGATCATTAACAGCAAAGCGCGGCAAACGGAGGTTGGTTCGGGTATTTTTGAGACACCCTGTAGTGTTGTGCTCTACAAAAGCATCATTTTCTCAAGAACCAAAAGAGTTAAGAGTTTTTTCGTTTAGATATTTCAAATCTACGAACAGTTTTTCGTTTTCGAAAAACATCGTTTAAAATAAGCTCATTTTTAACCATTGCTCCAGGCAGATCTCAGACTTTCAAGGGAATTCAAAAGTATTTTTGAATAATCTGATCTCCTCGTGATCTCCTCATTTCTGGTGGAAAGTTTCCGGCAGCTACTACGCTTTTTTGGGAATTTCCTGCGGGGGGAAAGTTTTCCGGCAGAGTTTCCGTCGGAAACTTTCCCGGAGCGTAGCATACGGGCTCTGGAAATCAGGTCAAGCCAGCTCAGAAGATATGCCCAGATGATGCAGGCATGGGTTTAACCATTGCTTTCCAGGCAGATAAAATGGATGGCTCCGGAATCGATTGAATTCGCTCAGTTTTCTACAAAAAGCGATATGTTAGTGATTTTTTGCTTAAGGATTTATTAATTTCATAACTTTAAATGAATTCAAAATTCGTTTCAGACTACTTTTATCAATGTTTCCCATGATTGCATTGTAAAAGGAAGAAAAAGAGTTTGGAAATTTCCTAATTTATTTAGACTTTTAAGTCATTTCTGTTTTTAAATGTAAATCAAGCTCAATAAACTTTGCATTTAATTGCAAAGTTTATTTGCAAATTTCACTCAAACAAATGCTAATCCTGGAGCCAAAAAGTCAAATGTACCCTCAGCTTTTTTTATTGTAGATTTGAAGATTTGAAGTCAACTAGAAGCGTTTATTGTTTACGTTTCTATTGATTTTTTTATTGATCCTCTCTGTTCCTGAGAAGGCCATGATCCCTGCGCTAATCGAATATTCTAACTGCTATTCAAAAACTCACGATTAGTCTCGAGCATTCCCAGTGAGTCACAGTTTACCCAAAAATAGTTTTAATATTCCCAATGAGTTCCATTTTTCCCAACAAACATCCTCAATCGAGTCAACACTTTAGAAATTCACCAAAAAAACATAAGATCACAAATCATTAATCTTTTTTTAAATAACTTCTAACTAATCCCAACTTCCAGCTGGTCTTTCGGCGTTCTTCTTTATGAAATGTACTCATTCGGCAAGACTCCGTTCCATTCAATAAACCAAGAGGAAGTGCTTCCACATTTGAAAACAGGGAAACTTTTGGAAATCCCGGAAGCGGCTCCATCTCTCTTGTAATCTAGTTAGAAATTTGTGAATATCAAACGTTTAGAAGCTCGATTATTGGTGATTGTTGGAAAGAAGAGCCAAACGATCGGCCGGAGTTTTAAAAAATTCGGCAAAGTCTCTATAAAGAGATGGAAGATAATTCTGAATGTTACGGGTATTTACATTCCAGGTAATTTGGTAAATAAGCATCAAAGAATTTGTAAAAATTTAGTAAGAACTATTATCGCTCTGAGCCGACCCGAGAAACAGAAGTAAAGATCGAAACTGTTTAAATGATCAGAAATCTTTCAACAATCTTGGTGCTTGCATTTAATTATATATTGAAAAAAGTTATGAATAAAGACTTCGAATTCAGTTTTATCCAACGATTTATCAAAAACTAATTACAGATTTAGCTCTAACGAATGGGGTAGGTCATTTTTTATTACTACAATATGCTGTAGATGCGAAAAATTGGTCTGTACCGCTATATCCCATCAGGCATCAATACGCATCTTTGAAAAATTGATCTGACTTAAAAATAAAATAATACTTATTTATAATAAACCAATTTTAAAAAATTAAGCAGAAATAAAAACGAAAAGATAAAGAAAAAGTAATGGAAACTTTTGAAGTTACAAAACTCACCTTGACAACAATAAGTGATGTAACCAGGATCATGATAGGTGATCGTATCCTAAAATTAGGGTATTATAAACAGTATGGTTTAATAGATATTCATTACAGGCTGGAAACTATTTCTTAAAGTTTACAGCTGTCTCCTGACTCTCAAAAAACACCTGTTTCCATTTTTTTTTCCAATTCGCCCACTCTACTTTTTGAGTTCACTAACAGATTTGGCTGTCTTTTCCCACCATTAGACTCAAATGTCAGAATATTCAATTCTCGAGACTCTTTATTTAATTCCACTTCCAATCGATGGCCTTATTTGCTCACTCACTATTGGTATATTCAGTTGTGTGAAAGCTCCAGATCATATTAAAACGTTCAGAATGCTTCAAATTGCGATCATTGTAAGTAAATGATAATTTTGTGTTGATTCTAAGCTAAATGATCGTTTTGATCGTTACTTATTATAAGAGAGAGGACTATATCTGTCTGTCTGTCTGTTATGCGATTTTAGAAACCTGGACCGATTTGGCTGAAAATTTTATCTAATTTTGAAACATCAAATTAGTTCTGAGGGTTAGTGGGGCCGTTTTTTGTAAAAAGTGGCATTACTAAAGCTCCTTTATACGCATGGTCGAGTGGCCTAAGACTGTCAATCTGGCGCTGGAGAAAGGGTTGTTGGTTCCAATTGGGTGAACAGCTTAAATATTTTATTGGGCATTGATAATAACACTTTGCCAAGCTTCCAATGAGAATCTATCACATTTTAAGTCTATTTTGGTGGTTTGTATCCAGGATTTCCGGTCTAAATTAAAAACTCCTGTTATCTGATAGATACAGGCCATACATGATGTTTTGAAAAACGAAGAAAATGTCCGTTCGATTTTCGAAAGGACATTTTCAAAACATAAAAGAAAGAGGCCAAATTAGGGTGGCCAATTTGTGTGACTTGCGCGGCTGCTGTGATTGCAAGGTTGGCCAACCAAGTTTCTGTACCTTCTACAAACTTCTGTGTCGACCATCAAATCCTTTTACCATTTTGACATGAACATCGAGTTACGGCCGTTACGGCAAATTCCATTTCTTGCCCAATTGATTGTTCTCGACTTTCCTTTACTTCGGGCTCCTTGAATTTTCCCGCAAATATAGCAATGTTGCAGGAAAATTTCCAATTGTGCTAACTCAACAATGACGTACGTCAGTTTATCATCTTCAATAGCTTCATCATTGCTCGCTCATCTTGAAAGAAAAGTCCAAAAAAGAAATGATTCTAATTTTCTGCGAGGGGAGTGGCTTGCCAGTTGGCTCGTTCAAACCTGTCTGCCGCAGCAGGAGATGTTCATCAACAAAATGTTGCCGAATCTGGCAGGAAATCAATCAGCGGATTTGTTTCTGCTAGTTTTGGTATAAAAAGCATCAAATACAAAACAAAATAATAGTTATCGGCGATAAAAATTTCTCACTTGGAATCAGCCTCGACTGTTACCCCTTTTAACATCTCATTTTAGCTATGTTCCCTATCAATGACGATTACTTTCTCCTTCACTCGCCCCGTCTTTATCCCATTTTTCACCATCATTTCAGCAAGTTCAATAAATTTCAGTCAAACGGAGATTCTCATATTTGGTGTAAGATGAGATGGTTATCGTTTCTTATTAACTGCAAATTCTAGCACATTTATTTTTTTCTCTCTATTTTTCATCTTCTTTTACATTCGTGTAACTTTTTTCTTCGATGTCTCGCTATATCGTCTCCAGAATGGAAAATTCGCGTTCGACGAATATTTTCTGTATGAAAAGAAATCAAATCTGAAAAATGTTAATTTTGTTAGCTTTTTTACACGAGCGTATTTCTTCTGGTGATCACAATCGTCTTTTACTTTGATTATTTGGTGATTCCTTATCAAATATACGAAAATAATAGGGTAACTTTATTTCCATTAAAAATTTTAGAAGAAAAATACAATTAAACAATTCTTAGATCAAATCTTCAATTGATTTCTCTGTTCTCATAAACGATTCAAATTTTCCGCTGTCACTTGCATTGAGCGGATTTGTCCTGGTCTTTGCGATGAGGTTGATCTTTTAAATAAATTAAAGTCCGTGTCGAGCTCATACTTTAAACTAAAAATACGTTCAACTTATTTGTTAAGTAATACTGGAGTAACTTAAATCGTCTCAAAGTTAAGCTTTTAGTTGGGTCATTGTTATTGTAACTCTTTTATACAAACTTCCTCATCTCGGGCCTCCTCTGGGTATCAAAATACAAACGATGCATCAACAATTATTACGAGTTTCGTTAGTTCAGGTACATGAGTGGATTCTCGGATGATATTTATTAGGTACTCCGGAAAATAACTGCATTTTTCTTAATGATTTCCAATTGAAAAAATTTTTATTTAAAAAAATCAAATTAATCAAAATAAGAACCGCTAGAATCAATACTCTTTTGCCAACGAGCAGCCAGTTTTTCGATCCCTGCAGCGAAGTCGGGCTGTCGGGACTGAGGCGATGAAGTTGATTTAATTTGTATTCGATAGAATTTTTCACCATTGATTCGTTCTTGAAAATTTTATCTAGGACCTTTGTCTCTAGGTTTCAAAAAGGTTATTCCGACTGATTTTGTGTTCACAGATCTATTCGATAATCTTACTAGGTTGTCAAGTCAAGTTCGAGTTTTCAGATTCAGAATCCCCGATGAAAACTCTATCGGATGGGCCAAGGCTCATGGGAAAACTCGAGATTGACCTGACAAAATTCCCTAGTTAAAACCTTCAATCACTTAAACTAATTGTAAAAAAAGTGTCATTAAAAATATCCAGATGATCTTTTTGGTGACAATATCTTTTCTACCTTGGATTACATTAGTTTTATCAACACTTGTTCAAGATAAGCAAACAAGTAAGTATTTAAAACTTCTATTTATACGGTTTCCTTTTCAGAAAAAATTTTATCCAATGCACTAATGATAGCCACTTTGCATTCTTCCGGCAATTGTCTCATCGTTCTTTTTGTGACAAAATACTATCGAGATCTTTTCGTTAAACTTTATCAGGTAAGTGAATAGAAAAAGAATGAGATTGATGAGATATGATTAGATTGTTTCGTTTTCAGCGTCTCAAAAAACGATTCATATCACGAATTGGAGATTCCAATGCGTTGAAAGTACAACAACGAAAGCTTTATGTCATTCGACCTGTTGAAAAATAAAAATATAAAATTTTTTGTGCTTTATCTGATAGCTAACAGTTCGATCTCTATAAAATCTTAATTTAAACTTCATGTTCAAGCGGATTATTTTTCAGGATCCTTAAAAGCTATATCCTTTGTTGATCAAGTTTGTCATTGTTTGAAAGGGTGGTTCGAAAAGTCGAGTATGAAGTGATATGAGCCGTGAATCAACCTATTTTCAACTCACGGATTATGCTTGGTCAAGAGCTTTCTCTGGTAATCGACTTATTGTTGAAGCGAGAGAACATTCATTTGAAGAGATGTTTCTATTGATCTTCTTTTTCATTGTGGCTTCACGGCAACAGATTGAGATTCAAAAATCCGTTGATTCAACGACTAATTTTCTGGTTGGCTATGAGAATGTATTAGGTTGTTAACCCAAAAAGGGCGCTTTTTGTGCATGAAGGTTTTTGGAATAATTACAAAGATCGCATTCAAGATTTGCTTTGTTTTTCTTGTTTTTCTAATAACTTTTTACAATTTTTAATCAAATATTTTGGTTTAGTTTTCCATTCTCGGGAGCAATGCCAACAACAAATCGACCCACCCCGGAAGTATGGCACAAGGATTTGCACCATCGCTATCAACAACACAAATCTGCCCCGAATCAGCTCGGAAAATCAACGATTTTTATGGATTCAAAGTTGTGACTACTCGCACAGCCCAAAAATGGTTTCAAAAGTTTCGGAATGGCCGAACAAACATGAAGAGGAAGAGTGGAAGCGAAGGCCACAACAAGATTCGTATTCTTTGGCAGCGACTACGGCAAAATCCTGAAGGTACGGCACGACAACTTGATGCGGGTCTTTTTTCGCACGTAACCATGTGGAAATATTTGAAAAAAACCGGGCGCAAGTGGAGAAAGCAACAACAAATTCCTCACCGACTGACTCCAGCAATCAAAGCCAAACGAGCTCTTCTGTGCGGCCGCCTCTTGAGCAAATATCGTCATGGACGGCTTCCATTGGATACAATAGTAACACACGATCAAAGCTGGGTCTTTTATGATGGAAGAGTCGTTCGAAAACAATGGTTGAAACCTGGGCAAACTGGAGCTGCGGTCCCAAAACGCGATGTTCATTGGAAGAAACAGATGTTATGTATGTACTGGTGTTCGCGAGGACCATTGTTTTGGCAGCAACTCCCAATCGGTCAAACATTTACCGCTGACGTTTATATTCGTCATATGCAAAGAGTTGAAAATGGATTGGTGACTATGCGCGCAAATGGACAATGGATTGGTCCAGTCAATCTCCTCGAAGACAATGCTCGCCCACATCGTGCCACAAAATTGACTCAGTTTGTGCAAAATACTCTGGGATGGAATCGTTTGGATCATCCCCCTTACAGCCCAGACGTTGCACCGTCGGATTTTCATCTTTTTCTCTCATTGAAAAACTTTTTACGGGGAAAAAGTTTCAAGACCGAACCTGAGGTACGGGACGCTATCGACGACTTTTTGGTTTCAAAAAATGCCGATTTTTTCGAGAAAGGACTTAAGAAACTTCCCAAAAAGATGGATGAATGTCAAAACCAAACGCGGAGATTACATTGTTTAATTATATGTTGTTGAAATAAATTGTTATAGTTTTAAAACAGTCATACGCAAAAAGCGCCCTTTTTGAGTTAACAACCTAATAACTCCTCAACCGCCGAATCCACCACGACCGTCATTCAGTTCAGATTGTCACAATAGCAAATCTAGACTTAGGTTGGGTCTTGGTAAGCCCTTCTAACCGAATCTCTGAATCTTTTAATCACTCCAAGTAGGTCTAGCAGTTTATTTTCAAAGATTGGAATTTGTTTAGGTAGCACTCTTCCATCACTTCCGAAACCTAAAGAAATGGGTGCTGTTTGGATTGTGTTGATTTCTCTTGGTTTCTTTTTCTTTTTGTGACGATCGTTTGCATGTGCACGTGTTGCAGACGGTATTGCAGACGGTGTCCGGGTTTTGGAGGGTGAGATTCAGAGCTGGAGTTTTTAAGTTTGAAATCCAATAAGATCAAGAGGTGATAAGCTTTACATTGTGAAGCCATTAGAAGGGTGATTAAACATAAAAGTAGATTTTTTTCAGTTGCCACTGACTTCGTTTATGAAATCAGCTTATGCATAAAATCAAAGAGTCAGTAGTTTTGCAAAAATTTTTTGCATCAACTGGGCGAAAAACGTTGGAGAACAACTGCGAGAAAGGATTTACGATGAGACGGAGCGTTTCACGATTCAAGCTCGAGGAAAAGTAAACTAAGAAAAGATTTGGAAATGCCTAGCTTTCAGAGAAAACCCAACAACGACTATTCGACTAGTTTTGAGAGAGATTATGGCTCGAAGAAAAATAAACAGCAGAATAGGTATAAATCAAAAGATTGTAAAAAAAATTTAAGTTTCAAGAATCATTGACGAATGGGAAGTCTCTTCAAACGATCTGCAAATTTTCGAGGAGAAGTTAGGAGCAGGAGCATACGCGTTTGTTTACAAGGGTCATTTAAAAGGGATTCCACTGGTGGCCAAAGTGTATCCATTGATGCAAGTAAAGCTTTAGTGAAGAGATCTGGCAAATTATTTCCGCTTTCTTATGTTCTTTCAAATGATGCAAATTATGTTACGGTGAAAACCACACATGAAGATGCAACGAATGAGGAAAGGTTGGTTAAAGAATCGAATCAAAGTTTGGATTTTGACATTCGTTTTTTCTTTAATAGTGAATTCACTTGCGACGTTTTTCCGAGAGAATCCAGGGTTGGCGCTTTAAAGCGTTGTAAAACGCTCGTACTCGTCGTAATTTGCGAAAAATTTCATTTTTTCCGTTCTTGTTCATTTCATTGTGTTTTTCTCAGTTCTACCCCTTTGATTTTGACTATTTTGATAACTCGGAGATCATTAAAAAATAGAGAAAGTCGTCTGAAAGAGTGGAAAATTTGAGATTTGGAATGCTGGCAAGTAGTAGTGCTTGATACTGGGTACTAGACTTTTAACGAAAACATCTGTCAGTCCTTTTTTGCCGTTGGTAATTGAAGGTTTTTTTGTTTCTTTCTCAGCTCTACCCCTTTTACTTTGACGATCATTCGATGCAGAATGAAATTGCGCGTGATACCAAAATCAACTCAAAATATAATATCCATGCAAAGTTATGAGGCAAAAGGTTAAGTCCAACTCATAATGGGCGGGGTTTAGGCCTTTAGCCAACAACTTTACATGGAAATTAATTACACGAATTACACGGCTAACACAATAAACTTGTAACGAAAACATCTGTCGGTTCTTTTTTGCCCTTGGCAATTCAAGGTTTTTCTGTGTTTTTCTCAACACCAACCTTTCGATTTTGACTATCATTTAATGCTAAATAAAATTGCGTTCTCTATAACGACACCTCCATATAACGTCAGTCTGATCCCGGTCTTGAGGGGTGTCGTTTTTAGAGACATTTGACTGTATGTAAATCTGTGGAGATCCGAAAGTTCAAAGCCCGATTCAAAGCCAAGATCAAACAAAAACTGTTTATCGATTCGAATGCGTTAGTCTCTCCCAAAGAAATCATGAATCAGCCATAGAAAACCACTCAAAGCAAGGGTTTCTTCTCGTTTTTCTTTCCTTTCTCACAAATACGGCAAGGTGTTTAGCAATTAGGGATCTGATGTGGAAATGAAATGGACTAAAAGTCATAAAAACGAACTAGAACTTGCTTTCTTGTCACTCTTTCAGACGGCTTTCTCTATTTTTTAATGATCTCCGAGTTATCATAACTTTCACTCCACGAGCTTGAGCAAATACTTTTTTGAGCAGGAAGTTCAAGTCAGCAAAAAACGATGCAAATCGGGTACCAAATAAAAATCAGCTTCAAATCTTTAACAAATACATGTCTGTAAGTTTGTACTTGACTTTGGCTTTGTCTTTAAAAGACTTTAAAAGACTTTGAAACCTCTCCAGCTGAACAGTTGAAAATATACACTCATTCCCTAGGAATCCATTTGATAGCATTAGCGCCAGCCTTTCCCAATATGGATTAGCGGTTTTCTTTTCCATTATTCCAGAACCGGATCCTTTATGTCCTGACAGCGCTCATCTCTTTGCCTTTCTATAGTGACACAACCGATTTCTCAATGACCTGCTGATTTGGCAGCCGGATAGAGCTAATGGTTGTTGGTTTTTGGAAAGAAAAGAAAAGCAAAGAACACAAAATGAACTTTGGGAAATTCGAGATTGGGAATGCTAGCAAGTAATAATGCTTGATACTGGGTACTAGACTTTTAACGAAAACATCTGTCAGTCCCCTTTGATTATATTTTGAGTTGATTTTGGTATGATTCGACGCGCAATTTTATTTTGCATAAAATGATAGTTAAAATAGTCAAAATCGAGGTGCTGAGAAAAACACAAAAAAGCTTCAATTGCCAACGGCAAAAAAGGACTGAGATGTTTTTATTACAAGTCTATTGTGTTAGCCGTCTTGATGGCCTCAAAATTCAAAAACTGATAACGGATTTGGATTCCTCAGCATAGAAAACCCTCGAAAACAAAGTTTCAAGTGGTAGTTTTCAAAAAACACGAATGTGCCAAACACAAGTTGATCAAAGTTCTTACAATAGATACAGTTCGTTGCAGTTTGCCTAGTACTTAAGCAACAAGACTGAAAATGTCTTGAATGTTTTCTTGAAGTTTCAAACCCTGGTCCCAAGTGGTTGTTTTCCAAAAAGACACCAATGTGCAAAACGCAATTCGATCAACGTCCTTACAATAAAAGATACAGTAAGATCTGTTCGTTACAGTATACCTACAGCAAGTATTTACAGTATACAAAGAAGAATAGCTACAGTAAGTAAGCTACAGTAAGCTACAGTTATATACAACCAGATTGCTGCGGATTATCACTTGCAGTTAATTCACAAATAAGACAAAGAAATGAAGCAAAGGACGTGTCTCAGTGCAGAGCACAGACCTTTCCAACAATCAATGAAACAGCTCACTATGATACAATCCAAATATCACTTTAAAGAATCGGTACTATCCAGTTTTATCCGCCAAATTTTCATCCGGGGAGAGCCAACTGTTGGTTCTCCCCAGAGCTCAGTTAAACGAATAGTTTTCCCTATACTTTATGCTAATTTCTGGAAAGTACAATTTGATCAACGTTCTTACAATAAAAGATACCGAATAGTTTCGTTTAACTGAGCTCTGGGGAGAGCCAACTGTTGACAAAATTTTAGATGAAAATTTGGCGGATAAAATTGGATAGTACCGATTCTTTAAAGTGATATTTGGATTGTATTATAGTGAGCTGTTTTATTGGTCATTGGAAAGGTATGTATTGATAAGCAATAAGCATTATTGATCATTGGAAAGGTCTCACCTTGTACTTTATGCTAATTTCTGGAAAGTACCAAAAAATGTCACTAGGATTTTGGAAAATTGAAAAGTGAAACCGCAATTTCTTTAAGCTTTATGGAACGATTGTTTTGATTTTTTGTATAATAAAACCTGTCAAAAAGCTTGTCAAAAACAGCCAAAAACAGTCAAAACTTGTTCTATTCTTTTATGTTGTACACAATGTTCTTTAGAGTAATGAAATGTCAAAAAATGTCACTAGGATTTTGGAAAATTGAAAAGTGAAACCGCAATTTCTGTAAGCTTTGTGGTTTAGCGATCATTTTAATGACCCTCTCGAAATCGAGGAAAGAATCTTGATCTTAATGTCTTTTTTCTGAAAATGGGATTAGCTATGAGGTCTGCCAATGAGCGAGAATAAAACCCGGTTTGTTGTTATGCAAATTTTGCCCCTTCTCCCGCTCATTCCTTCTTCTCAGATTTCAATCTGTGACATGGAAAATATTTTTTTTTTCAGTTGTTCCGATGAACTCAAATATCTCATCTCACCATCGCTTCTTTAGTGTTTTTAAGAATTTCCGTCTTTTTGCTTCGCTTGATTGATTTGCTTTTGCAAGTGATGACTTTGAAAGTGATCAATGAAAATATTCTTATAAAATTACAATGACCTCATAAAAATTAGATATAACAGAAGCAAAAGATCCCCCCAGCTACAATATTCTTATAAAATTACAATATTAAAGTTAAAAGTCTCAGTTACAATATTGTTTTCTAGTCAAAGTATGCCGGAAGTCAACCGAAACTTTTCTTTTAGCTACTACTATTTTTTAGAGATGCTGTTTAGTGATTTGTTTAGAGATTACTATTGTTTAAAGATTCTAAGTTCTGTCAGATTTGCCAGATTTGGGCTTTCCAGAATCAATAGAATCAATCTAAAACGTCAAAAACTGTCAGATTTGTTAAATTTAGTTTATGGTTATTGTTAATCATTGCTTCACAGTTTTAGATTGATTCTATTGATTCCGGAAAGCCCAATAAGGCCATAGAGCCAATTTTTAACAACAAGAACGATCGTCATCGTTACGATCGTCAAAGTGAAATAAAATTCACATTTGAGTCTAGATATAGAGCTTTAATGTCAAAAAAAGCAATTTCCAATGCTTAACCTTTGCATTTTTTCAATTCTAAGCTAAAAAGTGATAAAGAGATTTCCATTAGAATCAAAAACAATTTACTTCTACTAGTTGACTGTCATTCTTGTGTCATTCTTGTCAAAACTACAAAATTACAGCTTTAAGTCAGCTCAAAGCACCAGCAACCATTTCAAAGAATGACAGTCAATCTTCTACTAAGATACTAGTTTTTTTGTTACCAATAAAAATCGAAGGAAAATGATTGCTCTTTACTAATTCTAAACACTAAATAACTAAGCATAAAGGTTATTTTATCCATTAAAGTCTAACAAACTATTGCTCATAAGATAAAATATCATTTGCGGTTTAGATTTTCCAACCGATCCCCCATATAATTGTTGTGTGCATTTCCGTGAAGGGTTTCCCCGTCACAAAACGATGACATTTTCGATCCAGTCTTTCTTGACGCGAGATTTACTCTCTTTCCTTTTTTTTTGGCTTCTTTTTCTAACCAGCCAGCCAACCAAAGCCTTTATTTTCAGCTCTCTCTTTTCATAAAGAGATTTAAATCTTTGGCAAGAGCTCAACAACGATAACAATGAGAATTTACACACAAAAAAACGATTTGACCCATTGGAGAACCATTGTTTAGATTTTTTTTATAATAAAACCTGTCAAAAAGCTTGTAAAAGCTTCTCCAAAACAGTCAAAAGCAGTCAAAAACTGTCAAAACTTGTTCTATTCTCTTCTGTTGTACACAATGTTCTTTAGAGTAATGAATAACAATTTAAAGCTTGAAGAATTGAAAAACTGTATTGAAACACTGTGTTTAACGTTGAAAATAAGAAAAATTCAATCTTTGTTCTGAGAAACAGTGCTAGAACTCGTTCTAGAGATGAGAATCGAGTTGTGCTTGATCTCGCTTTTGAGCATCGTCGAATTGGCGTTTGGTTGTGCCCGTACACAGCCTCCTTGTGAGTTTTATCATGAGAACAAGATCACAGTATAAGATCACAAGAATAAGATCACAGAATAAGATCACAAGAATAAGATCACAAAGAATAAGATCACAGAATAAGATCACAAGAATAAGATCACGCAAGATCACCAGATCACAAGAATAAGATCACAAGTCATAGGGTTTATGCTGATTCACCCACACCAATATCATCCCACAATTTATCATGAAAAAGCGCATGGCAGCACTGTTGTTTTGCGTTTTGAGAAATTCTCAATAGCCTTCACACATTGTTTCAAGTTCCAAACAAATCGTTAATCGAAAAACTTACTTTACAAGTCGAATAATCTAACCAGAAAGCCCTTTGAAGTTACATTTCAGATGCGATCTGATGCAAAAACGGCAATAACGGCAAAAAATAATTAACGACATCCCAAAACTGCTTTCAATTCCTACTTATCATAAGCCGTTTTCGAAATCTAAGCCTTCAAAGTTCCAGCCAATTTCGTCAAACAGCAAGCTAGCCTACTTAAAGCCTTGGCGTTGATTCATTGGTGTGCCTCGGTAGCCTAACTTAAAGCCTTAGCGCTGATCAATCCGTGTGCCAGGTAGCCTGGATAATGTGCTAACGCCTCGTACTTTTTTTGGGTTGTAGTTAAAACAGCGCCAAATAGAAAACGTTCAAAACAGCGCTTGGTTTTTTGGATTGCGAGAAATTTGACGGGGTTGTTTTAACGACATCCCAAAAAAGTACGAGGCACTAGCACATTATCCAGGCTACCGAGGCACACGGATTGATCGACGCTAAGGCTTTAAGTAGGCTAGCTTGCTGCTTGATGAAATTGGCTGGAACTTTGAAGGCTTAGTTTTCGAAAACGGCTTATGATAAGTAGGATTTGGAATGCTTTTAACTAAGGGCTTTGCATCAGATCAGATTTTGCAGGCTTTTTGCAGGCTTTTTGCATCAGATCGCACCTAAAATATAACTTCAAAGAGTTTCCTAATGCTTATCTTTGAAAGACATAAATCTTGAAAGACTTTGAAGATTCAGAGATTGATGAGTGATGCTCAACGACCGATTCACCGAGCAATCAACCCAGAAAGTTCAATATAACATCACCAGTGATCACCGGAAACTAAATTACACTTCTGAAGCACAAAACTCATTTTAAATTTTGTTTTACAAAATGACAAGCATCGAGAAAAAAAGATTGGCAATCTAACTTTGAGCTCAAATTTCTTGGTGTTTGGTTGTCCAATTGAAATATTCTTTGTATCATTAGATGGGCCAAGTCTTTCTCTATCGATTGGTACAAATAATATTTAAATTGAACAACCCAACACCAAGAAATTTGAGCTCAAGGTTGGGATTGCCAATGGCAAAGGGAGGGGGGGGGGCGTATAAAAGGTCTTTCTGGCCCCGCCCCTTTTGCCAATCTAACTTTGAACTCTACCTAATATCTAACTTGAACTTTAGCCACGACGACAACAACAAAACGCCTACAAAAACAACGACCACAAGAAAAACGACGGTTAGCCATCAATAAATTATCATTTAATGAGAAAAGAATTTAGACTACGACTCCAGCACCAACGGGTATCAATTTTATTCAATAATCTCTATCTCAAAACATTTAGCTTGTTCAAAGTGCACAAAATCGATGGTGGCAATTGATACGACGTCCACGGAAACTGGTCCTTTTACATCGGGTTTGTAAGACGGAAAATGTGTTTTAAACTGTTTTAAACTGTTCTAAGCCTGGTTCTAAGCCTACTTCTAAGCCGATCTCTTTATTTTTAAAGTCAATATCTTTTCAGAAGTCCAAGGGAAAGATGCTAATGGCTGTGCAACGTTGACGTTCACTTGTACTTCGACGGCTCCTGGTGGTTTCCAAGCTGTCATTACGGTAGGAATACTTGAATTTTCAAACAAAAAACGATATCTTATCTTTTTTAAAGGCCATTCTAAGAGGCTATTCCTCTTAGAATGAAGGCTAAAACTTTGAAGAAAGATGGCTCTTAAGCTATGCAAGTTCTCAAATCTCGAGTCTTTCCAGGAACACGTAATTTCTAATTTAGCTCTGTCCTAAAAGCTCTTTAGCTTTAGCTCTTTAGCGATACTTTAGCTCTTCAAAGTCTCTAAATTTTTAGTTTAACAAAATATCAAGTGTTACTGGAACGCCGACAGCTAGCGCCGAGTTGATCTGTTCGTCGACGGGTGACGTGTGGACGTTCTCATCACGGGGAGAAACGGAAGACATTACAACAATTTCGTGCTCAGCTGTTACTTGTGCCTCCAATCCATCAGTATGCCCTTGATAGGATTAACTCCTAAATTCAATATACTCACAAGGGAATGTCAACTGGGTGTAGTGGTTAAATGACATGTGCCATAATTGATGCAGAATCCAACGCTGATTCCGAAGCTGCTTTCCGTTCAGCTGTCCTTTTCTGATATGGAGCACGCTATCAAAAGTAAAACTTTGCAAATCCAAAAGAGCAAATGGGAAGAGCAGAGGGATGGACTCGAACTCGAACCCACTACAACTCAGCCACCACCGCCTCCCAAGCACCTTTGGAAAATCTCTAGAAAACCTTTGGAAAGCCTCTGGGAAATCTGCTTATAAACTCTGTTTTATATATACAAAACTATACAAAACGTGTTTTATATATACAAAACTATACAAAACTTTGCATGTTTATAACTTTTGACATAGTGCTTCATAGCAGAAACGGAAAGCAGCTTCGGAATCAGCGTTAAATTCTGCATTGAATAGTCTGTAGCACATGTAATTTAACCACTACACTCAGTTGACATTCCCTTGTCAGCTCATTTTAATCGATCTCTTTCGTTTTTGCTCAGATTTTCTTCGAGTTTTCTTTGTAACAAAGAAAAGCATAAGAATAAACTATTTTCCTTATGAATTAGCTTATTTAGTTTCATTTTGTGATAGTTTTTTTTTGTGATAGAATTTTTAAAAAAGATTGTTTTAGAGAATTAGCAGCAAATGAATTTTTAACTTAAAATCTTCATTTGAACATATCATTTCCTCTGAAGTGATGAGTTTTCGAAAAGGAATTCAATTTAGAAAGCTACTGTACTCAAAAATCCAGCTTTCAGCACGTACCGAACTCAAATTTTGGGAGTGGGACAAATGCGACCTTTTTTTACGCACCTTTTTTTTGCTGGAAAAGGCCTTAGGAAAGGTCGTAGAGCTTCAAAAATGTTTTCATAGAAGGGAATCGTATACGTAGATTCCGAATTTCGACAAATCAGACCTCGCTGACACGTCAAATTTGGGCTAAAAGGCAAAAACTACGCAACTTAACGCTTTTCCGCAGTTTTTGCCTTTTAGCCCAAATTTGACGTGTCAGCGAGGTCTGATTTGTCGAAATTCGGAATCTACGTATACGATTCCCTTCTATGAAAACATTTTTGAAGCTCTACGACCTTTCCTAAGGCCTTTTCCAGCAAAAAAAAGGTGCGCAAATGTCCAGGTGCGCAAAAAAAGGTAGCATTTGTCCCACCCCCCTGTTATGTCAAAATTTGAATTCTACGCCCTCAAATTACCTAGAAAAACAACATTTTGAATAGAAATTGGTTATTATTAGCTTTTTAGAGCTTTTTAAAACACGAAAAAGGGTGTGCTAATGGGCAAGGTGCGGAAAAAAAGGTGCGCAAATGTCCGAGTGCGCAAAAAAAGGTTGCATTTGTCCCACTCCCCAAATTTTCACTGTTTAGAGCACTTATTCAGTATTCAGTCCTCAGCAAAACTTCTCAATCAGATATTAAACTTTGAGTGATAAAAAGAAAGCTTTCAGCTACAGCTTTGAATACAGTAACTTTCTAAAATACTTTTAGACGGCTTTTAGACGGCTTTTAAACTTAACAGATTTTGAAATTTGAAATAAATATGAATTCCCATGTTATAAACAAACCAAATCACATATTGGAAGACATGATTTTTTCACTTTCTCCTTCATTCTTTTACCTTTTTCTTCGTTATCCCAAATTCATGTTAGCGACTAATTTCCCCATAGCTTTTTTCTGCATAAAAGCTTTTTTCTACCCAGCGATCATCGTCTTTTTTCACACCAAAAATTGGCATGAAAATTTCGCTGAAAATTCTGATTTTTCTTTGTTTTATTGATTTTCTTTATATTGATGCATGCTTGAGGACACAAAGTGAGTTTTTTTTTGCTAAATTAGCCGTCGTAGCCGATCAGATAGGAGACTTGTCTCCTAGTTGGTGGGTTAAGGGTTCGATCCCCGGATTGCTAGAAAGATTGCTTCTTTTTCCCATTATTATGGGTTTTTTTTCTTAACAACATTTGGGTAATAGGAGTACCCTAAAGTCGCGAGTATAAGTTCTGTTTGGTTTTCGCATGCAAATTGACGGCTGTCTCCGGTGCGGTGTGTCGAGGGTTCGAACCCCGCTGCAGCATAACTTTTTTGCCTTTTAAGAACAATAATAGAAGTAAATTTATTGAGGGTTATAGCAATTTTATGCTGTTATTTGTTGCTCCGGGCGTGGCTCGGCGCGTCCGCCCTGCTCCTCTCCGGTGCTCGTCTTATGGATCCCTCCCTGGCCTCTTCATCCGGCCAAAGTCCACGTCGACGGTCGAAAGAGATGCTTTCCAGCGTCTTCTTTAACACTATCGTCTGGATGTATCCATGCACATAACAAATAGCAATGGTGATAGGCTGTAGTATCCCGCGTAGTATCCCGTAGTATCCCGCGCTCCAAGAAAAATAATAAAAGTTTATATAACAATAAAAATGTATAAAAACCCAACAAAAAGAAATTCAAAGCAATCAAAGCGAATGTAAATTAAGGCAGAACTTATACTCGAGACTTTAGGGTAATTTGGGGTAAAAATTTCCTCCTTTATGTTATAATTCATTATTCGTGTTGAATAAATATACTTTTAAATGATGTTAGTTGGAGTTCGTTTGAATGTGATTTTTCAGTAGGTTTCGATTAAGGGCACAAATTTCACATTTCCATTTGGAAAGCATGTTTCTTGGTGATTTTTTTGACACAATTTACGCTATAATAGGCTTTATTACTTACTGTAAATACTGTAATAGTACCCCACCCCCATAATGACGGTGCGGAGCGACTCCGAACTTGGACTAGGCTTGGAGCGACTCCGAACTTCAAATTGGAGTAAAGATTTAAGTAAGTAAATAAGTAAGTAAGTAAGTGAGTAAGTAAGTAAAGAAATAAAGTAAAGAAGTAAAGATTGTACCGTAAATACTGTAATAGTACCCCGCCGCCCTCGTACAGTCGCGTAGTCGCAAAAGTTTTTTAGTATTTCATTCTTTTCAAAGCGCCCCTACTTTCAAAAAATGCGTCTTTGGTACCAAAAAATGGCTGAAATTCAGGGCTATTTTTTGATACCTAAGCGCTCATTGTAGCATAAACCAGTGTCGAGAAAAACTCGTTCAAAGCTAGACTACGCAACGCTCCGCACCGTCATTATGGGGGTGGGGTACTATTACAGTAGTTACGGTATCTTATTACTAATAGTTTATTGGGAAACTCTGGGCAAAATATGTTAGAATTGTTGGAGCAGAAAACACAGTAATACAAATCCAAATTTGAATTTAAATTTTGTCCCCTTATGTTTCTTTTTTAATTGAGATGGCAAAAACAGCATAAATTTTGTTCCACTAATCGAAAAGTACCGATTTTTCTTCGAAAAATGACTTTTTAGCTACAACAACCACAACTACAACCACAACAACAACGGTGGGTTTTTGAGTTTGAATAAAAACAGAAATCGATTGGCAATCTCTTTGCCATTGGCAATCTAACTTTGAGTCGAAATTTCTTGGTGTTGGGCGGTCCAATTTAAATATTCTTGGCATCATTGATGTGCCAAGACTTTCTCTGTTGATTGGTACAAAAACTATTTAAATTGGAAAGCCCAACACCAAGATATTTGAGCTCAAAGTTGGATTGGCAAAAGGGGCGGGGCCAGAAAGACCTTTTATACGCCCCCCCCCCCCTTTGCCATTGGCAATCCAACTTTGAGCTCAAATATCTTTGGGTTGTCCAATTGAAATATTCTTGATATCATTAGATGTGCCAAGTTTTTCTCTGTTGATTGGTACAAATGCTATTTAAATTGGACAGCCCAACACCAAGATATTTGAGCTCAAAGTTAGATTGCCAATGGTAAAGGGGGCGGGGCGCGTATAAAAGGTCCGTCGTCCGGCCCCTTTTGCCATTGGCAATCCAACTTCGTCGGCAAATTTCTTGGGGTGGGGTATTCAATTGAAACATTCTTGGCATCATTAGATGCGCCAAGTCTTTCTCTATCGATTGGTACAAAAACTATTTAAATTGGACAGCCGAACACCAAGATATTTGAGCTCAAAGTTGGATTGGCAAAAGGGGCGGGGCCAGAAAGACCTTTTAGACGCCCCCCTCCTTTGCCATTGGCAATCCAACCTTGAGCTCAAATTTCTTGGTGTTGGGTTGTTCAATTTAAATATTATTTGTACCAATCGATAGAGAAAGACTTGGCGCATCTAATGATACAAAAACTATTTAAATTGGACAACCCAACACCAAGAAATTTGAGCTCAAAGTTGGATTGCCAATGGCAAAAAGAGCGCGCCGCGTATAAAATGTCCGATAACCTATTCATAGTGCTATAGTAAGATTTCAATTCAGAATCCGGTTTGTGTCCACTTCCTTCTCTAATCTTAATTTTTTGACCTTATAATTGATCCCGCCTTGAATCTTGAAATAAAACCTTGCATTGAAACAAGTTAATTGCATACTGTGGTGAACCAAATTCTAAGATCTTGCAATACTTTGCTTACTTTTAATGTTTAATCACCTAACCAGCTTATAGACCACAACAACGACGACTACAGCGCCGACAGGTAGGTTGAGAAAAGAATATTTCTATGCGATTCATGGCCTTTAAGCTTGTGGCCAATGCACTTTGACGAATCCACCACTCACCATTGATACAGCATCAACAGGGACAACTGCATTTGCAAGCGGTTTGTTTGGGTTGAATATGGGTGTCGTATTTTCTCTAATAGTGCTCCGTAAGCTTCGCCTAAATTGCTCGAAATCTTGAAAACCGTTTATCAGAACCTATCGATGTGGGATCGGAAAATGTAGCTGACGATGAGATCTTGTGGGGGATTTAAGTGTTGAGTTTCTAGGAAAACTTGGAATCCATAAAATAGTCATTAACTCGGCTACTATTAGGGAAAATATGGTATTACAAGTGTGCTCCACTTTAATGCCTTTTTTTAAAGGGCACCTTTTTCAGAAAGCTACCATAATCAACCACCAAATTCAATTAGCCTAATTTTTGAATCACAAAGCTCAAACAAAGAATAACAGCTCATAAAGATACCAAAATCTGATCAAATGATCTAGCTGATCAAATGTAAACTGGCGGCTACGGTAGTTTTCTAAAATTTGTACCTTTTAGAAAAAGCATTACTTAAAAGAAATGCACTCTAATTACAATATTGTTTTTGCTTGGTGTTATTGTTAAATTTCAGATGTTCTTGGAACAAATGCGCAAGGTTGTGCGACAAGGACGCTCACTTGTACATCAACTGCTCCAGGAGGCTTTCAAGCGACGATTTCGGTAAGTTTCAAAATCAAAGTTTATTGTTTACATTGGTAACTATAAGCTCTTTATTTACTAAGAATTGAAATTGAAATTGAAATTGCTCATGTCAATTGCTGTTATGATAAAAATTTCAGTTTGACATGGATACACATGGAACAGCCCTTGGTACTCCAACCGCCACCGCCACGATTGTGTGCAATGCAGCTGGAAATGGATGGGATTTTACTGCAAATGGGGCTACTGTTCAAATTATGGCTGTTGGATGTTTTGGAGTGACTTGTGCGAACACGCCGAGCGCTTGTCCTGGGAAATAGTCAATTGATTGGGAAAAGATTTCTATTTGCTTTTTTTCCTTTCATTTTTGCGAGCTTTGAACTACACTTTGACTCAATTCAGGATTTTTGAATTGAAATAACTGGCTTTTTAAAATATTTCCTTCTTTACTTTACTTATTTACTTTATTTCTTTACTTACTTACTCACTTACTTACTTACTTATTGGGTTGGGGAGAATGAGTCGGCGCCGAAAATCAAAGAAATTTCTAAAACTTATAGCAGACTTTGTCAAATGATATGCGTTTGATATCCGTAGAAGGGTAACTAATTCTCTACAAAATAATATTTAAAAGAGAACTCAAACAGCGCCTCAACTCAACAAAGGATCATTTTTTCACAAAATCGATAAACTGTCATCTAGAATAAACGGTTGGAGGGATCTTCCTGAAAATTTGGTAACTTATGTAATTGAGTGTGCTCTATCTTTTTTATATAAACACCAAAGGAGGTTTATGTGGAAGAAACTGTTCAAGCAATGAGTCGGACTTTTTGTCTTTTTGATTAGCTGTGTTTGGGAATCCATAAAATCCCAAAAAAGAAAAGCTTTGTGGAATCTTTCAAAAGCCATTTTGTAAAGAATTAGTGGACCATTTTGATGAAACAAAACGTATATTTAAAGAAGGTTTTATGGGTGCAAAAAGTTTCTTTAAATTTCGGCGCCGACTCATTCTCCCCAAGCCAATAAATCTTTACTCCAATTTGAAGTTCGGAATCGCTTCGAGCCTATGTGAATCTTATAGAATCGATCACGGAGATCACAAATATGTAAAAAACTTTTACCAAAGATCCTGCAAACGCGAGATATTCAGGTTTAAAGCTTTAAGACTCCTTTTTGAGGCTCTTTTGCAAAGCTGTATCAGATGTAGCGGTGGGAAAGAGGATAGCATGATGCGAACATACAGTACTGGACAATGAAATATCATACTTGAAAAACGATCGTCACTTTCGCGCGTCTGTAACTCCCTTGTCTTTGAGTTTAAACTATTAGTGTTATACATTTTCTGAAAGCTCTTTTCAAGGGCTACACAATGGTAATATTAATATTTAGAAATACCGTATTTTTTGACGCATTTCAGCGCACGCGAAAGTGACGATCGTTTTTCAAATATGATATTTCATTGTCCAGTACTGTACGAAATTTTTGATGCTATTTCCCCTCACTTTTCGTAACTAAAATATCTTAAAGATATTTAAATAAAATCGTGAAATGACGCATATGTATATGGTTTTGAAATTCGTCTAATTGCTTTTATAATCTTTAATTTGTAATGCAGCTTTTATAAGTTGTGTTTTTAAGCGTTGCGCTCGTTTAGGAAAAGATGAATTGTAATCAAAAATTTGGCGTAGAGAGGAAACGAATTCTGACCAAAATCAAAAAAAAAAATTAGTATATAAGCACACTATCCTCTAGATTTGCGCAAATTATTTCTTTTTTTGCGGATTTTAGGATCTCTGTGGTCGATTCTATAAAATCGATTCCGAACTTCAAGTTGGAATCATTCCTTTTTTCTATAATGAAATTGTCTTGACTTTTGCTTTCTTTGTGGTTAAAGCGTTTTTTAAAAGGTGATCCTTTGAAAAAATGGATGCAATAAAAGGTTTGACCAGGACTACACGGTGATCAGAAATCATCCGGGCAAAGCTTTTTGTCTAGATCTTTAGATGGACTAAACAAAAAATACCGGCTCTTGCGTAATTTCCGAATTTTTTAAAAGAATCCGGGTATTTTGAAAGAATCCGGGATTTTAAACGGGTCGTCACATTTCTGGAGCTACCGTACTCCAACAGCTATTGTAGTTAAAGGTGCCAAATAAGTCTGTTAAAAATCTATTGAATACCATAGCTTGTATGTGGCTTTGTTTACCTTTATCTAATGGACATTTGGATTAAAATAGCTTTTAGAAACATCTGGATTACGGTAGCTTTCGGTTACGGTGGATTACGGTAGCTTTCGATTGCGGTAGATTACGGTAGACTACGGTAGCTTTCGCTTACGGTAGATTACGGTAGACTACGGTAGCTTTCGATTGCGGTAGATTACGGTAGCTTTTGGTTACGGTAGCTTTCGATTGCGGTAGATTACGGTAGCTTTTGGTTACGGTAGCTTTCGATTGCGGTAGATTACAGTAGATTTCGGTAGCTTTCGCCTACGGTAGATTACCGTAGCTTTTGGTTACGGTAGATTACGATAACTTTCGATTACGGTAGTTTACGGTAGCTTTTTCTAGAGACCACCTTTTCTAGAAAACGCATGATAAAATAAAACACAAATACTTGCAAAAATTTATGAGTTTAATTAATATTCAGGTCAATAAAAGCTCTCAGCAAAAAGAACTTTAGAAAAATCACGACAAAAATGTTGCTAACCATTGAAACAAGCAACTTGAATGTCTTTTTGAGTGTGACACTCAAAAACCGGAATAATTGAACATCAAGACCACTCTCGTCTTCGCCTTAAGTGCTTCAAAATTCGGTCACTCAATGACAAAGTGATCAAAGAAAAGGAAATAAAGAAAAGATTTCAATCCATTTCAATCCTCAAAGATTGTGAACGTGAAAAACTAGATTTTGAGCTGAATTTTTGATCATTTTCAGCGACCATATCTTACAGAATTTGAAATTTCTTTCTAGAAACAATTCTAAAATTTTGAGTGCTTGATTTGAATTAGTTTTTTTCAAGAATTTCCTTTGAAAATTCAATCACTTTACTTCTTATTTGAGTCATTTTTATTTGTGCCAATAAAAGTTGATATTTTATTTGTTTTTACGTGTTCGTTTACGTTTATTTTTTTTATTAGTTAAGTGATCTTGAATCAAGACTTTAAAAAGTTTCATCTGATCACACCTAAATTGAAAGAATGATCTGATTTTGCTTTTATAAAAAAAACGTCTTGTACTCGCGCTCTTGAAATCGCTTACCCGAAATCATTTCACCTTTCCCACCTTTTCTTTACAATTTAAAAGTATTCAATCAAGTTGCAGTTTTGACAATCGGCCATGAAAAGTTGTCAATAACAGTTATGTTGACCGAATGGAAACAAACTGAAAACGTTCGTTTTGATGCAAAGGATCAGGGTTGCTAAAAAATGTAGATGAAATCATCTGATGCTTTGCTGGAAAAAAGGCAAATGGTTCAATGATGAGATGACAAGCAAATACTTGAAGAGATCGTTTAAAGGGTTTGGGTTCTTTAAGAACTGTTCGTTATTTGTTTATTTGGGATTTGCTTCTGACCAAGGCGAATTGACGAGGGAAGACTCAATCAGCTTCCATTAGATTGTTTCTTTGTTCCTGGAGGCGTAGTGCTTTTAGGAACAAATGTGTAGATGTGCAGCCCTTCAATGTGCAGATGTGATTTAGAATGGTCCTTTTAAGGCACTGATTCGACAGTTTTACGAGGATTGGATTTTGCTGCAAGCACCTGAACGCATAAAAGGTGGGAACCCAAAGGCTCCTGGAGTGGACATCTACTTAAAATTGGTTGCTGATGGTTGGGATTCAATTTCGGAAGAAGACATTCGTCGATCCTTCAAAAGCTGTCGTGTTGGAATCGATCCAAGTGGTGCCGGCAACCAGATGATTCACTGTTTTAAGTACGATGGCGCGCTTCCTACAGGACTACAGTTACTCAGGGATGAAAAAGAAGTCGACGAGCTTCTGGGTTTGCTTACTTCAGTAAATCTTCTCAATTTTGCTCAAAAAACAGAAATATATGAGGAAGAATTTGGATCTGATATATCAGTTGATCTATTGGGTTGGTGAATTGAAAACTGCAGGATGTTGTCATATGTGACAGTTTGAGCACTTTCTTCAAAAGAAACCCATTTTGATGTCAATGGAAAAGTTGTAGAGAAGCAAAAATTAAGCTTATATCCAAATTTTCAGAACGATTCAAAAACTGGTTTTCAAGAAATGCCAAATTTACGAATTTTCACAAAACTTGCATTTTAAGCGAAACTACTAAGCGTAGCTTTTTGGAAATTTGGCTATAAGCCTAATTTTTGATTCTCTACAACTTTTCTATTGACACCAAAATGGGTTTCTTTTGAAGAAAGGGCTCAAACTGGGCTTACGGCTGACATCTCCAGTCCTCCATTTTTGAGTCTCACTCTTGTCTCACACACAAACCAAAACCCTACTACGAAAGAGGAATCCGCAAATTGCCTGTAAAATGGGCAGAAGTCGTCAATAATAATGGAAATTATTTGGAATGAATTTATGGTTTTATGTTGAATAAATTTTAGTTCAAAGTCGGGCAGTTTTCAATTCATCAACCTAAAAGATTTTTTAAATTCTGGCTTTTTTTCCTTAATTCTTGTCGAATTTTGCTTGTTTTTGTTAAAAAATTAATTGAAAAATGTTTCTTTAATGAGTTGTAATTATCTTATATTTTCCTTTGAATTTGAATAGCAAAAAGTACTATCGAAAAAATAATGCCCCCCAGGGCTACTATTATAGCTTTTACGATAGTAAGTAAAACTAGACTGTAGGATGAGAACAGATTGGCAAATTTTCAAATCAATCTATCGAAACGAATTAAAACGCAACAAACACACAAACATGATGGCTAAATCCTTGTTGGTGACAGCTCTAAACGGTTCTCTTTTTCCCCTTGATTTCCTTTGATTGTTTCACTTTTCCATCTTCCAAGCATTGCTCAACAAAAAGCTCTCTAATTCTTCATCTCATTTGGATGAAATCATTTCCATTCCTTTCCTTTTCCTCAGTTTTTCCAGTTTAAGAGCTTCTTTCTTTCACGAGCGCTTTTCGTTTCATTACTCTGTGCAGTAATGGAAAGATGGGATTTGAATTAGGGAGAAATCCACGAACTTTTTTTCCATCCAACCCTCTTAGCATCGGTCTTTATGGCAATGATGTGAGGTCCATTGCCGAAGCTACTCCATTCATTTCTCATCATTGACAATGAGACTCATCGCTTGTGTGATATTGCTATCACTATGTGTTGTTATTGAGAGCTGTTTAAGAACGACAACGACGACGACGACCACTGTAGCGCCAAGTAAGTTTCGCTAGGCTAGGATTGGGTTGGCGCTAGGATTGGGATTTGGCCGGCTGCACTTAAAAAGCTAGTACTCTCCGGTACATCTGACTTTTTGGAAGCCACCCTTGCGGTGCAAGTCTAGCATATGTTTATGTCAATACTTGAAGGCCAAACTCTATAAAATTGATATAACTAAGGTAAGGTAGCCGCCAAAAAGCCACAAGTACCTACTCTCTTATTGAGAATCAATATTTGTTTAAGTAGAAGTTTTATACTGTCTTCGAAAAACAGCTGCTTACCAAATCTCAAGTCTACTCGCATTTCCAGCTTAACAAAGAGTTCTAACATTTGAACACGAAGAATAACTCAATTGTTAGTACTAGATGACCATTTGGATTTGACAAAAACTAGAATACCCAATAACAATAACTCAATAACAATTGAATAGCTCAATTGTTAGTACTAGAGTTTTACAGTAATTAATGTCTGTAAACTAAACTTGATGGACATGGATATGGACAAAGATCTAAAGCAATACTATTTTCTATAACGGACCATAGCGGAAACTCTTTTGAAAAGATAAACTCTAAATGACCATTTCGATTTGTTCTTGCTTGCCTTTGAAAATAGACAATTCATTGTCAAAATCTTTTTATCTTTTAACCTTTCTTTACTTCTTGATGGACATTTTTGTAGTTTTTGTTAGTCTTTTATATTTCTTATTTTTGCAATAGAGAGTCCCTTTTTTGAGCCTGAAATTTTTCTGTTTACCACTATTCTCTAAAACAAAAAGTTCACTTGAATCGTAAATTCAATCATAATATTTTATCAACCACAACACCGACCACTGTCACCACCTCCACAAACACAGGTTGAGATCAAGAATTGCATGGATAAACCTTTGCATGACAATTCGATAACTTTACTAAAGCTTATTTATCGATCAAAGCACACAGTTAACAATGATAAATGACTAAATCTTTCTGCTTTTTGACTCCTATCACCTTCGCACAGATCGATCAAACATCAGCATCTATTTTTAGCGACAACAACGACTACAACTACCACAACAACGACAACGGTAAGCGTTATACAATTCAAATACACAAACAATACACAAGCACAATCCCTAAGTCCTAAATTTAGGGAAGAAAAACCCATATATATGAGAAACAGAACCAATAAGCTAGCCGGAATTGAACCCTTGACCGTCCGACTCACTAGGGAATGGCGCCAACTTAAGCCGATCTTTTCAAATCGACTCTAGCTTATCTGACAGAGTTTTGAACGCTAATTCCAAAACTGATTTTAGTTTCACCAACGGAGCCCTGTATCGCGAGTTATCTGGCAAAGAATTTTTTGCAAAGGCGGAATGCAAGATGGGCTATATTAGCTCTGACAATGACAGAGCTCTGACAAACTTCTTTGCCAGATAACTCACGATAGTTGGTGAAACTAAAATCAGATTTGGAATCAGCGTTCAAAACTATCAGATAAGGTAGAGTCGATTTGAAAAGGTCGACTTACAGTTGGCGTTGTAAGTTGGCGCTATTTCCTAGTAAGATACAGGGCTTTTAGCCAGTCGGCCATGGCATCCATTTGACAAAAGTATTACTGAGTGAACTAATTTCTAGAAATTTTAAAGGTAAAAGTATCATTTATAAAAGACAAGATGTCAGTTAGCACTTTAATAACGATTAGAGGACAGTAGTGAAACAAGGTTTAGGGTTTAGCCAGTGTTTTCCCCGCCAACATCAAAGCCAATCTTTATTGCCTTTGGATCAAACATAAACTTTTCTATTTAGTTTATTTAGTTGAGCTGATTAAACTGAGAATAGTGTATTTAAGACCACGACGACAACTACAACAACGACAACTACAACAACGACAACGACAACGACAACGACAACGACAACGACAACGACAACGACAACGACAACGACAACGACAACGACAACGACAACAACCACAACAACCACAACAACCACAACAACTTTGGGTAGCCCAGCTCTACTATTCAATTTGAAATCAAAATTTAGCGTGCGCATCTTGTACGTTGACCAATCCACCTCTAACAATCGATTTGGCAAGCTCGGGAACGATTCCATTTGCTACGGGTATTTATTATTCTTGAAAAAAGACTTTCAAAGTTTAGATGTTCTGGCTAAAAATGCGGCTGGCTGTGTGGTAAGAGACTTTACATGCACTTCAACCGCTCCTGGACCCTTTGGCTCAACAATATCGGTAAGGGATTATTAATAATATTAGATCATTTAAAACTTCAACCATTGCCGAATTTCTGATAGTCGAAGCCGAAAATGAGGGCTCTAGTTCGTTAAAGGGTTTTGAATGAGTAGCCACACTTTGAAGGTCTATAACCTTGCTTAGAAATAATATCATTCTTAACTTTTTAATAGTTTTAAAGAGAACAATTCAAGCTTTTAAATGAGATAAAGCTTGATTGGATTGGATTATTCATTTTCATGAAAATCAAGAGACAAGGAGCCGATCTCTTTTGATCAAGTTGGCTTTGATTTTCTCGAGATTGGTTGTTTCGATCAACTTCTATTTTATTTCATTCGAAAGCTTGAATTGTCCCCTTTAACACATTCGCGATGGCGACATTTTGGGCGTACAGTCGCGTAGTCGTGTTTTACTGATAATTTGATGAAGATTCAAAAATAAACTAAATTATTATAGTCATTCAATAGCTCTAAATCTCCTCCTGAAAACTAGTAAAAAGGTTATCGAGAACTTTTTGCAAAATAAATAACAAAATCTTCAAAAACTTGAGTTGGCACCAAAAAAAAATCGTTATTAGTACAACCCACCGGTGGGCTGTACTAATAACGATTGTTTTTGGTGCCTCGTAAGTAGGCTGTACTAATCATCGTAAGTAGGTTTAGATTTAGATCGTGTAGATCGAAAGTTTAAAGAAAACAAAAAGAAAACATAATGCCTGACTTTTGCTTTACTTTCGCACTTACCTTGTAGATGAACTACGCGAGGCTTGCAGCGTCTCCAAAAATTTGTAAACCCATCAAATCACTCTAGCCGGGTGATTTTTATTCTTTTTATAATAAAATCAGCGATATTAAAATAAAAAAAACAGGTGGTTGCCGTAAAAAAAAATTTTTATGGTCATCCGGCCGCGATTAATACCCCCTTTAACACATTCGCGATGGCGGCATTTTGGGCGTACAGTCGCGTAGTCGTGTTTTACTGATAATTTGGTGAAGATTCAAGAATAAACTAAATTATTATAGTCATTCAATAGCTCTAAATCTAAATCTACTTACGATGATTAGTACAGCCCACCGGTGGGTTGTACTAATAACGATTTTTTTTGGTGCCAACTCAAGTTTTTGAAGATTTTGTTATTTATTTTGCAAAAAGTTCTCGATAACCTTTTTACTAGTTTTCAAGAGGAGATTTAGAGCTATTGAATGACTATAATAATTTAGTTTATTTTTGAATCTTCATCAAATTATCAGTAAAACACGACTACGCGACTGTACGCCCAAAATGTCGCCATCGCGAATGTGTTAAAGGGGACAATTCAAGCTTTCGAATGAAATAAAATAGAAGTTGATCGAAACAACCAATCTCGAGAAAATCAAAGCCAACTTGATCAAAAGAGATCGGCTCCTTGTCTCTTGATTTTCATGAAAATGAATAATCCAATCCAATCAAGCTTTATCTCATTTAAAAGCTTGAATTGTTCTCTTTAAAACTATTAAAAAGCCAACTTGATCAAAAGAGTATTTTGTATTTTAGTAAGTATTTTGTTAAAGAAGATAATATGATTATGTTGTTATTGTTGAGGTTAAATTTTAAACTAACTGCAAACTTTTACAGTTCAACATGGACGCAGCTGGTACGACAAGTGGAACACCCACTTCAACCGCCGAATTGGTCTGCAGTGCTGATGGAACGGGATGGACGCTGACTGCAAACGGAGCCACATCAACGATCACCACAATTGGATGCTTTGCTGTCACTTGTACAAACACCCCATCGGCTTGTCCCGGGAAATAAGCTTTCGCAGAATCATATCAGCATTTGAATTTCGGGTACTCTGGATTCATTCTTGCATGTTTTGGCATGTTGTTTGTCCAACTAACATCAGAAATTATCTCACTTTCCTTTGTTTAAAACTTATCTTCATCCTTTGATCCCAAAAAAAGGAGCTTTCATCCCATTAGAAACTCACTTTCATTTCTCAAATGAGCTTTCATTCATGTGTGATAAATTGTTGTCTTTTTTTGATATCCAAGCAAGTATGACTTACAGTTAGATCAAAGGCAGAATGACCTTAGAATTTTAACTTAAACTTAAGACTGAAGAACTTAAAAGTTTAAAGATCTCAATCCGTTATGGTCCGTTATAGACAGTGCTATTCTTAACATTGACATAAAGCTCTGACTTACAGCTTAAAAATTTTTCAGCAACCACAACGACGACTACGACTACTACAACTACAACGGTTTGTTAAGGATGAATTTACGAATGCTTTTTCACTTCTGAACAAACAAGTACCTAGAAAGACTTTATGTTTTTGGATTGCAGTGAGTGTGACACTTTAGACCACAACGACAACTACTACGACCACAACAACGACCACAACTTCAACTACCACAAGTACTACCACGGCTACGACTACCACAACCACCACTACAACGACTACAACTACGACCACTACGCCTACAACTACTACGACAACCACCACTACTGCAACGACGACTACAACTACTACAACGACGACAACTACTACGACAACTACAACGACGACGACTACGACGACCACAACAACAACTACGACAACGACAACAACAACAACGACCACCACAACTACCACTACTACAACAACGACCACCACAACAACCACAACTACGACAACGACAACAACCACGACGACGACTACAACAACGACGACTACGACCACAACTACAACTACCACGACGACGACCACAACTACCACTACTACAACAACGACAACTACAACGACGACTACAACTACCACGACGACGACTACGACGACCACAACAACTACGACAACGACAACAACCACGACGACCACAACTACCACTACTACAACAACGACTACGACAACGACGACCACAACAACTACTACCACCACAACCACCACTACCACAACGGTATTGGCGTTTTGTTATGAAACCTAGGTTTTTTTGTTATGAATCCTAGGTTTTTTTTGTTATGAACCCTAGGTTCTTGTTTAAGCTTAGGCTTACACTCGAAAGTAATCTCACATTTAGCTACAGCCACAGACTTGAGCAAGCAAACATGCATCACTGGAGTTTTCAATAATTTTTAGACCACTACAACGACAACGACGACAACGACTACTACTACAACTACAACGGTAACTTTAGCACTGCGTAATAGATAGCCGTATCTTGGTATCGTATTTTAATCTTTAAACTTCAGACAACAACGACTACTACAACTACGACAACCACGACGACAACTACTACTGTTGCTTTAGGTCTGCAAATCATTTGAACAATTCAATCCTTTGTCTTTAGCCTGCGCTACATGTACGCTGGCTAATCCAATGCTAACGATTGATACGACAAGTAGTGGAACAGCACCATTTGAAAGCCGTAAATAACAATAGGCTTATTTTATTTGGCTTATTTAGAAGTGCTTGGAACAAACGCGGCTGGTTGTGTGACTCTGGATCTAACTTGTACATCATCGGCGCCGGGGGGTTTTCAGGCCACGATTTCTGTGGGTAACAAACGAGTTCAAGGATAGCTTTGATATTTTCTTAAAATTTTGAGACTAAGCAGCTACTGTAACTGGCTTATTGGCTATTCATTGTTCTCTATTACAGTTCAACATGGATGCGGCTGGTACAGCGAGTGGAACGCCGAGCGTAATGGCGCAATTGGTGTGCAGTGCTGACGGATCCGGATGGACACTCACCGCAAATGGTTTCACAACAACGATCACCACAATTGGATGCTTTGCTTTCACGTGTACGAATACACCATCTCTTTGTCCTTGATCTGAAGGCCTTGTTAGCCTTCTTACTTCCTTTCTTCTTCCTTTCTTTCTTCTTCCTCCTTGTCTTTCCTTCTTTCTCTTGGGAAGTTAAGGTATCGGATAGCTCAGTGATTAGAAAAGCAGGAATTGACAGGAAAGCACAAGATCGAGGATTCAATCCCGTCTCCAAAAATCTTTCTTTGTCATTCCTTCATTTCTTTATTACTACAGTATTGTGGAAAAGTACTCACAAATCCCATTAAGCTATGCACTTCACTTGTCGGTGAAGACTTTGATTCCGAACTGTAGTAAACCAAGAGACTGGTATTTTACAGTATTCTTTATTCGTTTATTCGTTTTCAGCTTTGTTTTCCTTTTATCTGTTACTGTTTGCTTTTTTCTAGCCCAATTATTTCAACCATCAATCTGATTTTCAGTGCAAAGAGAATTTTTCCATGGTGTCGGGTGTTTTCTGTTTAATTTGAATGTTTATGTTCAGAATATTATAAATATTGAAGTACAATGTATTGATTGAAAAACGTGTCACTTTACTACAATAGATATATCATATTTGCTGATTGACAAGGACTCATATTCAGCTGGAAAGGAGACACAGTAATCCCGGATTACGATAGTTTTCGTAAAGAATACAGTAGCTAGACTACGGTAGCATTACTGTAAATATATTAGGGCAGCTGAACTATAGTAACATTTAACGAGATTCGGTAGTTTTTTAAACTCGAAAGAGCGAAAGAGCTATTACTAATCTAATAAGTCTTGCTGGTAACGCCAAATACAAAAATAACACAACTTTGCTACGAAAGAACCCAAACACAAAATGCTCCCATAAAACGATAAAGACTCAAGTTCAACTGATCGATGTTCTCTCTCATTTTTACGCAAGAATCATTTTTTGTTCTTACGAATCTGTGATGACAATCACTCTCACTAGTCTTTAGTTGTGCCAAATCTAATCGACTTTCATTTGAGGTTTTTGGGGAAAGTGTAAGCAAAACCTGATCCCACTTGATGCAGATAAAATTGACGGTTCCAAGTTTGTGGTTTTTGATTGTCAATTAGTTGACACATTGCGCTCAAATGAGTCTTTCTTATTTCTAGAGCGAGAATAAGGAAATTGATTGAGATTGACTCTAAATCAAACAAGACAGATCTTCGACTGCAAATTTTTCATGGACAAAGCTTTGGCTAATCTATCAAATTGTTTATTTGAAACATTTAGAGGATTTAAAAATGAGAAAGGAGGAGAAAGTTATGTTCATGGGTTTCGAAAGAAAAGCTATGACAGATTACAGTTCAATGACAAGTCAAAACTTGGTTGGTTGCACCTAGACTCTGCTTGATCTAAATCTGGCTTTGGCTCGGGAATTTTAAATGGCTTTTCCCAAAACCTTTTTTGATATGGAATGCATTTTTAGATTCACAATGTACTTTCATGCATTAGGAGATAACTTTACAGGGTGTCTCAAAACTCCGGCCAACTTTTTGGAAAAGCAGTTATCGCAAGCTTAATTTATTTCAAAGTATCAAGTGTTATATAGAGAATTGTAGCCCTTAATCTTGGCTACATTTCTCTACTAAAACCTTTCCAATCGGATGTATACAGCTCAAATCGTTATGTGGTAAAATGGTAGGGCATTGAATAAGGGGACTAGTGCTTCTTCAAGGACTTGTTAAATAAGTTATATACATCCGATTGGAAAGTTTTTTGTAGATAAATGTAGCCAAGATTAAGGGCTACAATTCTCTATATAACACTTGATACTTTGAAATAAATTAAGCTTGCGATAACTGCTTTTCCAAAAAGTGGTCCCGATAGTTTTGAGAGATGAAAAGTAGTTATCGCACGCTTAATTTATTTCATAGTATAAAGTCCTGCTTATCTGCCAAAACTCTCAAAACTGACATTTGTTGCAATTTAGATTTCTTCTGTGCTTATAAAAGAAAGAGATATCCCTTTTAATCACCATTTTCATCAAGCGCCACCAAAGTTCAACGAAACAACGGGAAATGGCATTTAAAGCAATATTTTAGAACTTAATTCTAAAAATCTGATAAGAATGATATAGATTTCTAAATCTATACCTTTATGGCATCACACGATCAGCTTTATAAAGATCAAAAGAGCAATCCTTTTATAGCTTTGATGACAATGACTGGCACAAGTTTTTTTTCTGGATAAAATCGCTCTTTTTCTCTTTCATGGCTCATTTTTGGAACATGTCACGGGCTTTTTGTGCGCTTTGGAGAACCGGATTATTTGGATTTTGTGGAATCTTTATTATTTGGACAAATTAGCTATAAGTTCTATGAAAGCTGAAATCTGGAAAATGAAATTAGAAGCAAACTCAATTTAAATCTCTCAGTCAAGGGCTTCGAAGTGTTTAAATCTGAAGTTAAATCTATATCTTCATGAAATCACACGATCAACTTTATCAATCGGTTGCTAGTACTTCTTAAAGTTCTATAAAATCGTGTCACAGTTAGACTTTTCAATATCTTCACTATTAGATTCAAGATTCAAGATTTAAAAGAAGCAGATAGTCAAAAACTTGCCAAGCCAAAAGCTGATCAATCCAGAATCATCATCAATCCTCAGACTGATCAATCTGATTGATCATTGAAAAGTCCAGACTCAGAGGCTAACCACTAAGACAACATTTATCATCAAAAGTTCAAGATGTAAACAAAAACTGAACCATTTCTTTTTTTTCTGTGGAACTGTCGCTTTTTTCTCATCCATCTTGCATGGAATGGGATTAATGCCTTTCTTAGATCATTTGATCAACTTTTTCTCCTTTCTGTGATGACAATATCCTCACGTCTTTGGTTTTTTATTTGAACTTGATCACCAAAAAAGTTTCGTAAATTTTTAGTGCTTCTGTTCCAAAGCTTCTTCTGTTCTTTTTAGTGCTCAAGTAGCCTTAAAACGGTGATGACGTATTGGAAAAGCTTAAGTAAAAAAAAACACTATGAATGGGACATTAAACAGAAATGATTTATTAAAAAATAGGGCCAGCTCTGTGTTACAATGGATAAGGCTATTTCGAATTTTTTTCAGGTTCTTTAAGAATGCCAAAAGTCGGATTTCGGCCCACAAAAATCCCCTGAAGCTGCCAGCAACCGTACCTGGATCTAGCTTCTTTTAAACTAGTCTAACTGGTTTTAACCTAGCCAGCCAACAGATCTAGAGTCTGATATCCAGGACTACAGACTCTTCTTGTTCAGGTGATACGATGAGTTCTTTATTACCAGTCTCTTTAGCTCTCCCGGACAACGGGGATTTTGAAAAGTGATAAACTAGCGCACTTCCAAACTTCTTGCTTCCCCATTGCTCTTTAAACTTTAAAGCTTAAATGAAAGAACCTCAACGACTTTAGTCTGGAGAAGTCCTTGAAACCAGGCAATACCATTTCTTTTTTCTTAGCTGTTTTTTTAGACACCAGTCTTCATTCCTTTTAGAATGATATTTGAATTTGAATTTGAATACACTCTGCCTCATATGGGGTACATTTGATTTACTTCCAGAGTTTCGACTCTGGAAGCATTAGACCCAGTACTAGACTTGCTTAACAAGAATTGACGAGATAAATGGGTCACGCAACTTTAAGCGCTTGAGATCGTTTGAGATCTAGCCAACAGAGTATCTAGCTATTGAACTTCTTTTATTTAAAAGCTAAGATTTTAAGCTATCTAATGATACCCATCACTTATATTTTCCTTTTGGAAAAGTGGGTCAAAAACCTTATCAAGACTTAACGACATAACAAGGAATTGTCTTGTTAAGTCTTGATAAGGTTTTTGACCCACTTTTCCAAAAGAAATATAAGTGATGGGTATCATTAGATAGCTTAAAATCTTAGCTTTTAAATAAAAGAAGTTCAATAGCTAGATACTCTGCTGGCTCGATACTCTGCTGGCTAGATATTTTGCTGGCTAGATACTCTGCTGGCTAGAATAAGCGCCTAGATTTACGCAATCTTTTGATCGATCTGATTAAGCAAGTTACCCAGTACTCTTTTAAGGGAAAAGTCTTTTTCTCTTTTCAACACTGCTGGTACATCATTCTCTACAAATTACAAGTTAAATTTTATCTTTCTTTGCATAAACAGCTTTTACAATCATTTCTTATTAAGTATAAAAACTTATTAAGCGATAAACAAACGAAATTATCAAGTTCTCTCTCAAATCGATCTAAATTTTAGTACTTTTGAATCCGTTGATCAACGTGCAGTGATAGGATTGCCCTAAAAGGCGCTCAAAAGCTAAAATAGCTAAACGCTAAAGCCATTGTCTCTTTTATCTTCAGCAAGCATGGGGAATGTCTTTTGTGCACTCACTTTTGCTTCTTTGTCTTTCGAAAAACGGCGTGTCATTAGTTTTGCCTTGAGCATCGGATTTGAATCGGTGAAAAGAGAAGGGGGAGTTCCTCAGGGGCGAGTTTTGCCAGCCGGTGTCACTTGCCACGAACACTTCCCCTTCATTCACTCACCAATCGCTCCTTTTCATTCTTAAACCAATCCCTCAATCCCCCATTAATTAATTGGAAATGCGATTAGATGATTTGGCCTTAATTCTCTCGATTCTTTTCGCATTTGGTCAAGCATGTATTCGAACGGTGCCCCCAACGACCACGACAACAGTGAAACCAACCAGTAAGCTATTTTTTTTTGACTTAAAACTCTTATCTTTAAAATTCAATTGTGGGTTTTCATGGATTCTTTTATTTGAACAATTCATTTTTATTCTATAATTCTTCTTCTTCATAACTTATCAATAAGATCTATCTAAGCTAGCATTCTGTCTTTCAACTTTTTAGAAAACCAGTTAGCGCAAGCTTAATTTATTTCAAAATCTCAACTATTATGTAGAGAATTGTAGCCCTTAATCTTGGCTACATTTCTCTACTAAAAACTTTCCAATCGGATTTATGCAACTCATTTAACAAGTCCTTGAATAAACACTAGTCGATCTCTATCCAGTGCTGCTGTTTTTGATGATTTTCTACTTAAAATGTTTATCTAACAAGACTTTATCTAGTAAACTTTGTGTGTATTTTGTTAAAAAATGATTTCCAATAATTTCATAGCGTCAAAATAGCTAATATGTAAACTAAATATCGAAAAATGATCAAATTTCACTTTCCCTGCGTCTTCAAAGAAGCTCGATTAATTTTTGTTATAGCAGGTGAGCCAAAACGGTTTAAAGTTATCTTTAATAATGTTAAATAATATTTTTACATAAAGTAAATATTGGCAAAACTTTGGAATAATTTTCATGTAGAAAATCATCAAGAATGGCAGCACTGGATAGAGATCGACTAGTGCTTCTTCAAGGACTTGTTAAATAAGTTGTATACATCAGATTGGAAAGTTTTTTGTAGAGAAATGTAGCCAAGATTAAGGGCTACAATTCTCTACATAGCACTTGATAGTTTGAAATAAATTAAGCGCACTTTTCCTTAAAGTTGTTGATGATTTTGAGACATTTTAAGATTCTGAAAAATCTATTTGCTATATCTTTTGGATCAAATTAGCATATTTCTGCCTAAATGCCAAAAACGAATCAATGTTTTAAGAAATGTCTTAAGTCTGACGACTTAAAACATTTCGCTAATATATTTTCTTATTGAATCAATCATGAGTAGCTACCAATTCTTACTTGGATTATCCTTTCACCGTCAATTGCTCATCGTTGCACCATCGTTGCAATTAAAAGCACCATTTTTCTTATAAGCTTTAAGCACTGATTTCTTCTTGCACTTCAAACTTTTTTACATGACTTTCATTTATCGCACGGTCATCTATTAAAGCACACAGTGTTCTTCACCATAAGTGCTTTCACAAGGCGATTTTCCCTCTTTTTGACAAACACAATTCATTGCTTTGGCATTGAAAACTGCTTAGGTAGCCCTTTTCCCCTAGATAGGAGATTTCTTCTCATTTAGTGTAGAAAAAAAACTTCACAACTTTCACAAAGCACACAAGGGATTGGGAAAATTTTGTTTGCTGGGGTTGGTTTTGCTAAACCTTTTCTGCTTTAAGGAAATGAATAAACCTCTAAAGCTTTCCGAGCGTTCTGAAGCTTTCTTTGTGCTCAAAGTGAAAACAAAGTCAAACTTGATGAGTTCAATTCTTTCTTGAAAGAAAAGCAGGATGATGTTGGTCCTGTTTTAAGCTGTCTAAGTTTTTTTAACTTGCATGTGAGCTTTTGTTGAGATTTCCTAAGAGAACGACCAATCAGATGACATCAATCAGATGTCATCATAGCTGTTTCTGCGCTGGTTTAAAGCCGTAAAAACTAATCGATAGAATAAATAACGAGCGTTTACTTTAATTTAAGCAAAACAGAATCAGATTTCACTAAAAACCTATAAGTTAACCTTTCTTTTTTCATGAGAATCTCTTTTATGTGTTATTATTAGTATCCAGAGATAAGTAAAGTGTGTTAATGCGTAGTAATACGTTTTCTAAGAGGTGGATGTTTAGAAAACTATTGTAACTCTTTAGATTTTTTCTGATTCAATTCATTATTAGTAAGGGAAGCAACTAGGAATCAGGAATCAAATGAAAATCAAAGAATAGGAATCAAATGAAATCAAAATTAAGGAAAGAAGGAAGGAAAAAGGACAAACTCTGAAGGAACGATTATCCACCTTTTAGGAAACTCATGACTTACAAGTTATGCAGAGAATTGTAGCCCTTAATCTTGGCTACATCCCTCTCATTACTAAATTCAAATCTCACTTTTAATGTCTGCAATGTCACAAAGTCTTTGTATTCCTTTTCTTGTGAATATGATTGAATTTCATTGACGACCACACGATTGACCACCACTACAACAAAGGCTGAAGGTAAAAGCATGTCCGACATTTGCTTCCTATTAACGCTGTTTGTTATGCTGTGAATCTTTCACTATCCACTTCACTAGAAAAAGCTTTTCCTTTTAAAAGCTATCGACTTTTTATTAAATACAGCTATAATATCTTGCATGCTCACAATCAAAACAAGAGTTACAGCAAACACCTTTGATGCAAAAACTTTGTTTTAAGGCTAATTTTTAATGTTTCTATTTTATTAAATATTTCTCTTGGTTACGAGTCAAATCCTTTTGGAGAAGTTGTTTCTGTATTCGATCTGAATTGAGTTTTACTTAGTTTTAAAAGCCAACAATTCCACTGTTTTAAAAGACAATCAATCAGTTCTAAATCAGTTTTAAAAGCCAACAATTCCACTGTTTTATTAGGGTGGTGCAAAAGAAACTGCCGATTTGACGGTAAATTTTAAAAAAAATGGCATTCGATGATGACATGATCACAATGGAATATTTTCGCAAGATTTCGAGCAGATTGGCATGGATCGACCTGTATAACGTCTCTCAGCTTGGCTTTGTTCACGACTTCTGGCCTCGAGCCGTGCTCGTAATCTTCCAAAGCTTCGTCTCCTTCTCGGAATCGTTGAAACCAAGTCTGACACTGCCTGAGAGACAAACTGCCATCTTCGAAAGCAGCACAGAGAGAACGATGCGATTCGGCAACAAACTTTCCAATTTTGAAGTTAAACAGTAATGCTGCTCGTAGCACAAACTTTTGCTCGACCATGATCTAAATAAAAAATATAAGCATTTTAAAATAAAATAAACAAGCGCCAAAAAATTCAAATGTCGAAATAAATAGCAAACAAATATGCGAACAAAACATTAAAAAAATAATGCCGTTAGGATCGCCCGTTTCTGATAAATGAGAGCTGATACCCATCGGCAGTTTCTTTTGCACCACCCTAATAAAAGCCAACAAGAAAAAGAAGTTGAAAGCTTTGAATAGCAAGTTTATAAATAAAGAATCAGTCTTACTACTCTGTTTGGCAGTTTAATAAGTTTTCTAAAATTGATGCTTTTCTAGAAAACTCTTACTATGTATTAGTTATTTATTAGGGAAATTTCAATAACTGACTTATAATCATTGACTTTAGTACGATTATAACGCTAGTTAGAGTACTGAGGTTATTTAGGATTAAGTTCAACCCCTTAGACAGTAAAAATTTTAAAAATAAAGGCTATTTTGTTGTCTGTTTGCTTATTTGCATATTTGACATTCTTACAGTGAAATAAAATCTGAAAACTGACTACTTAACTTAACTAAACTTAACTGATTACCATTTTAATCTCTAGATCTAACAAAGCAGTCTGCTAATATAATATAATAGAATTTGTTTAGTTTTATATTTATATTTAGTTATTTAGCTTAGTTTCGTTTAGTTTTAGAATGAAATTCTTGTTTATTGGCTAGCTGCGTTTTTGTATTTCAATAAAACAGAGTAATGAAAGCTTCCTTGTTAACTTTTTTGGCAAGAAACTGTCGCTTATCTGCCATCTATGTAAAACCAAAGAAACTTACCGTAAATACTGTAATAGTACCCCACCGCCCTCGTACAGTCGCGTAGTCGCAAAAGTTTTTTAGTATTTTATTTTTTTGCAAAGCGCCCGTACTTTCAAAAAATGCGTCTTTGGTATCAAAAAATAGCTGAAATTCAGGGCTATTTTTTGATACCTAAGCGCACATTGTAGCATAAACCAGTGTCGAGAAAAACTCGTTCAAAGCTAAACTACGCAACGCTCGGCACCGTCATTATGGGGCTGGGGTACAAATACAGTATTTACGGTAGGTATTGGACTTACTTAATTGCCCTGGAATATCAAAAAATAGCCCTGGATTTCAGCTATTTTTTGATACCTAAGCGCGCATTGTAGCATAAACCAGTGTCGAGAAAAACTCGTTCAAAGCTAGACTACACAACACTCCGCACGGTCATTATTGGGGTGGGGTACTATTACAGTAGTTACGGTATGTAAAAACAGATGAGTTACTGTAAAACAATTATTCAAATAAAGTACACATAAAGATATTTAAACCTAAAAAATTTAAACCTAAACCTATCGACTAACAGTTTTCCAATCCATTTGTTTTGCCACTCTTTTCTACACACTTCACCATTTTTAGTTACCACAACCACAACCACGGCTACTACAGGTAAAATGTTTTTACTAACACTTTCCTCTCAAATATTTACAAATAATTTTATTTTTCTTGTTTTAAACTTAATTTTAATGGCTCGGCGATAAAATGCATGGCTGATTTTTTTTATTCAAACTTTTATTCTATTTCCTACTTCTTTGTGCATGAAACTTTGAATCGACTAAATTTTTGCGTTGGGTTTCTTTTCTTTCTTTGTTATTTTCTCGTTTAGTAACGACGACGACTGGAACAACGACAACCACGACAAAGACGACTACAAAAACGGTAGGGTTTACAGATTGTTTAGATCCTTACAACAATGTCAAAAAAAGTTAGGTCTAAGCTAGGTTAGCTATGGTTTTGAGCGCTGAAAAGCAAAGTATTAGCAAAGCAGCTAATTTCTTGTCTTGACCTTTTTGAATGAAACAAATGCTATTCAGGATTGGCAAAGCTAAGGTTAGCCAATAGTTCTCAAATAGTCTTGGCTTGGAATTTCAACCTTTTCAATTTGGCTTACCGAATACCTTGGCTTTGGTTTGACTTGGCCTAAAATTTACGTTGGCTTGGTTTTGCCTTGATTTAAATTGAAAATTTTCCTTTTTGCCAACTCTAGTGCTATTAAATTGATTAAAAAACGCAAATTCTGAAGCTCGGTGTTGAAAGTGTTGATATTATTTAACGGGGGTCAAACTTTGCGTCAAATTTTTTGCTCAACTGAGTCTTCTGCCCAACTTGCCATAACTTTCTTCTAAGTGTGCTAATCTTTATGATTTTAATGTCATTTTGTAGATCTCAACAAGTGCAACAAAATGGCATTAAAATCATAAAGATTAGCTCACTTAAAATAAAGTTATGGCAATTTAGGCAAGTCCCAATAGAGAAATTCTCTACCTTAACCCTTTTTTAAAAGGTTAAATACGGTGGCTATTAGGTTGGTGCAAAAGTCTTTTTCATTTTTTTCGTACTTCTGTTAAAAAGTAACAAATTCACCAATTAATCTATAGTTTGCTCTATAAAAAAAGTGTTTTTTTGTTGAATTTCCATCTTTTTAAATCAATTTCGGTTCACTTTCTAGCAAATTCGAGAGTGAAAAACGCCTTTTTCGTAAAAATCTATAAAAAACTCTACGGAAAAATTGGCTGAATGAATTTCTCTGAAATTTTGGCGAAATATCAAACTTTTTTTTCTCTATCTTTTATCTATTGACACGAAGATAGGTTTTCTTTAGCTAAGGTGTCTAAACCGCATCATCGAGTTAGCCCTTTTTGACTACCCGCCTTCATACTCTCAAGAAAATCCAGGCATAAAATATTTTTAAACCCGTTTTAATGTTATTTTGCAGAAAAATAATTGCTTTTTCTAATGAAATCAACCGTAGTTTAATTGGTGCATTTGTTGGCTTGAAACGGCAGACGAAAAAATATGAAAAAGACTTTTGCACCAACCTAATACTTTGCGCCAAATTTTTTGCAGAATTGGCCATAACTTTCTTCTAAATAAGCCAATTTTATAATTTTAGTGGCATTTTGTTGCACTTGTTGAGATCTACAAAATGGCATTTAAATCATAAAGACTAGCTCACTCAGAAGAAAGTTATGGCGAGTTGCGCAAATGAGCCAAAAATTTGGCGCAAATTAGCCACCGTTTTTGGCCTTTTAAAAAAGGGTTAAGGTAGAGAATTTCTCTATTGGAAGATTATTCCAAAATGGTATCACAGCTTTGTTTAGTTCTAGGCTTTGTTCCAAACTTATAGTTAGAACCTTGCTCCTTTTCTACTCAAAAATCTTGAGTTCAATTTTTAGACAACCACACCGACGACCACACCGACGACCACTTCAACCACCACTTCAACCACCACTACCACTACAACAACACCACCACGTAGAACAAATTTTTTTTTAGAAATTTTATATTCATATGAGTAGAGCACAATATTTCATTTTAGCATGCGCTGGGTGTACACAAGCACAAACCGAGGCACTTGTCGACACGACCTCCTCTGGATCTGCTCCGTTTACTAGTAGTAAGTTCTTTAGCTACTCAACTTCAATATTTGAAGTGTACAAATACGAGTAAAGTTTAAAGAAATTCAAAGAAATGTTTGCTTTACTATAACAAAAAACTTTAGTTACGAAAGGAATGGACGCGAGCGGTTGTGCGACTTTCACATTGACTTGCACCTCGACCGTTGCCGGTTTTGCAGCCACTGTTTCGGTAAGTGTCTCTATGTTTATCGGGGATTTTGAAAGTTGATGATACAGTTTGATTAGGGGAAAAGTTTAAAAAAACCAGACTAGTTTCTGGTTTTAACCTTGAGTGTCCCACTCTCGAGCAATCGCTTTCTAAAAGACACTCATTTTGGAAAGCTACTGTACAGGGTGCGTCATAATTATGGGCTTGGGATGTTAGCTTTATCTGTGACCATTTATGTTGTTATTTATGTCATTTATGTGGTTATTTTCTATCTTGTGCTTTTTTCATGTTTTCCCTTGTTATTTAATACAATTTCTAAGATTATATATTGTTTTTTAGAAATGGTCAAGCCGAGTGTGCGTCGGAAATTGATCATAACGTTCCATTGATGGGGGCTTTTGACACGTGCAATCTCTCAAATTTCGGAGTTTCTAAGCGGCTCATGAACAAGACGATTAAACGCTTCAAGGAATTGGGAACAAATGTTGATAGAGTTGGTCGAGGAAAACGGCGTTCTGTAGTGATTCAATCCAGCATTCAATCTCCGAAAAAGTGCGTCGTAACCCGGAACGATCAGTCCAGCTCATGTCACGCCAAATGGGAATTTTTGAGCCTTTCTTGCGTCGAATTGTGCAGCGCGAATTCAAGATGAAAGCTTTCAAAAAGAAGAAGGGTCAAGGGCCCACCGAAGCTGCCAAAAAGAAAAAAAGAGCGATGTAGGACCTTCTCAGCCGATTCAACCAAGGCGGCTGTTGCGAGATTTTGTTCTCCGATGAAAAATTATTCAACGTTGAACAAGTGCTAAACAAACAGAATGACCGAATTTATGTCATTTCTAACCCACGAAAATCGATAATGCGCGTTCTTTATCTAGCTTCAGTCATTGTGTGAGCAGGGGTCACGGCCAATGGAAAGACTCCTTTCGTCTTCGTGCTATCAAGAGTCAAGGTCAACAGTCAAGCATATTTGGACATTTTGCGACAAGACGTTTTGCCCTGGGCTCAATCTCATTTTGGACAACGTAGCTGGGTATTTCAGCAAGATGGAGCACCAGCTCACAAGCCTCGAATGGTTCAGGATTGGTGTAAGCAGAACCTACCCGATTTCATCTCATTCAACGAGTGACCTCCAAACTCGCCGGATCTTAATCCACTTGAATTTTCAATTTGGTCAATCTTAGAAGCTAAGGCGTGTGCTAAACCACATCGAACAGTTGACTCGTTAAAGAAAGAGTTCCTTAAAGCAGGGGAGGAGCTTGATGTTGCCTACTTGCCACAGTTGACGCCTTCCGCCCACGTCTTGAAGCGTGTGTCGCTGCTGACAGAGGAATTTTTGAAATTTAAGTTTTACACTTGTTAACATATAAATAAAGATTGTTATAAAAACTTTTTTATCTTTGGGTGACTTGTTTTTCGGTTAGTGCTGGCTGATTTATCTGGACCGATAATTATGATGCATCCTGTGTGCGCTTAATGCAGCTTTTGACTTTCTAAGACAATATGTATTAACCTAAGCTGAAAAACAATAATTAATTATAAAATTTTGTAAGTTTTCCATAGAATAGAAGAACCGTAGCATTTTCTGATGACTTTGACAGCCCTAGCCGAGCAGTACAACAAATGCTATGCTGTGATGCTGAAAAACAGCTAAATTCGAGTCTAAAGCCTTCAAAAAATCGTCTTTTTCCATCTTTCTCTGCATTAATACGTTTCTAGAGTTAATTATTATAAAAATAATGCTTTTTGAGCTTCATTATTGCAAATTCGAGGTTATCTTGGCTAAGAAAAATGAGCACATTTTTTGAAAGGTTTAATTTTCTCGAGAGCAGCTAGCACTTTTAAACTTATAGGACTTTCATATAGGACTTTTAAAGTCCTATATGAAACGAATGACGTTTTAAATGCTTACACAAACTCATAAATCTAGTGAAAAATGTCCGTAGATTTTAAATATCGAAACAAAAAAACTGTCAGTTCTTTTGGTTTTTGAGAAAACCATACTTTTGTAGAGCGCTTTAGAACTCTGTCACTTTAGAACCCTCTAAAAGCTTCCTTGTTGATTTTATTTTATAAGTGTTTATAGCCAAAAAATAGCCAATCTTTTACAGAATTTAAATAATATTAAAGTTTTTAAATAACCTCTTTAGATTTTGAGTTATCGCTATTCGAAATTCGAAATTGTGAAATTGCTATTCGAAAAAAGTATCTGTGTTCGCAGATATTTTTCGGCTTTTTTATTGCAAAAATTTCTATAAATTGGCTAAATTTTGGCTGTAAAAACTTATGAAATAATAAAAATCAGAGAGAATTCAATTAAAGGGAGTTTTAAAAGGACAGAACTTTCGCCACATCCTGTAATCAAATCACCAGTTTAGATTCAATCAGTCCAATTCTGATCCATTTAATGAGGAATCAGTCAATGCTACCAAAATTGGACAATCAATCGGCAGTTTTATTACGGTTTTTCTAGTGTCTTCTAATAAGCGCATTGCTCGCGACTGGCCTGAACACACTCTATTCTGACCTAACCTTTAAACTTTGGTTCTTAAACAGCCTTGAACCCAAGATCGCTTTTTACAAACTACAAACTTCTAGAAACTCAAAAGAAATTACTCTCTTTCTGTTTTTAATTGAAAAATTTCAGTTCAATAAAGACGCGGCTGGGTCGGAGACAGCCACACCGACAGTGACGACCACTATAACATGCGATGCTGAAGGAAATGCACTAGCAAAGACACAAGCCGGAGCAACGGTGGAGATTACATCGATTGGATGTTTCCCTGTCACTTGCATGACAAATCCTTCTTTATGCCCATAATCATTCAACTTTTGAGTTGAAATCTGGAGGTCTTTCTCCTAAAAGGCTTAAAGGGGTGGCTGGGTTTGTTCATAAATATTTGGTTGTCCAGTTATGAATGCGCGTTTTTTACTATTTTATAAATTTCTCAAGATACCGAAATCAAGAAAAAGTTATATATGCGTATTATTCGAAAGCTGAAGATCTCCTCTACATTTTGATATAAAGTTTTTTTGAATTTGGTTCTGCTTTTGGGCAAATTGACTGCACAAAAGAAGAGGTGGCCAAAAATGGAAGGGTGCCTTTGGATCAAGTTTTGGCTTCGCTCAAATTGAGTTAACCGTTTGATGTTTGGCCAATAGAGATATCAATACAACTTTTTTTTTAAATATAACAATTTCAGAGCATCTTTACTTTTCTTTTCTGGGCGGTTATTTTACACCATAAAACTTGAGGAATAGCTAAGCTGAAATAAGTTTTTTCGAAAACGACCTCTCCCTTCATGCAGTCAATTTCCCAAAAAGTTGAATAAATTCAAAAAGTTTTTTTATTCCAAAATGTAGAGGAGATCTTCAGCTTTCGAATGATATATAACACTCATATACATCTGTTCGATATCTTGAGAAATTCATAAAATAGTAAAAACGCGCATTCATAACTGGACAACCCAATAGAAAGTGCTTCCGACGATGTTTTCTAAAACGTTTTACCTTTTGAAACTATCGTAATTAGCCGCTAGTTGTACTTCAATCTATCTACTTTTTGTTTTATTATTTGAGAATTTGTGAAGATATCGAAAGACAGCAAAAAATAGATTGGTAGGATCGAGACACGATTACGGTTTCGAAATTCGAAAGTTGACACGTTTTAAGATTCAAAAGGAAAGCACTCTATTCAAGAATGGTTAAACGATTTTGATTTAACTCTTACTATATTAGATATTAGTTAGGTTAAGGTTCTCTGACTGCTGAATTACATTTAAACAATATTGAGGACTACTGTAGTATATAAACTTAATCTATAAGCTGTATTACCTTTGGAGTAAAGTGAGTTCGCTACTTAATCCATTCTAAAAGGCAACTAGTTAGTAAAACTATCATATCAAGCCACCAGTTTTCGTTATTGAGCCAATTTTGGCCAATCAGCCCAATTTTGGTATTATTCGACGAGGAATCACAAGACTCGATTAATGATTTCAAAATTCGGCTGATCGGATGTAAATTGGCGGTTACGATAATAAAATAAGTGCCTTTTAGGAACTGTATATTTTTGTAAGTATAAAGTCAAGCTGTAAGTTGGAGTTACTTTTTGAATTCAAAGTACAGACAGCCAAATCTGAAATCAGTTTTCTAAACCTAACCATTCGTTTAAGCCATTTCATTTAGGAGAAATTCCAAAAACTCAATGAAAATTATTTCTTTTTGCTTTGTGCAATTTAATCCATCTTTTTTGAAAACTTCTATCAACAACTATATAATATTTTTTTTCTAAACTAGTCAACTTTTTTTTATCGACATTTCCATCAGAAATTCGATTAGATTCGGCCAAATAGCCATACAAATATTCAATTTTCTTTTTCCATCACAATTTAGAGCTTTAGCTGTTTAACTAAATTGCTCTTTCGATGTGTATAAATTTCATGCATTTTTGGACTATTTGCTCAATGATCTATGAACATATTTGGTAAGGGAGAATAAAATTTTCAATAACACTTCTACAACAAACACTAACAGTCGAAAAAGTTTAAAAATCAAAACCAAATCAGAGGCCTTCTGTTTGCTAGGCATTGAAGTGTACTAGACAGACGCTCTGCCACTGAGCCAATGAGATCCCAGAATTCATATTATTCTCATGAATGGCACAATTCCCATTGAATTTCAAAAATGAAGAGATGAATGAGATATTTGTTCATCCATTTCTCTTTCTAACCACTCATCGCCCGTTTAGCTCAGTGGCAGAGCGTCTGTCTCGTAAAAGAATTGAGTAAACAGAAGGTCATCAGTTCAATCCTGATAGTGGGCAATTCATTTTTGATTGAAATTTGGGAATTGTGTCATTCATAAGAATAATTTCAACTCTGGAATCCCATCGTCTCATTGGCTCAGTGGCAGAGCGTCTGTCTAGTACACCTCAATGTCTAGCAAACAGAAGGCCGCTGGTTCGATTCCAGCATGAGACATCTATTTTTGTAATGAAATGTTTTGTAATGCTTTTTGTATTGTTTCCAATCTCTCCCCAGATTTCTTTTTTGAATTTTTTGGATTTTCGCGTTTGGATTCTCTCTGAAAAGCCTCAAGAACCCGGCAAAATTCGTTTAACCAATCGAAATTCGCTCACTCACTTCTACAAAAGTTCAAAAGGTTTTTGGGAAGTTATTTTTTGGCTCATAAACTAAATTGTTCGGTCGGAAAAAATCGGAATGAATTAGATGAAGTTTTAGCTGAAAGAATCAATGCATCGTTTGACTAGAAATCACAAAGCTTAGGCAAGAGGCCAAAAATTAAGCTGACTGCATTAAAATTTTTTGCGTAGAAATTGAATCCTTTCTGAAAAGCCTCAAGAACCCACCAAAATTCGTTTAACCAATCGAAATTCGCTCAGTCGCTTCTACAAAATGTCAAAAATAATGTCTCATGCTGGAATCGAACCAGCGACCTTCTGTTTACTAGACAGACGCTCTGCCACTGAGCCAATGAGACGATGAGATCCAAGAATTGATAGTACTCTCATGAATAGCACAATTCCCATTGGATTTCAAAAAGGAATTGCCCACTATCAGGATTGAACTGATGACCTTCTGTTTACTCGATTCTTCTACGAGACAGACGCTCTGCCACTGAGCTAAACGGGCGATGGGTTGGAATGAAAGAAAAATGGATAATGAATGGATGTAAGAGATATTTGTTCATCAAAACATCAAAAGAGCACTCAATAAGCTGTTCAAATATTCAAAAACAGAAATTTCTACTCAAATTCTCCCACCCCTCTCAACAGCCCTTATAGCTCAGTGGTAGAGCGTTGGTCTTGTAAACCAAAGGTCGGTAGTTCAATCCTGCCTGGGGGCATGAAATTTTTGGATTGATTTTGAGCCTTTTTCATATTGAATGTTCACTTAATATGCAAATATTCTCATGTACTGGATGAACGATTTTTATCAACAAGAATTCTTGAAATTGAAATTTATTGAACAGAAATGTTGTAAATTCTTGCTTCTTGACAATAGATACTTTTAAAAATAACAGAACTCAAGAATGATAACTAATAATGATAACATACAAGATAATAAATATTTAACTTTTCATTTCTTTTCGTTTTGGGAGTCATTTTTAACGTTTAAAGCTGAAAAACGCAACGAATTATAAAACAACAAGGAAATTTTTCAATTGAAAATGAAAGATTTGATTTAAGCAGAAGAGCTTAAAAGCTTAAACTCAAAAAGCAAATTACTAAAAAATAATAAAGGAATGAAAAAAAAAATGAAATTAGAGAATTGCGATCGATTGAAAATGGAATAAAATCGATGAACCTTGAGCATTATTTAAGGAATTTACTTGTCATTTTCCCAGAACTGGTTTATAATAATAATAATAATACTTTATTCAAACGATAAAGATAAAGTTTGACAGATAATTGTAAGCAAATGGGTTAAAATCGGCTAAATTTCATAGGTAACTAACCTTAAAATTGATTAAATCTTCAAGAAAATAACAAAATAAAAACAAAAGATCAGAATCAGAAAATCAATTTTTGATGACACAATCCTCTATTTGAACCCGTTTCCCTTCTTCAAACGCTTGATTCTTGAAAATAGATGTGAAATCTTGGTGTGAAATCACTCACGAGATCAACCATATCAAATAGATCAGAGTGGCTCTCAAACCTGTTCCAAATCAAGCCAGATCAAAGACGGAAAGTCTGGAATTTGCAACTTTGGGAAATTCAGGAAGTGGAGATTGAGAGCGAAGTTAAAATTATATGTCAAAATGTTTTCTAAAGGTTTACAACTTTCAAAATCTAAGCTTTATGGTTGTAGTCACTTTAAGCAATAATGGTTTTAAAAGAAAGTACCATAATCTAATAGAACGCCATAATGACGCTGGTACGGTCGCATAGTCTAACTTTAAACATCTCGTTCTCAGCGCTGTTTTATGCTATAGTGTGCGCTTGGGTGCCAAATGATAGCCCTTGAAATCTAGAATTTTGTGGTATCAAAAGTCTAATTGAGAAAAATTTAGAAGCTGAGAAAAAATGATTTTCTAAAAAGAAGTTAGATTACGCGAGAAAGTGGCGTTTTATTAGAGTATTTATGGTGTATTTAGATGACAATTTGGTATTTACGATTGATATTTACGGTATGTTTAGATGTCAAAGTACTACGATATTACCAAGATGGATAAACTACTGAAATAAAGTGCTTTCTAAGAGTCAGACTTAAGAAAAGCTACCGTACCTATTAAAGGTCAATTTTTAGGGTTTAAGCGACATCTCGTTTGATTTCTGGTAGATTTTTGGTAGATTAAAATGAGCTTTACTTGCCAGCAAACAATTGCTTATTGATTTTGCTAGACAAGCAGGGATTACGATAGTCTTCCCAAGCTCCCAAAAGCGTTTTAAAAACTCTTGTGAATACCGTCTGCTTCAGGTAAGGTAAACTATCTTTATTACTATATCTTTTTTTGAAAAGCTCTTATCTATTCATTTTATTATCAAACAGAATCTCCTAAAATACAGTCGACACTCGATTTAACGACGGGACCAAAAATTTCGATTCGACAAAAAACCAAGATTTAAAAAGTGTCCCAAATTTCTTGCGTGGTGGCCCCAACGATAGCAGAAGAGCGACGCAAAAACCAAGGGCTTGTTTGAAACTTCAAAATCGTTTTATCAAGAGTCGATTGTAGAGTGTGAGTAATGTGAGTAATGCGTTTTTTAAAACGCACACTTGGGAAAAAATTACCGTACTTTTAGGAAAAATTATTGGGAGTGGGACAAATGCGACCTTTTTTTTGCGCACCCGGACATTTGCGCACCTTTTTTTCCGCACTTAGCCCATTAGCGCACCTTTTTTCGCGTTTTAAAAAAGCTCTAAAAGCTAATATTAACCAATTTCTATTCCAAAAGTTGTTTTTCTAGGTAATTTGAGGGTGTCGAATTCAAATTTTGACATAACAGAGCGTGTGGAACCAATTTGAAAGACAAATTACAGAAAATTGGCGATTTTTCTCTTTGTATAACTCCGTCCATTCGCTTCCACAAGCTCTGATATGCCAAAATTTCGATTCTACGCCCTCAAATTACCTAGAAAAACAACTTTTAGAATAGAAATTGGTTAATATTAGCTTTTAGAGCTTTTTTAAAACGCGAAAAAAGGTGCGCTAATGGGCTAAGTGCGGAAAAAAAGGTGCGCAAATGTCCGGGTGCGCAAAAAAAAGATCGCATTTGTCCCGCTCCCAAATTATTGCAAAAAAATGACCCAAAAATCACGAGCCCCGCATTATATACGACACTTTTTAAAGATACTCAGCCGTTTAACTGATTTGGTGGGAAATTCCCTTCCAATGTAAAAAATGATTTTTTTGAAAAACCTGGGGGTAGGCTAGTTTCCGCAACTTTTTTTTGCGCAACAGGGTTATTTGCGCAACTGGGTCGTTTGCGCAACTTGCCATAACTTTCTTCTAAGTCGACCAATCTTTATGATTTTGGTTTCATTTTGTTGCACTTATTCAGCTCTACAAAATGAAACCAAAAGCATAAAGCATAAGCATAAAGATTGACTCACTTAGAAGAAAGTTATGGCGACTTGGGCAAACGACCCTGTTGCGCAAAAAAAAATTGCGGAAACTAGCTTACTCGAAAACCTGCGCAAAAAATAGCTTTTATATTTTTTTCGCGCTGGCGCACTTTTTTAGAAAACGCATTACTCGACAATTACTCGAGCTATTACTCGAGTAAAAAATTACTCATGCAATTTTACTCGAGTAACTACTTACTCGCGAGGAAAACACTCTAGTCGATTGTAACAGTATTCACTTCTTTGTTAAACTAAAGCTTTCGAAGAATGTTACGCTTTTTCAACAGTATTTTATAAATAAGCCGAGTGTCACCAGAGTTCACCATCCACAATTCATTAATCAGAAAAGCTTCTTTCCCTCTTTCTTCAATAAAAAGCTCAGTTTTTCTTGCCTAGTTTTTTCCTTGATCGTTCGCGGCTGGCCTAAAACAGGATTTAGCGGGTTTTTCTTTAAATGAAACAAAAAGAGAAATGATCTGCCAATTTCCGCCCATTGATGATTGAACCATTTGATCTCCAGCTTCAATTCCTGCTTCAATTCCTGCTATTTTCTTGAAATAATATGAGAAAAAAACAATTTTGCGCTTCTTTTTTTTTTCGTATTTGGAACTGTTGAGGCTTGTATTCGGACACAACCGCCAGCCACAAGTAAATAGTTTTTTGAATCGAGCAAAGTTCGATTGTAATTTGACTAGTAATTATGTTATTTCTTGTTGATTTCATTTGAAATCAGTTTCTTACTGTTTTACTGATGTCAAGGTATGAAAATTTCTCAATCACAGTGTTCTTCCAACAAGAACACTCTTCACAGTGTTCTTACCAGCTACTTTACGATTCTTTAAACTAGACTTCGGAAAACAAAACTTAACCGAAACCAAAACCACCAAAACCAAAACAGACCAAAACCAAAACCAAAACAAACCAAAACCAAAACCAAAACTAACCAAAACTCGCCAATATCTCGCGATTGGGAGGAGCTAGCGAAAATCTGATTGCAGATTTGAAATCAGCGTCCAAAATTCTATCCCATAGGCTATTTTTTTGTTTCGAAATTTCGAGGTCGTGTTTTGGTCCTTTTTTCGGCCGCGAGATTTTGGGGAGTGAGAAAAAGTGAAAGGTAAATTTGCATTTTACAATTTAAAATTAAACATTAAATTAAAACATTAAAATTTGCATTTTACAAAATTTACATGTTAATTTATATGCAAATTGAGTTTTGGTTTTGTTTTGGCTTTGTTTTGGTTTTGGTTTTGGTCTGTTTTGGTTTTAGTTTTGTTTGCCGAACTCTACTTTAAACCAAGAAAATTGATCTTCAATGCCTAGTTTATAATCTAGAAATTCTGTAAACGATTGTACTCAATTAAAAGCTACTTTTGAAGAGAAAAACTTAACTTGAGGATTAAAAATCATACCCAAACTTTCATTGAATCTCAGAAATTAATAAATAATGAGATATTTGGTACATGCATAAGAAATGCGGCTTTCAACATTTTCATAAATTTAAATTTCCAAACGATAGAAAACTGATATCGATGAATGTTATAAACTATTTGAAAGTTGTAAATCTCCTTTACAAAATAGGCTAAAACGTGTTTCAATTGATCGAAGCATTGAAGAAATTTCGAGGGTGAAATGCGAGTGACCAAAAAAGGACACTTTTTGAAAACCCCATTTTCACAAGAGTTCGGTTTTGACTATATAGTGGAAAATGAGCGCCCTTCAAATATCATACAAAATAATTAAGAGTTGGGATCATTTCATGGGAAAGCTTTGTTTTTAAAATAATTTTTCTTTTTTGTGAAAAGGTCCATTTTTTGACAATTTTGAGGGTTTTGAACTTACGCTCTATCTAAATTTCTGTAAATGCATTTCCGTTAGACTTTTTTAATGAATTAATATATAGTTATCCTTTTTTCAAATCTTCAATTTTGGGAAGCTAACTCTATTTTGACCACACTAAACTTGGCCCTAAAGTGACTCGATTCCTTTTTTGGTCACTCGCATTTCGCGCTCGAAACTTCTTCAATGGTTCGATCAATTGAAACACGTTTTAGCCTATTTTTTAGAGGAGATTTACAACTTTCAAATAGTTTATAACATTCATCGATAACAGGTTTCTATCGTTGAAAATTTATGAAAATGTTGAGATCCGCATTTCTTATGCATATTGCATAAAAATGATACATGTGGATCTTATTCCCGAAAACTAAAGTTGCATATGACTAGAATAGAATAGATTTTAATCACTTCGACAACCCTAGCCGAGCAGTAGAAAAAAATGCTATGCTGTGATGCTAAAAAACAGTTAAATTCGAGTCTAGGCATTTCGCGCTCGAAATTTCTTCAATGGTTCGATCAATTGAAATCATTTCTTATGCATTTACCTAATATTTACTATCATACGTAGCTGTATACTGTAAAAAAAACTTTGTGGTAATGATCAATTCTGTTAAATGTTAACATAGATGCAATTTTAGCCACAACACCCAAGACAACGACAGAGGTGGGCTTAAAGTTTTTCTTTTACATTTATTCACACGAGTAATGTGGGGCAAAAAATACACACGCACAACCCTAAGCCTCAACCCTTAAGCCCTAAATGTAGGGAAGAAAAAATCCATGTTATATCCGATTTAGACTCAACAATAGTTTTAACAATTGCTTCGTTGGTAAATCATGTTTTTATCATGTTTTTGACAGTTTTTGATGCAATTTCGGGACATCAACGATACAACTAAAACTTAGCATACCTTCACTTAAAAAGTGGCTAAATTCGGTAAAAGTTACGGGGTTTTGGTGCGGCTATTGCTCCTGACCTTGTTTTTGGTATAAAAAACAATAAAAAGGAAGCAAACACGTATCAAAAACTGTCAAAAACATGATTTACCAACGCAGCAATTTTTAAAACTATTGCTGAGTCTAATCGGATAAAAATCTAAATCGGATATCTACTATATAAAGGGACTAAAACTACCTGCCTGTCCGTCTGCCTGTCCGTCTGCCTGTCTGCCTGCCTGCCTGTCTGCCTGCCTGCCTGTCTGCCTGTCTGTCTGCCTGTCTGTCTGCCTGTCCGTCTGCCTGTCTGCCTGCCTGTCTGCCTGCCTGCCTGCCTGTCTGCCTGTCTGTCTGCCCGTCTCTCTGCCTGTCTGCCTGTCTGTCTGCCTGTCTGCCTGTCTGTCTGCCCGTCTCTCTGCCTGTCTGCCTGTCTGTCTGCCTGTCTGCCTGTCTGTCTGCCCGTCTCTCTGCCTGTCTGCCTGTCTGTCTGCCTCTCTGTCTGCCTGTCTGCCTGTCTGCCTGTCTGCCTGCCTGTCTGTCTGCCCGTCTCTCTGCCTGTCCGTCTGCCTGTCTGCCTGTCTGGCTGCCTGACTGCCTGTCTGTCTGTCTGCCTGTCTGTCTGTCTATCTTTGAGCACTCCTCCGCATGCAGTAGACCGTTTCAAATGATTTATAGTTAGTTTGGCTTAGAATTTCATTTAGTTGCGCAAAATGTTTTAAAATTTTTAAAAAACCAAAAGTGCCGACGCGGGCGGGAGTCGAACCCGGGTCGTGTGGGCTAGAGACGAGTGCGCTCGCACTACGCACATCGAATCCGCTACTATGGGAAAACACTTTTGACTTAAAATCAAAAATCCGAATTCGGACAATTCTTAGTTGTTGTCCAGACAAGAAAAATCCAAAGTTTGAAAAAAATCCCTCTACTCACAAGAAAGTTATTACGGCTTAAAGTTTTACGAACAAAATGTTAAGGAATTCGTCAATATTTCGATTTTTCCGATTTTTCTCATATTCACTCCAAAAGAACGTGCCAAACGATGTATTACAAAGTTGTGGCCCTGGTTTTACTCTTTCTAACGATACCCTTGCCATTTCTCTGCATTTTGTTTACGATGAGTTCTGAGGTTTTTCCCGGCGTCACTTTTAGACAAATATAGGGAAGAGTGCCAATTTCAGGACCGCAGAAGCAAAATTGAGTTCCTAGGTGTTTTTATTCTGAATCTATATTAAAAACATATTGCTTTTTTCCTAAAATAGTTTTTTATACAGACAATTCCGTGAGAGAATTTACATAGATCTGCCAGATAAGAGTCGAGAGCGCGTCATGAATAGGGTGTGTTCCTCAAGAAATAGTGCAAAATAGGAAACGAGTGCATTTAAAATAAACTGAATATCTTACAAATTGTCATGGATGTCAGAAGAAACACAATTTATTGTATGCCTGCATTTATTTATTGTATTTATTGTATTTATTGTATATTCATATATTATAAAACCTTATTATGAAACAATTTTCAGATGGCTCGACCAACAAAGAAGGTGCTTTCAAGGAGACGTAATATAGAAGGTGGTCATCTCGCAAACCTCAAGATACCGAGCTCCAGTCAACGGCGGAACTCAAAAGCTGTTCAAGCCGAGTCTGTGAAGAAAGTCTTGAAGAAACGCCCTGATGTAAGCCAGCCCTATGATCAAGTACAGCATTTGGAGAATGCTCGCCAGCGACGAGCAGAGAAAGCTGACGAAAAGAAATCACAGGAGAAAGCGAGACAAAACGCTGTCTTAGTGACACAACTGAAGAAACAAGTGACCAATTCGCAAAGCAGTCAGTCCGTACCAGCAACATCAGCTTCTCCCGAAAAGGCGTTAGCACTCAAAAGAAAAGCAGGGGTCTCAGACCGCGGATTTTCTAGAATCAACACGTTTGTGCAGAAGGCTTGTGGTTACCTCATTGGATCTAGCAGACAGTTGCGGTCATGTCGGAAAAAGCTTGAAGAAATTGTGGAATACGTAATTCACGACGATAATGAAGACCAAGACGACGAAAGCGAACCCAAAAAAAGCATACGCCTCTTGAACGTGGGGAGGGTGCTGGTGGAACGGGAAAAGCGCTTGAAGTTGGACCCAGATCAAAAGAAAATCGTGGTGTTATCTCTTGATAAAGGCCATAATCGAGTCATGGCTACGGTCTCATATCCAAACAGCAAAAAGCCGTGCTCGGTTTTTAACTTTCTCCCATTGATCGTATGGGAAGGCCCGGATAATTACTCAGAATTGCAAGAAAGAAATGTGGCTGACTATTATGAGCAATTGACGAAGATGGGCTACGAAGTCTTACTTGGTGGAGACTTATTATTTTTGACAACAAATGCTGGCCTTGGAAATGGGATACGATTCAGCTGTCTTTGGTGTTCGAAAGAGTTCGACAAAGGCAAAAACAAAGACAATGATTCGATCGATTTCGTGAAGCACCCGCCACGAAGCAAGGCTTTGGAGGATATGATTGCAACTTTGAAGCTGGTCCCCAAAAAAAGAGGATGTCATCCCGGTGCCAACAAACATGGTTATTCCACCGATCCTTCACACCAAGATCAAGGTGGGCAACTATTTGTTTGAAAAAATGCTAGCTTTGGAAGGATCATCAAAGGCGTTCAAGCAAGTTGTAAAAAAACGACATTTGACTGTGAATAGGAAAGAGGAAGGAGTCATATACCACAGATTTCATGGTAACGATATCAAACGCTTATGTGTGGCACTTCCTGATTTCAAGCAAATCTCCACGTCAACTGAGTACTCCAAGGTGATCGAGGCCATGGAAGCTTTCAATGACTGGGCACAGCTAGTCTCGTCGACGAAAACGGGCCTAGATTTGATGAAAATTGCCGAAATTGCGTGCAAAAACCAGCACACAGCTGAGAAAGATTGTTGTCAAACGGCAATTCTTTGTGCTGCACTCGAAAAAGTCGGCGGGCTTGGATCTAGCGTCCTTATTCACTGTATTGTCTCGCATTTGGGTTCGTTTCTGGCACAACATCGGATGATCGGAGCCGTGGCCGAGGAGGGCATTGAAGCTATCCACAGTAAGCTGGAAACGGAGATCAAGCGCCACAAGAAGAGCAAAATCGAACGACTTCTTCAGGCTGTGAAGTGGTTAGGCATCCAAGTCCTTCTAAATGATGCCGAGGAAGAAGTTAAGGAAGAAACTTTCGTAAATTAGTTTGTCTTATCTATCACTTTTATCATATTATTACTACAAATATATACAAATAAATATTCTTTTATGAAATATACTGGAATACACATCTTCTGGAGTGTTTTTTAATATAGATTCAGAATAAAAACACCTAGGAACTCAATTTTGCTTCTGCGGTCCTGAAATTGGCACTCTTCCCTATATTTGTCTAAAAGTGACGCCGGGAAAAACCTCAGAACTCATCGTAAACAAAATGCAGAGAAATGGCAAGGGTATCGTTAGAAAGAGTAAAACCAGGGCCACAACTTTGTAATACATCGTTTGGCACGTTCTTTTGGAGTGAATATGAGAAAAATCGGAAAAATCGAAATATTGACGAATTCCTTAACATTTTGTTCGTAAAACTTTAAGCCGTAATAACTTTCTTGTGAGTAGAGGGATTTTTTTCAAACTTTGGATTTTTCTTGTCTGGACAACAACTAAGAATTGTCCGAATTCGGATTTTTGATTCCAAGGCATTTTTTTTTTGGACGCGTTGTGCTACGCCATCTGCTAGAGCTTGGCCGAGTGGTTAACGCGCGTGTTTCTCAAACGAACGAAAGAGAGAGGTGGCAGGTTCGACTCCTCTCGCCGCCAATCCTTTTACTTTTTGCTCCAAAAATTTCTTTGCTGCGACGCAGCAACGAAGCTTCTGGTAATACATATATATGGGAAAAAAAATAATCTAGCCGGCGGGATTGAACCCTTGACCCCCCCGATTAAGATACAAGGCTCTTAGCCAGTTGGTTATGACGTTCATAACGGGTTAACGGAGATTTTGAAAGCAAATGTGGGAACTGCGGATTGGCGGTGTTTTGAGTAAACTTTTGAATAACAATTTACCTCAAGAATTTACCTAGCTAGAATTAGATGGTTAACTTTGACAATAAACAATTTCGAATATTTAAAAGACAAGAATTCATTTGCATTCTAATAGACAAGTGTCACCATTTTCTAAATATTTGCCAGGACTTGACAAAATGGATTTTTTTAGAGAACGACAACTCCAGTACCTCCAGGTATTCAAAAGTTTGCTTTCAGTTTGAAAACTGCACAATGTTTGCGCATTTTGTAAAACTCTTATTCATTTTGATTCAGAAAACATTTAGCATGCTCAAAATGCTCAAAAAACACGGGTTTAACAATCGATCTGAGGTCAGCTGGTGCAGAACCTTTCACCAGCAGTGAGTTATCAAATTGCAATGAAATCTACTCTAGAAATCATTCAATTGACATAATTAGAAACTTTTTAGCAACAACCGGCACTGACGCGGATGGATGTTTTACGCAAACGCTAAGCTGTACATCAACAGTCGGAATATCCACTGTTTCGGTCGGTTACAATGAAAACATACCGTAAATACTGAAATAACCCCCATAATGACGGAGTGTTGCGTAGTCTAGCTTTGAACGCGTTTTTCTCGACACTATTAAGAAACTAAAGTTTTAAAAACACTAACAAATTAGCATTTGCTCTTTAAAAGCAAGATTATGTCAATATTTTTCAAAAGTTGACACGTTTTAAAGTGAATTATTTAAAGAAAAGCAAGACGATGATCTTGAAATTTTATTTTGAAAATGTCAGACTTAAATTCTAGTTTAATCTCGATCAAAATGGATCTATCAGTGATAAACCGACAGCAACGGTGACACTCGTTTGCACCGATGACGGGACGGGCTTTCAGTTTACGCAAGCTGGTACTACCATTGACGTTACCACAATTGGATGTTTTCCTGTTAATAACTGAAGGTTTTTAAATTCAAGAATTCAAGAAATATTCAGTCTGGTTGCTTAAGTACTAGGCAAACTGCAACGAACTGTATCTATTGTAAGAAATTTGATCAACTTGTGTTTGGCAAATTCGTGTTTTTAAAAAAACTACCACTTGGAACTTTGTTTTCGAGGGTTTTCTATGCTGAGGAATCCAAATCCGTTATCAGTTTAGAATTTTGAGGCCATCAAGACGGCCAGCACACTAGACTTGTAACAAAAACATCTGTCGATCCTTTTTGCCATTGGCAATTTAAGGTTTTTCAGTTCAGCAGCTCTGCTTTTTCAGCTCAGCAGCTCAGCAGCTCTGTTTTTCTCCGCACCAACCCTTTGATTTTGACTATTCTGACTATCATTCGATGCAGAATAAAATTGCGCATCGAATGATACCAAAATCAACTCAAAATATAATATCCATGCAAAGTTATGAGGCAAAAGGTTAAGTACGACTCATAATGGGCGGGGTTTAGGTTTTTAGCCAACAACTTTATATGGAAATTACACGGCAATAGTCTTGTAACGAAAACATCTATCGTTTCTTTTTTGCCGTTGGCAATTGAAGGTTGGCCGTGTAATTTTCATGCAAAGTTGTTGGCTAAAAATCTAAACCCCACCCATTATGAGCGGAACTTAACCTTTTGCCTCATAACTTTACATGGATATTACATTTTGAGTTAATTTTGGTATCATTGAACGTATAAAAGGACCCGTTTTTAGCCAACAACTTTATATTCACCCATTTTGATCATTTGCACTTCTTTGTGAATTGTAATACGTGAAGTTTCGGTATTTTTGATTCCAGTTTTATTTCTGTTTATGGCGTAGCCTCTTTGCGCAACTTGTTTGATTGAAAATTTTGTGCTCTGTATTGGCATCATCTAAAAGTTGTGCAAATGAAGCTACCCTTAGTTAGTTGGCTGTCGATTTTACAATGAACTTACTTTACATGTTGGTTTTTTTGAATAAAATTAATCTTCTTTGTTTAAATGAAAACATTAATCGTACCAAAGAGCATATTCAGCTGAACAGTTGAAAATATACACTCATTCCCTAGGAATCCATTCGATAGCATTAGCGCCAGCCTTTCCCAATATGGATTAGCGGTTTTCTTTTCCATTTTTCCAAAACCGGATCCCTTATATCTTGACAGCGTCCATCTCTTTGCCTTTCCATAGTGACAAAACCGATTTCTCAATGACCTGCTGATTTGGCAGCCGGATAGAGCTAGTGATCGTTATTTTTTGGAAAGAAAAGAAAAGCAAAGAACACTTTGGGAAATTCGAGATTGGGAATGCTAGCAAGTACACTACTGGACAATGAAATATCATATTTGAAAAACGATCGTCACTTTCGCGCGTCTGTAACTCCCTTGTCTTTACCGTATTTCTATTGGGTTGGGGAGAATGAGTCGGCGCCAAACTTTAAAGAAACTTTTTTGCACCCATAAAACCTTCTTTAAATACACGTTTTGTTTCATCAAAATGGTCCACTATTTCTCTACAAAAGACTTTTGAGAGATTCCACAAAGCTTTTCTTTCGTGGAGTTTATGAACTTCCAAACGCAGCTGGTCAAAATGGCAAAGAGTTCGACTCACCATTTGAACAGTTTCTTTCACATAAACCTTCTTTGGTGTTTATATAAAAAAGATAGAGCACATTCAATTACTTAAGTTGCCAAATTTGCAGGAAGATCCCACCAATGGTTTTTTCTAGATGACAGTTTGTAGTTTTTGTGAAAAAATGGCTTTTTCTTGAGCGGAGGCGCTGTTTGAATTTTCTTTTAAATGTCATTTTGTAGAGAATTAGTTAACCATTCTACTGATATCAAACGCATATCATTTGACAAAGTCTGCTATAAGTTTTAGACATTTTTTTGATTTTCGGCGCCGACTCATTCTCCCCAACCCAATAAATATTAATATTACCATTGTGTAGCCCTTGAAAAGAGCTTTCAGAAAATGTATAACACTAATAGTTTAAACTCAAAGATAACGAAGTTACAAACGCGCGAAAGTGACGATCGTTTTTCAAATATGATATTTCATTGTCCAGTACTGTAGTAATGCTTGATACTGGGTACTTTTAGCGAAAACATCTGTCAGTCCCTTTTTGATTATATTTTAAGTTGATTTTGGTATGATTCGACGCGCAATTTCATTTTGCATCGAATGATAGTTAAAATAGTCAAAATCGAATGTTTGGTGCTGAGAAAAACACAAAAAAGCTTCAATTGCCAACGGCAAAAAAGGACTGACAGATGTTTTTGTTACCGTCTACAGCACACGTCAAAAACTTGGGTAATTAAATCAAAATAGAGAGAAAATGAAGAACTAAATTTTTGTTTGGGTTTCCTTATCTCCAAAAATCGTGTGCCAGAAGCCGCGCGTTTACGTAAACATGAAAATTTACATCGCTTTGCATGATCTGACTTCTGGCGAATTCTTTTTTTAAATAACCGGGAGTTTTTCAGAAGAAAATTCATAACTTTGCAAGTTTTCAATATTGTCGAAATTGGGAACTCCTCGAAATGGCCAAAATGGCCTATTTCGGCCTCAAAATGACCTATTTCGAGTACTTGCGGTTACTGTAGTCAAAAACTAATACCGAATTCGGCTCCCCCACTCGCGAAAACCACGAAAACCATACAAATTTTTAGCTTAACCGTCCCATAAATTATGCCAATTTCAATTATGTTTTTGTCGCGAGTGTGTTAAATTTCACCTTTTTTGCCACTCATTCAACAAGTTGAAACAATATTTTTTGATTCTGAAATGAATTCATGTAAATACTTTTGAGAAAACTATTTTTTACGCAAGAGACACGGAGATTCAGCAAGTTTATAAAAACAAAGCCGGAGCCACGCTGTCTCACAGCAAATATTACTGGTAGATCAAAAACGAAGATTGAATAGCTTTCTTTTTCAAGTAAATAAAGTACCTCTTGTCGTTTTTCATCTCCAAGAATTAAAGAGAAAGAGAATGCCATATTTGAGATAAAGAAGATCCCATCTTTCAGCCATATTTCAAGAATAAAATATTTATTACAATAATTTCTAGAAGAATCCCTTCTAAACTCGTATTGATATCTTTTCTTATCACAAATTTCCAAATATCGATCAATCACAAATTCCGGGTATTCTTGGGCCGGCCAGTGTTTAAATATTCGATGAGTGCCTCACGAGCCGCTCGTTTTGCCACCGGATTCTTTGGATTCCGGAAATAGTATTGGAAGGCTGGGTCGTGCTAAAACAATCTTAAGAATTGACTAACGAGTGATTTAACCGCTAATTTATTGAAGGTTTTTCTCCAGAAGTCACTGTATGGATACAAAGTGTCTCCATTGACCACTCGAATATTGAGCGCTTTCGCTAGCTGAACTGCAGCCGATTCGACAACTGGCATTACCAGACCTGAAATTGAATACTAATTTTATTTAACCTTCAATTTATGCATTGATTCCCAGTCCATGGATGTAAACATTTAGATTGTGGGACATTTGATGATGAAATTGGACAGCCCAACACCAAGATATTTGAGCTCAAAGTTAGATTGACAAAAGGGACGGGGCCAGAAAGACCTTTTATACGCGCTCCGCCCCCTTTGCCATTGGCAATTTAACTTTGAGCTCAAATTCCTTGGTGTCAGGCTGTCCAAATTAAATAGTTTTTGTATCAATCGACAGAGAAAGACCTGGCGTATCTAATGATACCAAGAATACTTAAATTGGACAGCCCAACACCAAGGTATTTGAGCTCAAAGGTGGATTGTCAATGGCAAAGGGGGCGGGCCGTGTATAAAAGGTCTTTCTGGCCCCGCCCCTTTTGTCAATCTAACTTTGAGCTCCATTTTCTTGGTGTCAGACTGTCCAATTTAAATAGTTTTTTTACCAATCGACAGAGAAGGTTTTGGCACATCTAATGATACCAAGAATATCTAAAATCGACAGCCCAACACAAAGATATTTCAGTTCAAAGTTAGATTGTCCAATGGCGAAGGGGTCAGGGCTAGCAAATGTCCGATAGGCGAAATTGAATGCTAATCTTATCCCAACTTCAACTTATTGACTGCAATGCTAAAGTTCTTAATTCTTAACACATTGACGATGTTCAATTAACCAACTGAGTATCACTCGACGCACATTTTGAGCGCAATTTTTATCTATGAAATATTAACTTTTTTTAAAAACTGTTTCACCCATCATGTAGCCAAGAGCGCAAGGAATTTTTGATATAAAACTTGAAGCGGCTTGGTTTTTTGGATTGTGCCAAATTTGACGGCGCTGTTTTGAACGTTTTCTATTCGTCGCTCTTTTGCAAAACAGCCGATTTGAATCACCAAATCCCAGAAATTTGCACATGAGGCCTGAAAAGACTCTAGAATCCGAATTCGGGCTTAAATTTAGGCCAACAAACTCCATTATAATTTATTTTCATTTTAATTATTTTATTTTATACGCTAATTTCTAGTAGTTAACTTCTCGAACGCACCAAATTTCCTTGACAAAACGCTTTTTTTTTTAGAAAATTCAAAAACACTAATTTTTCAAAACTTCTTTTAGTTCTAACACTTGATGTTTATAGTTACTCTATTAAAGTATTTAAAACCATTAGAAAATATTTATTGCAAAACGTTCCTGCTTCGAGGAAGTCGAACCAACAACCTCCTATTGGCCTCAGACTGGCCTCCAGCAAATCCGCGCGAAAATGCGATCGCCGTTAAATTTGTTCACGGTAAGTGCTATTCGATGCGAAAAAATGTCCTTAATTCAAATTCAAAAGAATTTTTCGAATCCGTCTGATAGATTTTTTTAAAATCGAAAAAATCACTATTTTTCCATAAAAACGCCAAAATTGCCCACGCTTTAGCGCGCAGAAAGTTGAAAAACGCTACTTTAGCGTTCAAAAGGCATCAACTTTTCACAGATTCACCCAATTGATCTCGCTTTAGTGTCAAAATGTGCACAAGACCCTTGAGCATAAAGTTTGGTATATGACGCTCACCAAAATTTCCTTTTCGCCGAGAACCAGCCTGTAAAAGAGAGGCAATTTTGGCGTTTTTCTGGAAAAATAGTGATTTTTTTCGATTTTAAAAAATCTGACAGATGGATTCGAAAAATTCTTTCAAATTTGGATTCAGGACATTTTTTTCGCATCGAATAGCTCTTACCGTGAGCAAATTTAACGGCGATCGCATTTTTCGCCTTATTTCACGCAGACGTGTCCCGCTCCTTAGACCACTCGACCATGGCCTCGCTGACATATCACCAGATTTTTCCGCTTTTTACGAAAAATCACACAACTTTTTAATAAAACTAACATTGGATTTGGAAAGAGAACCCAAAATTACACGCTCTTGCAAATTTTGAACTCATTTGGTCCATCCATTCACGAGAAATACTCAGCATTGAGTCAGGCGGTCATCTATGTGTTAATCATGATACTAACTTGGATCCCGTCCATCCCTCTCCATTTTGATGTACTTGTGCACCTCGTCCATTGGAATTGGCGGGTATTCCTTTTCCTTTTCCTTTTCTTTTTCTTTTTGTTGTGATGGAGCTAAATTTTTCATTTTAATCATTCAAATGATCTAACCAGCTCCATGTGGCAATAAATACGAGTTGCCGGCTGTCTCCAAAACGGTTTGTGTCAAAGCGGGATTCGTTTGGCGATTCGCCGTTCCAACGATCATTCCAGCGTTCATATCATTATCTAAAAATTCACAATTACGATTTTTCGGATAGCTTACTGAAGAGCAATGGAAAACTTAACTTTTCTTTGTTTTAATATAGTTAAATCAAACCTTGAACATCAATCAAAACTTTGGGTAAGCTTTGTCAGTTTCAAAATCATTAGTATTGTTTGGGAACTTTGTCAGAAAGGTTTTTTAGTGAAAATTCTATTGGGTTGTCCAGTTCTGAATGCGCGTTTTTTACTATTTTATAAATTTCTCAAGATACCGAAATCAAGAAAAAGTTAAAGTTAGAAGATCTCCTCTACATTTTGATATAAAAAGTTTTTGAATTTGGTTCAGCTTTTGGACAAATTGACTGCACAGAAGAAGAGGTGGCCAAAAAATGGAAGGGTGCCTTTGGATCAAGTTTTGACTCCGCTCAAATTGAGTTAACCGTTTGATGTTTGGCCAATAGATGTATCAATACAACTTTTTTTAAATATAACAATTTCAGAGCATCTTTACTTTTCTTTTCTTTTCTGGGCGGTTATTTTACACCATAAAACTTGAGGAATAGCTAAGTTGAAATAGATTTTTTCGAAAACGACCTCTCCCTTTGTGCAGTCAATTTCCCAAAAAGTTGAATGAATTCAAAAAGTTTTTTTATTTCAAAATGTAGAGAAGATCTTCAGCTCTCGAATGATATATAACGCTCATATACATCTGTTCTTGAGAAATTTACAAAATAGTAAAAACGCGCATTCATAACTGGACAACCCAATACATCAACTAATTAGTATTTGAATCAAAAAACAGAATTTTTCCAACTTTTTCCAACTTTTGACCGTCACTTCTTCGTTTTGCTTACTCATTTTCTTTGGTGGCGTCTGCATGACTAAATGTATCGCATTCGTCGACGCGTCAGCGATTTGTTGAAGATATTTCGCAGCCGGTGCTAAAATGGGAGCTACTTGAAAAAAGGAATAACCAAAATTGAACTAAAAGAAATTAAAAGTAAAGCTGAAAACGAAAAAGAGCACCCCAAAATTCAGTCCTTGGAAACATAATGATCGCGTCGAGATTCTCCACTTCACCCACATCTTTCCGAGATTTTTGTGCAGCCATTGTGTCTTTCTCGAACTTGGCCGGGATTGGTGTGGTAGAGATGATTGAAGTTGAAAATAAAACTAACAAAAATTCAACTAAAGAATGAAACAAAGGATAAAACAAGATTCTGAAGAAAACAGTTTTTCTAGATCAATTTTCTAGATCAAGTCACCGGAAGCCAAGTCCTGGCCTGACCTAGCTTTGCTGAAGATCTTGGCTTTACTTTTTTCGCCTGGCTTACAGGTTTTTAGACTTCTCAATTGAAAAAAAACCCTGGACCCGAGTCCAACAACTGTCAAATTTAGCAAAAAGAGCCAGATTTTGCAAAAATTTTTTTGGATTTAGCACTTAGCACTTAGCAAAGTTTCTAAATGCTAAATGCTCAATTGAATTCAATTCGGATCTGATCGGTTCTGATTCAATTCGGATCTGATCGGTTCTGATTCAATTCAGATGTGATCGGTTCTAGTTCAATTCGGATCTGATCGGCTCTGATTCAATTTGGATCTGATCAGTTCTGATTTGATTCGGATCTGATCGATTCTGATTCAATTCGGATCTGTATTGCTAAATCGATTTTGTAAGATTGCTAAATCATTTTGCAAATTGTTAAATGCTAAACTGCTAAATCCATTTAGCAAAATTACTAAATGGTAAATAATTTGGTAAACCCGGGTCCTTGATAAGTCTACTAAACACAAACAAAGCTCAGTCAACCACTTTTTTCACTCACTTCTCAGCTCACTCGTATCGGGTACAAGCGTTGGAATGACCGTGGTTGTCATTGGCGGCGTTGTCGTTGTGGTTTTTGTTGTAGTTGTTGTAGATGTTGTAGATGTGGTTGTAGTTGTACTTGTAGTACTTGTCGTTGTCGGTTTAGGCGTCGTTGTTGTTGTGCTCGACGTTGTCGTTGCTGCTGTCGTTGTTGTTGTTTTTGCATTGTTTCTGACGCCTCTCAAAATGTCGTTTGTGAGAATTTCTGGTGCAGGAGTGGGGAGTTGGTTCTAAAGTTCATTTACGTATAAATTTTTATTAAAGTATGCCTAAATCTTTCTATGAACTAGAGCTGGAAATTTTCTAGAGGCGTACAGAGAGAAAATGGTATATTCTCAGTAAATTTCACTCCGATTCTTTTGATTTTGATATCAATAGACGCAGAATTTAATATTCTATCGATTGAAATCAAAGACAAAAAGATTGAAGGGAAATTGGCCAAGCAATGGCATTTTTCCGTTGGATACCTATTGATGTTCGCACCGAAAACTCGAAAACTAATCTATTTCGTTGTAGAAACCTTTGCCAATCTCTTGGTAAGTAAGTGTTGTCAAGTGGTAGACTAAATAAATGAATTTTTCTTTTAAAAAAGCCCTGTTTTAGTTCTACAATGTCAATTTCATTATGGAAGTGGTGCTGGCCATCTTTTTCATTCTCGAGTTCGGGATCAGAATCTGGTCAATTGGTGCTGATGCGAGATATGAAGGATTTGGCTTGGCTGAGATTGACTAAGACATAGCATTTTCCGTTGGACAACTATTGATGTTCACACTTTTTGGGCATTTATTGTCTTACACACTTTCCACCTATTGACGTTCACACTTCCCAGATACAATCTAAACTAATGATAACAACTTACTCCTTCAAGAGTCGTGATATCAACATGAGGCGAGGCGGAGGTGCGTGTAGAATTACTTGGGCAATCAGCGTTAACTCGCATCTCTTCAGTAACTCTAAAAATCCGATTTTAACTAACTAACTAAGCAATTTGATTGTCTTGAGTAAAGGATAAATGATGTTTTCTGAACTTTATGATAACTTTATGATAACTTAACGTACGTAAAAGATAACTTAACTGATTTAGGATAACTTAACTAACGTAAAGGATAACTTAACTAACGTAAAGGATAACTTAACTAACGTAAAGGATAACTTAACTCAACTTATGATATTCTTTGAACTCAAAAACGGAAACAAACGCCTTGCTCTCAACACTTGCTCTTTCTTGGTGAAGCATTGAGTACACCAGAACACAATTTACAATTTAAACCCAAGTAAATCTTTTAAAAATTGTTTTTAAACATTAGAATCAAAAATAAAACTTTAAACTCTTTAAACATTTAAACAAATCTATAAATGCAAATTCGTTTCACGATTTTACCTAAACACGTGACCATGTCCGGGAATAATGTAGTTCGATGAGCAAACAATTTTGTTCCGATTGACTTTACCTAAAATTAAGCGTATTATTAGGTTGGAAAGAAAGCTCTCGGAAAAAGCTTCACCGGAATTTCTTAAAAAACAAATCCATCAATTCAAGAACATTTTGTTCTATTATTTACAAGTTGACTCCAAGAAATTACTCTTAAAAAAAAGACTGCAGCTTTCCCTTAAAATTTGAGATCTATAAAAAATGATTATTTTCGAGCTTAACTTCAGCTCACTTTTTGCACGAGAAAAACGATTATTTATGAGATAAAGCTAGCATAAATGAGCAATACACACTATACGCAAGGTACCGGATAGCTTAGTCGTTCGAGTAATTGCCCGGATAGCAAAAGGCCGAGGGTTTAATCCCCTCTCTAGAAATCTACATTTCCTTGCCAATTCCTTCACTTCTTTATGGGGTAAATCTAAAATAAATAAGCAATACGCTCTATAATCTCGATTTTTGGCCAAACAATTTTTGACAGAGAAGCTGTATTTCAAAAAATGATTCTTTCGTGTCATCTTCTTGGCACTGAGTGTTTTGCTAAAATAGGTGATTCTGAAAAGTTAAAGCATTAGATTTCCTTAATCAAAATTTGCCTTAATCACAAATTTTCCCTATTTTAAGTGCTTGATTTTAGGTTTAGAATGAGATTCATTACCTACCCATTAATCAATTAAAAACTTGTCTAAAGGCTGGTCACTCAAAAAGTGACCAGAGCAGTCACTTCCGCTGAAGAAATCTCTTATTTGTTTTTACTTGAAGTCCAGCTGATTTTTTTTGTTGAAACTTTTTGAAATATCAAGTTTATCAAAAAAATCTGGAAAGAATTGATGGCTTCATTTTTGAGAAATCACTGTGCAAACTTTTTCCGAGAACTTTCTTTTCAACCTAATAGATTAAAAAAAAACATCGTAAAATTTACATTTATACTTTTATCAAAATAAAAGTATAAATGTAAATTATAAGTTTTAAAAGGCAAATACCAATTAGTGGATTCCAAGCATCCGAATACCAGTCAGTTCCGTTGATCGCGTCTTGCTCGTGGTAGAAGAGATCTCCTGTAAAAATTATGCAATGAAATGGAGAATTTTGAGGGTTTTCTCTCGACTTTTCAAATCAAAAACTAAACAATTTCCAGTCTACAACAGCAACCGTTCCACAACATGGGACATTTCGTATAATCACGGAAATATATAGATACTTTATTCAGGAACTGAGATAAAGTGCGCTAGATTTAAGATTAAAACACATGAATTCATGCACATACCACGAAAAGGGCCGATAAAAAGCAATACGATATAATTTATTTAATGGGTAGCACAGATAACGTCAAGAATTCACTAGAGCTTCAAGATCAAGATCATCTACAGAGAATTTAAAGGTTTCGAAACTGTTAGACTCTCTCAAAACTCTCGGGAGTCGATTCCAAATTCTGGGAGTTCTTATTGGAAAAGAGTTATATACAAAATTGGAAGGTGGGAGGTGACTGGAATTTCTAAAACGAAAGAACCTCTTCTTGAACAACTGGAATGAACTGGGGACTAACCATGGGATTAACTTTGAATAAATCTCAAAAAAGAGGAATAGGTTTTTATCTTTTATTCAATATTCATTATCAGTGGTACCAATTTCAGTTCTATGTATAGCCAATGCAAAAAGTCGTCCCCACTTACGTTTCACAACTCGTCGAGGGGTATATATAGATACTTTATTCGGGATCTGAAAGAAAGCGCGCTAGATTTAAGATTAAAACACGAACTCATACACATAACACGAAAAGGGCCGATGAAAAAGATTACGATATAAGGTATGTAATGGGTAGCACAGATAACATCAAGAATCCACTAGAGCTTCAAGATCAAGATCATCTACAGATTTAAAGGCTTTAAGACTATTGGACTCTCTCAAAACTCTGGGGAGTCGATTCCAAATTCTGGCAGTTCTTATTGGAAAAGAGTTATACAAAAACTTATTCGAGTTGACTGAAATTTCTAAAACGAAAGAACCTCTCCTTGAACTAACCGTGGGATTAACTTTGAATAAATCTCGAAAAAGAGGGATAGGTTGCCTGTCCTTTACAATTTTGGAAACATTCTATTAAATGTTTCAACTTATGCAATGAAATGGAGAATGCAAAGAAATGGAGAAGGTTCTCTTCCTAATTTTTATTAAAAACTAAACAATTTCCAACCTACAACAGCAACCGTTCCACAACATGGGACATTTCGTATAATCACGGAAATGTCCTGATTCGTGTGTCCTGGCGTGTTCCATAGCTCGACGTTTGGCGTGATCTTCATGCTATCATTCTAAATTCTTTTTCAATTTTAGAGTTCTAAAATCAATTTAAGAACTGAATTTTTATTCAAAAAAGGTTTAATTTTGAATTAAAATATTTGAAATTACAAAAAAAAGATCCTTTTGAATGATCGTTTCCATGAAAATTTTCAGTTCTCAAAAAAACTCAATTGAAGTGTCAAATGTAGGTTGTTTTAACTGTTTTTTTGGTTATTTTCGTTGCCTAGTTTTCTTATAAAGCTAATCATTAAAGCTAAACATTAACATTTTCAATTTTTTCCAGGAAAGGATTAGTACCAACTAGACCTGGAGAAATTCCAAGCCGAGCCTAATCCCACCTTCGTTTCCTCAGCCTATCCTTAGCCGATTGCTCTGAAAATTTGTCTACAGATAGAAAACAACATTTTCAGCTTGTAGACAAAATTTCAGAGCAATCGGCTGAGAATAGGCTGAGGAAATGAAGATGGAATTAGGTTTGAGTTGGAATTTCCCATGTCTAGTCTCAACTAGTCAATACTCACTTTAAATTAGATATGAACCAAAGTTTTTAACAAACTAGGTCATCCGACTTTAACACTCATTCCCCAATCAATTTCCTTATTGTTTTTCTTGTTGACGAGTGGCTTTGTTAAATGTCTAGAAGGAGAGGTATTTGTCGGACGTGTTTCCTTTTCATTCCCGACAAAAGACAAACAAAAGCGACAATGGAATGCTCAACTTGACGCAATTTCTAGAAAAATATAAGAAACGAACGTGGGTGAGCTCTGTTTGAATGTAGGTGTCGTCAGAATACTCATAGCTGCCGAAGAAATGACGAGCATTCGGGAAGAAATTCCCCTGACCAAAATGATCAGGATGACCGTGGGTGGTGACGATTAGTTGAACGTTTCCCGGAGCGAGATTTCTTTGAGTCAACCCTAAATTGTTAATTGAGCACTTTATCCATTGTAGATTTTGATTCTATGATTCTATTATTAGGTTGGCAACTTAATAATAACGCGTTTATGTAACAAATCATTTATTTCAAAAAAACGCAAAAGAAGAGCTTTCAATTCGAAAGGTATTCTCCATTAGTATCTATGACTTCTTCCCATCTTCTGCGCAAATCCCGGATCCCATCCTCGAAGAACTTGGGAGTTTTTGAGACGAAGTAGTCATTCACGGCTTTTATGACCTGAGCATGATCATCGAACTTTTCTCCCTTCAAAAAGTGCTTCAGCGACCGAAACAAAAAGTAATCTGAAGGAGCCAAGTCGGAAGAGTAAGGTGCGTGGGGCAGTACTTTCCAGCCAAGTTCCTCGATTTTCTTATAAGTGATCTTTGCAGTGTAAGGTTTTGCGTTGTCGTGTAAAAATCTGACTCTCTCCGGTTTGAGCCCCAATTTCTTCAAAGACTCGTTAACTCTCATTAATTGCTTCGAATAAAGATCAGCATCGACGGTTTGGCCAGGTTTCAGCACTTCATAATGCACCAATCCCTTGAAGTTCCACCAGCAACAGAGCATTATCTTCTTCCCATGGATATCAGATATGGGAGTGGTTTGAGGGGTCTGCCCAGCAGATAGCCATTGATTTTTTCTCGTAGTTGATCCACGTTTCGTCAGAAGTCAAAACCCTGTGCAAAAGTCGTTCGATTTACATTTTTGTAGCAAAATTGAGGCGACATTGACACGGGCCATTTTGTTGCTTTGGGTCAATTCGTGAGGAACTCATTTTCCAACACGATTCTTTTTCCCAAGTTTGTGTAAATAGTTTTCGATTGTCGTATGGGATACTTAAAATATTTCTGCCAACTCACGAACGGTGAGTGTTGGGCAATCTTCAATTAATGCGAGCAAGTCATCGTCGACCACTTCTGGAGGATGTCCTTGGTGTGGCTCGTCTACGAGGCTTTCATCGCCGCCTTGGAATCTTTGAAACCATCGTTGACATTGCCGAATGTGTATACTTTCCTCTCCAAAACAGTGATGATCGTGCGATGAGATTCAGCCGGAGATTTTCCTTGTTTAAAATCGTAGAACAATACAGCTCGAATACGGAATTTTTTGTCCTCCATTTTTTGCCAAAAAGCGAATGATGAAATTTGCAGCACTAAATGTTATTTATGCAGACATTTTTTACTTTGTATATATGCAAAAAAGAGGGAAGAAACGGTGCTTGAAATTACAAAAAACATGTTAAGTAGTGACGCGTCATTGTTAAGTTGCCAACCTAATAGATTAGTAACTTGAAAGTTGGTACACTTATTGATTGCACTTTTTAGAAACAACTAATGCACCAATCAATCTAATATCTATTAATCATTTTTCACCAATAAAAGGTCTATTTATCCTCCAAAACAGGCTTTTGACCGATTTTGATTTTGTTTTTGAAAAGCTTCGATTTTCTGGGTTTCTAGGGGGCAAGAAGTTGAGGAACCAAAAATGATGAACACTCGATGAAGTGATTTGAGCACTTTCTTCCGCATAAACCTATTTTAGTGTCAATAAAGAAAAGAGAGAGCATAACAAGTTAGTTCAATAGCCAAATTTTCAGCTCGATTTGTCTAATCGCTTGAGTTATATGTCTGTTTGAAGAATTTTCAGAAAAACTTCAATTTCTGCTCAAATTCGTTTCAAAAGTTGCCCAAATTTGCTTAAATTATTAGGTTGGCAACTTTCAAACTTCCGTTTTAACTAACAACTTGTTTATTACACAAAACACCAAATTAGTCAAAAAATCTAGCCAGCTTCGTTGCGTAGTTTTTGCCTTTTAGCCCAAATTTGACGTGTCAGCGAGGTCTGATTTGTCGAAATTCGGAATCTACGCATACGATTCCCTTACATGGAAATATTTTTGAAGCTCTACGACTTTTCCTAAGGCCTTTTCCAGCAAAAAAAAAAAAGGTGCGCAAATGTCCAGGTGCGCGAAAAAAAGGTCGCATTTGTCCCACTCCCAAAAATTCATCAAATAACCTATAGTTTGGTTTAACTTAAATGTAAATTTAAATTAAAAGTGTTTCTTGTTCAATTTCCATCTTTTTTAAGTCAATTTTAGCTCACTTTCAAGCAAATTCAAGAGTGCTAAACGTGTTTTTCGATAAAAACCTCTACGAAGAGATTGGTTGACTCAATTTGGCTGAAAATTTAGCTAAATACCTAACTTTTTATGCTCTATCTTTTATCTATTGACACTAAAATAGGTTTGCTTAGCTAAAGTGGCTAAATCGCATCATCGAGCCGTCATCGAGCCTGGAGCTGTCATGGAGCTGTCATCATCGAGCCTTTTTGAAAACCCGACTTCTTGCTGCCAAAAAATCCAGATTTAAGACATTTTAAACCCATTTTTAATGTTATTTTGCAGAAAAATAATTACATTTTCTAATAAAATAAACCGTTCAATTGGTGCATTTGTTGGTTTTAAACGAAAGTACGAAAAAGGAACGAAAAGACTAGAAAGTCTATTATTCTATTAGCAATTCCTTCTCACCTCTGAGCATGTCCCCTTTAGCATCAACATCAGTCGCCGAGGGTGAGTCCACCAAAATATAATAACCGTTATCGAAGACGAGACTCACTGAAGCTCTCATTCGAACTCCCTGAATGAGTTTTTTTCAATGATAAACTACAAGCAAACCTCTTGAATCTTTTGCAAATACCCCTCGACGAGTTGTGAAACATAAGTTGGGACGACTTTTTGCATTGGCTCTACATAGAACTGAAATTGGTACCACTGATAATGAATATTGAAATATTAGGTTGGCAAGTTATAAACGATCGTTTTTTGGTAATGTGTTTTCTGAAAAAAGTATCTCGAAATGGGGCTGAGAACGAGGCGCCTAAAGTTGATCGAGGAAAGGGGACGTTTATTAGAGGAAATACGGTCACAGCATGATACTTACCGTAAACACTGTAATAGTACCCCACCCCCATAATGACGGTGCGGAGTGTTGCGTAGTCTAGCTTTGAACGAGTTTTTCTCGACACTGGTTTATGCTACAATGCGCGCTTTGGTATCAAAAAATAGCTGAGATTCAGGGCTATTTTTTGATACCAAAGCACACATCGTAGCATGAATCAGCGCGGAGAACGGGATGTTTAAAGTTAGACTACGCGAAAAAACGCGTTTTTCTCGACACTGGTTTATGCTACAATGCGCGCTTAGGTATCAACAAATAGCCCTGAATTTCAGCTATTTTTTGATACCAAAGACGCATTTTTTGAAAGTACGGGCGCTTTGAAAAAAAATGAAATACTAAAAAACTTTTGCGACTACGCGACTGTACGAGGGGGGTGGGGTACTATTAGGTTGGCAAGTTATAAACGATCGTTTTTTGGTAATGTGTTTTCTGAAAAAACGGCTTATCCAATCAAAAAAAGGGTTTGCTTGATTCAAAAGCCCTATCCTTAATCTACAAAATGTTTTTTTTGAATTTTTGAAAAATGTTTTATTTTAGAACTTTTTCAGGCATTTTAATTTAAGAGTTGTCAGCTCCGCGCCAAACTGATATTTTAGTTACTATTGTTATCATTGAATGCTTTGTCTTATGCAAATGTGTTCCCCTCTGTGCTTATCCCTTTTATTGCCGAGAAGGGGCGGTCCTTAGGATTGCCTAGGAGGACAAATGAGACTCTCATTAGGAGTCCCTCCTTACCCCTTACACTCATTTCTAATCTATTCATCTTATTGTATTACTGTAAATAAAGATATGCATCTTCCGGGTCTATGCAACTGCAGTGCAACTACAGGTCGGTCATTTCACAGGGACTCCCCTCTAATACGTTGGAGGAGTTGAGTTGGGTTGTCGGTGTGTTAGAGATGGCGGGATATCAAAAAGGGATCCACTCTTTTTAACTTAACCCAAATTCTAGTCCACATCCGTTTACACCTAGGAACGTATAGAGTTCAAAATCCTGGTTTCTAGCATTCATGAGCTAATATATTTTTGAGTGATTGTATACTTTTTTTTAAATAAAACGCTTCATCAATTACATAGTTTCCCAAAATTTCAGAACAATCCAATCTTCGGAAGGTTGGTTTTCAAATTAGGCTCACTTTTATGCTAATTTAATCCATTTTCGTTTGAATTTAAGCAAGATTAAAAGAAAGAGAACGGTTCGATCGAGTACTATCACTATTGTCAAGCTCTATTTGTTGCTAAACCTAGCAAAAAAGTCACAAATAAGTCTCAATATTGGAAACTACTCAATGATGAATTTCAAAGCATTGATTGACATTGACAAAGCAATGGCAAGGCTAACAAGAAATTCTGAACTATTGTCGATTCTAGATCTTTAGCGCTTCTCACAAAATGTTATCGATGTGGATCTATGTCTGAAAGAGTTCTCTATGAAAAATTTGTCAACCATATCCTGTCTAGGCATCTTGTTGATTACCCCACTGTCAATCCCAATTTAATGTCAATTTCATTTGATCTATATTCTAGAACTTTGCAGCCATGTCCAGCTACCAAAAACAGCCATGATGCTGAACTAGGTTCGAGTTTTTTTCCCAAAAAGTGAAAAAACTCTTTTTTTCTCTTTTTTTCCCCTTCTACAAAGTGGCAATTATTGAAAAACATCGGTGTTGATTTTTGCTAACTATCTCCCAAAAGAGTCTGTCCAATTTTGACGCAGATTGTTCGTGTACACTTTTCTGTTTCCAAAAAGGAAAAGTAGAGGTGGAAAAGAGTTTCAAACATCACAAAAGAGGTGATCCGATTGCTTGCAAAGTACGAGTACGGTAAAGGGGTATAAATAGTTGGATAAGGTCCAGCTTTTGTTGTTAGATCACAATGAGCACCTGTCTCTTATAAATCTTTCACTTTTTTTTTGCAAGCTTACATCTTATCTTTGTTGTTAGCGTTGTCCAGAAGTTCTTGCAGTTCTTAAATTTGTGATTTCTTAAAAACCAGTCAACAGTTTCATCTGAAATTTCTACTGAATAATCTATAAGTATATACTAACTAGTAGACAAAGTTTGATAACTATTGCTTGGTCGATTGACGTCTAACGTTGATGAGTTTGGGGTGCGACTCGCTTTAACCTTATCATCGGGGATGACTTTGCTTCAGAATAGCCGAGTAGCACAAAAAGGTTAAAAGGGTTTCCCCAAAACGCTTACAACATAACAAGAACACGCAGCATCCAACATTACTCGTGATAAGAGTATAGAATGGATTGATACTTCGTCGATGGCGACACAAATGTTAGTAAGTTCTTTCTACAGTGTTAAACCAGCTATCTAAACAGGATTTAAAACCTGAAGGGTAGCATAAAGTAAATTGAATTTATAATTTTACTATTTATTAGTACAGAGCCAAAAATCCAATGATACCCATTACAAAAACAATGTGGCCATTGCAATGATACCCATTGCGCATGAATAAAAACATCAAAGTCTCCCAAGAACGAAGGCAAAAACCTGAACCCCCAAAAAGGGTCAGAAGCTCTGCCAAAAATTAACTTTTCCTACTTTTCTACTGAACTATTAGGTTGGTGCAGATGAAACTTCCGTCACACTTGTTTGTTTATATTTTGAACCTGATAAAAGTTTTTATTGAAGATATTTGTCTATCTGAAAGAGCGTCTCTTTGCGCGTCTTTTGATATCTAAGACTTAAGCGTTTTACTTAATTTGAAGTAATTTTTAGCTTCTAGAAAATGGTTGAGGAAAAATTTTGAGTGCGGGTTTGCTTGTTGTATGATTTTAAACAAGGCAGAACGCCTGCGGAATCTCATCGTGCTCTGTGTAAAGCATTCGGTGATGACGTGTTGTCCGAACGTCAATGCCGGACTTGGTTTCAGCGCTTCCGAGACGGTGATGAGAGTTTGGAAGACGAAAAACGCGGGTTGAAGTTGAACGATGAGTTGAAGAACGTTATCGAATCGGATTCATGCCAAACAACTCGGGAGCTTGCAGAGCTGTTTGACTGCGACCATACAACCATTCTCCGCCATTTGCACGCAATTGGTAAGACGAATCGGTGTGGAAAATGGGTGCCACATCAGCTCAGCGACGCAAACAAAGCAGCTCGAGCTACAATGGCTGGAATTCTCGTCCGCCGCGCAAAGACCGTCGGTTTTCTCGACTCCATTGTTATGGCAGATGAAAAGTGGATATGTTACGACAACACAACAAGAAAACGGTAGTGGTTGGACGCCGGTGAACCGCCGAAATCGACTCCCAAACCGAATATCCACGGAAAAAAGGTGATGCTTTGTATTTGGTGGAATAGTAAAGGTCTCGTGTATTTTGAGGTGCTGGCTCGGGCCAAAGAGTCACAGCGGATCTCTACAAAGCCCAATTGAGCCGTGTGGACCAGGCATTGCGTCGTCAAGGCAATAACACGGCGACTACAAAATTCCTCCACGATAACGCTCGACTCCACACCGCAAAGATCACTCAGCAGAATATCGAGGAATTGGGCTGGGAAGTTCTGCCTCATCCGCCATATAGCCCGGACTTGGCCTCATCCGACTACCACTTGTTTCGGTCGATGCAGCACTCTTTAGCAGGAAAAAAATTCAAAAACCGCGAAGAAGTGGAAATCTGGGTGTCCAACTTCTTCGAGTCGCAGTTGCCCGAGTTCTTCGAAAAGGGCATCCATTCTCTGCGTAGAAGATGGCAAAGAGTCATTGATAATGATGGCGAATATCTTTTGAATTGAGGTTCTGTATTAGGATTTTTATAATAAATTTTGTTTATAGTTCCAACGGAAGTTTCATCTGCACCAACCTAATATTTCTACTACTATTTCTACTGAATAATCTATAAGTAAATACTAACTAGTAGACAAAGTTTGATGACTTTGTTCGATTGAGAGAATGAGATATGATTATTCAATCCAGTAGTAGACAAAGTTTGATGACTTTGTTCAATTGAGAGAATGAGATATGACTATTCAATCAAGTCAGCATATTTTACCTTATTTTGAGGGCTATTGTAAGAGAAAATGTAAGAGAAAATTTGCATAAAAGATAAATCAAAAGAGCTAATTGAAATTCCATTGTATCCGGATGATCAATCTTCCTAAAAATGTTCTGGATCCTGCTTTCATTAGTGTTTCTATAGAGTTAAGCGAGTTCACAAAGACACACGCATCAACGTTAGACGCTCATTCTCTTTGAGCCAAGCAATCGTTATCAAATTTTAGTCATATCTCATTCTCTCAATTGAACAAAGTCATCAAATTTTGTCTACTAGTTAGCATCAACTTATAGATTATTCAGTAGAAATTACAGCTGAAACGGTTGGATGCTTTTGAAGAAATCACAAATTTAAGAACAGCAAGAACTTATCAACCCTAATAGTTCAATAATATCAACCCAAATACTGATTTTCTTTTTGATAAGACCTTAACTCAATGGTTATTACCATACCTAAAGATAAAAGCTACCGCTAATCTGCTCTCTGCCAAATATCGAGCTGATTATGACCAGGAACAAGACTTAAGTTGGTTTTATTCTCAGTCAGAGGTACATGATCTAATGTTATATCTAAATAGCTAATGTTTTAGTATACTAGTGCTTAGTTTCGTAATATAAAATCAGATTTAAACATGAATAGGACGTTAGCTCATAGAGTAATGAAATTCTGAATGAATTTAAAATAAAAAGACTAATGATCTTTCTGTCTGTCTGTCTAAATGTCTGACTAAATCTATCTAACAAAAGAAATAACTCACTTTAATCGTTTCTGGAAAGCCATCGACACCAAAAGCACAAGATAATAAAAGAATAACTTTTAATAATCTTTTCATAACTTGTTGAGCACAGAAACAGCCAATGATTGTTGAAAAGACGTCGACTATGGGTACTCCTTCCTTTCCTTCACGTACCCCGGAATTCCCTTTGACCATCACGGGGTGCCAAAATGTGTTGGTTGTTTCCTTTTCCTCTTTTCCCAATGTACCAATAGGTGTCCAGTTTCTCAGGTCTTTTCTTCACCCTTTCCCTGTCCAGACATTTTCTCCTTTCTTTGTCCAGAAGCTTTCCTCTTTTCCTTGCCGAAGCGAGCATGTTAATCGGACTGTACGCCGAACAACCACCGAAAAAAAAAATCTTGTTTCTTTTGGAAATACCTTGATGTTTGTGCAAAAAACCGTTAGTGGATTGGGTAACATCGAAAGAACTCTTGTGTTTTTATAGATTTGTGTCATCAGAGTGGTTCTTGATTTGAGAATGGAACTGCTAGCTTCAAATCATTAGTGAATTTTGCTCTCAGCTTTAGAATTGTTCTCAAGATATTCTCTAGCCAGAGCTATGTCAGAAATCAGGTTTTGATCTAACCTACCGTAAATACTGTAATAGTACCCCACCCCCATAATGACGGTGCGGAGTGTTGCGTAGTCTAGCTTTGAACGAGTTTTTCTCGACACTGGTTTATGCTACAATGCGCGCTTTGGTATCAACAAATAGCCCTGAAATTCAGCTATTTTTTGATACCAAAGACGCATTTTTGAAAGTACGGGCGCTTTGGAAAAAATGAAATACTAAAAAACTTTTGCGACTACGCGACTGTACGAGGGGGGTGGGGTACTATTACAGTATTTACGGTAGCTACCCTGGTCAGCCTAATTTAGCAAAATTGCTATTAAAAAGAGAGATTGCTTTTGGGAATTTATTGGGTTGGTGAATTGACTTTGACTTTGAACTAAAATTTATTCAACATAAAACCATCAATTCATTCCAAATAATCTCCATTATTATTGACGACCTCTGCCCATTTTACAGGCAATTTGCGGATTCCTCTTTCGTAGTAGGATTTTGGTGTGTGTGTGAGACAAGTGTGAGACAAGTGTGAGACTCAGAAATGAAGGACTGGAGATATCCCAGTTTGAGCACTTTCTTCAAAAGAAACCCATTTTGGTGTCAATAGAAAAGTTGTAGAGAATCAAAAATTAGGCTTATAGCCAAATTTCCAAAAAGAGATACACCTAGTAGTTTCGCTTAAAATGCAAGCTTTGTGAAAATTCGTAAATTTGGCATTTCTTGAAAACCAGTTTTTGAATCGTTCTGAAAATTTGGATATAAGCTTAATTTTTGATTCTCTACAACTTTTCCATTGACACCAAAATGGGTTTCTTTTGAAGAAAGTGCTCAAACTGTCACATATGATAATAGCCGGCTGCTTTCAATTCACCAACCCAATAGCTTACGCAAGGATTTCATTTTATAAAATCTTTTTTTTAAAAGAGATACTAAAGGAGCTTTTGAAAAATTTGAAAAAATAAGTCCGACTTTTTACAAAAAAAAACGTGACCATTTAGGCTTTGAAAAACAGCCAATTTGGAAGTTTTAAGCTTGAAAGCAATAAAAATTCACAAAATCAGCAATAAAAGTTGTTTTAGAAAAGCATCAGTTAATGGTCGAAACGAGTTCAAAAAAAGTTTTTTGAAATTGAATATTTATACACATAAACAACTCTTTTTTCAATATTTATTCTCAGGTTTCGGTGCTTTACGGTTAATGGGCGGTTGAGCGATTATCGGGTGGGGAGGCGAGTTTTTGGCCAACTTGCAGCTCATTTTTAAGCACCTTAAACTTTTCAAATCAGGAAGTTTTAATAAGATTTAGATAGCTTAGAACGTCAGCTTTTAGAAACTATTTCTTTCATCAAAAGTTATTACCAAAAATCTCTCTAAAATCGGGCTGCAAAATGGCCAAAAACTCGCCCCCGCCGATAACCGTAAAGATCCCAGGTTTTCAATGATTTCAATAGTACGATTTTCAATAATAAGCTTTCAGAAATGCATCACTTCAGTCTGGTTTCAATGATTCTTTGCATATGCGCTTGTTTCTTACTTCTCTACAATTTCTATGCTCAAATTCGGGGAATTAACCAGACACATTTTGAAGATTCGACTGTACCAATTGATTCAATATTTCTAGAGCAACAAAAAAGAATGAACGACCTTGAAACAGTGATTTCAGAAAATTCTGATGTGAGTTATCACTGTTTTATCCAAAATTTCTTCTTTCAGCCTTTACCCGAGAGATCATCGAATGTATCCGCCGAGAAACTTTGCTTGATTCATAAAAATTGTGTCCCAATGGTAGCAGATTATGAAACGAGATGGAAGGTGAGTCAATCTAACAAGGGGAAGGTAACAGTAGGATGTGGTCAAATGGGATAAGCTATAGCTGACGCAGAATTTCATGCTGATTCCGAAATGGCTTTCCGTTTTTGCAAAATGGCTTTCTATAAAAAGTTTTACATGTGTGCAGTGAGAGGGGGTATAATGATCATGGTGCAATGATTATTTAGATATTTTATTCCAAATCTAGCACAATCACTAATCTAGCGAGAAAATACAATAAAATAGACACAATCGTTGGCTCAGTGTTTCAAAGCCAAAGAAAAGCAATACAAACAGTGCAATACAGTGGGCTCCGTCCCCTTTTATCACACAAACGATCTTTAGAGGAAGGACAAGAGAATCAGAGATATTCAAAATCAAAGCATCAAATAAGATTTCACAGAAAAGAGCTACTTTTCTGCACAATATGTTTTAAGTTTTGTTTTAAAATGCGAAAATTTGGGCCCGAATAGAGATGCCTTTATAAGGATTTTCTCATGGATTTATTGTTGCGATTTCGAACCCATTTTTTTAGAGTTGCGTTGAGTTGAAGCGAAGTTCTAAGAAAAGGTGAAAAATTAGTGTTTTTCGATGTTCAGTTAATAGATTTTCCTTGTTATATTAATTGATCTAGTGCTATAAATTTGTTGGAAATAATTTTGAAATAAAATGCCACAAATTTGGCGAAAAGAAACTCTCTCTGATTGAAGAATTTTTTATGAAGATAGCCAAAAATGCCATCGTGCCGGAGAGGGATTAACTACCGTAAATACTGTAATAGTACCCCACCGTCCTCGTACAGTCGCGTAGTCGCTAGTCGCAAAAGTTTTTTAGTATTTTTCAAAGCGCCCGTACTTTCAAAAAATGCGTCTTTGGTATCAAAAAATAGCTGAAATTCAGGGCTATTTTTTGATACCTAAGCGCACATTGTAGCATAAACCAGTGTCAAGAAAAACTCGTCCAAAACTAGACTACACAACACTCCGCCCCGTCATTATGGGGGTCGGGTACTATTACAGTATTTACGGTAGTACTCATTCAAAGGCTTGTAAAATGAGTTGTATATCTTCAATCGGGAAACTTTTAATAGATAAATGTAGCCAAGTTTAAGGGCTTTAATTTTTTATCTAATACTTAACACATTAGGGTTGAACTTGGCGCTTGGGAGCTAATCTACTAAAAGAAATCGAATGATTAACAACTCAGATCTAGAGAACTCTTACTGACTCACTGAACACTAGTCAAAAGGTTTTCAAGAAATCTATTTTTAAATCTGAACCTATCTTTTCTATTATTTTACTATAAAAAATCTTTTAGACAGTTCCAAGATTCCGGTTAGCAAGCTGTCTTATTCACAAGAGCATGTCCACCGTTCTTTCCGGACTGATGTGTTTCCTGCAAAAAGCTGAGCAATATAAGAGAGAAAACTTGAACATCACCGATTTTGAAGCTTCTAAAGAGTAATTTTAGCTTCTAAAGAGTAATAAAATCGAATTTCTATTAGGCTTTGTCCATCAAATAGTTACCACAATTTCGAAAACATTACGAAAATGTTTTGGAAACTTGGCTGGAAATATTTCATCGTGACTCGCGATCCGATTGATCGCTTTTTAAGCGGTTTCGTGGATCGATGCATTCGGTAAATCTTTTATCGTTTATAATCTAAATTATTTCATATTTTTTCGGGAAACCAAAAGAAAAGCATCATTATTGCAACGGTTGTGCGGCGAATATGACGTGTTTCTTGGAAGCCGAGTACACGAAAATCTCTCGTCAAATCCGACAAAGAAAGCTTTCAGTCGGCTTTGAAGATCGACACTTTTACCCACAAACTTGGTCAGCTCAAAAAACGAGATCACATTTTTACATAAAGTTCAGGAGATGTCAAATGCGGGAACACGCAAGTGAGTACAAATTCATCAAGTATAGCAGTGATCCGAGTGAATCTGTGATACCGGCACTTGTGGAAGTACTTGAGCAACAAAAGGTTAGCAAAACAACAAACAACAAAACAACAACAAAACAACAAGCAAAACAACAAGCTGGTGAATTCGGGATTCTTTTGTCATCTCTTTTCAGATGTCATTAGCAAAATCATTAGCAAAAGCTAATCATTTCCAGGTGCCCAAATCCTACATCGATTGGATTAAAACCCAGCTTGTCACACAAAGAACCGACCACTCAACGATTAACTCGGAAGCAAGAAAATTTCTCGAGAAGCGACTCCACTCTAGTCCATATTTGTTAGAATTATTAGTTCGATTGTTTTATCAAGATTACAAGATTTTGGGCTACGAGTTGCCGTTTTGATTTTTTCTATGTTGTCTTTGAATTCATCGAATCGGGTTTAAAACGGGTATAAATTCAATAAATTTTGAGTAATAATAACGATCAACAATGAGACTTTTGTACGCACCAACATTTTCAAAAAATTGAACGCAGTTTTCAAAGACTCTTGTTTTATTCATTTTTCCTTAGCTGAATCTGAGCGTTTATTTAGTTCAGTTGGGCACATTTAAAACTGATTTTCGAAAATCTTTGAAGCCCGAAACTTTGAAAATCTTGGTTTCAGCTCAACGATCCTGATCCGAATCGGATCAGATTCAGACAATCCGGCAAACAAAACTTCGCATTGGATCACTTTCCAGACAACCAAATTCGATTTGACCAACTCAAATGCTGAACGGTAATGCATTTAACGCAAAAATCAAAAAGGCTTTACATTTTTTGACTGATTCAAAGGCGCTCAATGAATCGTGAAGCACAAAAATGAAAACCAAAAATCTTGCGGAAATTGCTTTGACTTTAGCTTTTTACATTTTTCTCGAAATCTTTAAAGAATTAAAAAAAATCAAGTTATTGAGAGACTTTTATGAAAAAGGTTACAAAATTAATGAAAATTTATATGAAAAATGATCATGACATGTACGACTTTTCTTCTTGACTGCTTTGAAATTGATAACAAATTTCTTATGAATCAACAAGCTTTCAATCACAAATGAATTGAGGAATTATGCTAGTGCTAAAAAATTATGCGTATCTCCAAAAATTATGCAAAACCATTCAAAAGTTATGCGCTAAAAAGTATTATGAAAATTACGACCAAAGAGAAAATAACTAACTAGGTAATAACAACCATTCAAATATCATTGGAATCAAATTACTTTGGAAGCAGTTTCGAGATGATCGAAGCCGTGATCGGATGCATGTGGCTAATGTTTGCCTAAAATTGATTTAAATTTCAATCGTTATCAAAGCAAACCTTGAATTGATCGATTGCACGAGTCTTGCTGAATGGCCACTCGAAAAGTGCTCTGAAATTTGAATATTGAGTCCTTTGGGAAATTTTCAAAGGATAGTTTTGAGTAATATAGAAGAAAATTTCTCATTACAAAATTAATGGCTGAACTTCAAGTCTGATAAGATAAAATCTTAATTACTAGCATGAAAGTATTCAGACGTTAAGAATGAGTGCCTTAAATTTATTTGAAAATCGATGTATAGGCCTTAACAATTGAATAGGATATCATTATTTGACTAATTCGAAATTTCAACTGGTTTTGCAGTCAGGCTTGGCTTAGGCTTTTAGAGCTTTTTTCGTAAACTTACTTGTAAATTGGTTTGCAGTATTTGAGCCGACCTACTGTTAGCACCCAAGCGAGAGCTGGAACAACCGATGGAGTCTAAAAGTCATTTCCTTTACATAAGCAATAATTCTATCTAACCCATTGATTCTCAATTCCCATCATCAGCCACGAGAACTTCAACTCGGAATTTTTCGATTTATCAAGATTGTACAATGAAGTGATATTGGTCAACTAAAGCTTAAATTTTGAATCAAAGCAAAAAAATTACTTTATCTTCGGACATCTTTCCATTTGCACGAATTACATCGATGACAGCCACCTGAATATTTCAATCAATTCATTCTTTGAAATGTAATACTTTTTGACTGCTAATCATTTTCTCAAAATCATCTCTAGTTGTTGGCGGACTGTCACTGAGCCAAGCCTCACTAAGACGGCGGCACATATCTCTCAAGGTTGAGTCGTACCTGAAAGTTTTGGTCATTAGAATCTTTCATTGAAAGACGTTATGGTAGCCAAACACTTATAATATTGTTCTAGCTAGTGTATGCGTACATTGGGCTGGGGAGTATGAAATGGCGGCATCTTCGGACGAACTTTTGAAAAAACTAAACCATAACTTTTTCTCAAATTTTTTATTAATAATAATTAAAGTTTTGTTGATTATACACGAAAATTTGGTCCCGATTTGATGCACAGCTTTTGAGAAATGAGAGATGATGTGTTAAAAAGTAGATTTTTGCATAATTTTCCCTTAAAATCCAGACCGCTAAAAATTTGCAACAACTTGCTAGGTTCAAAAATCGTTTGAGCCAATATGTTTGTACAAACCTGCTAACCAAAATAAACATAAAATTAGAATTTTCGAATAAGAACTTGTCACTTTTTGAGAACGGATAAGAGATTTTTGAGGATTCCAGGACTCAGACACGTCTTGTTTAAATCTTTAATTTTTATTATCGAACTTGATTTATTATTTTATAAAATAGTCGTTTTAACTGGATGCCAGTCGAGTATTTTTGCTACAAACATTGTCACGTCAAGTGGCAGCCAAAAATTGACTTTTTAATACATCATCTCTCATTTCTCAAAAACTGTGCACCAGATCGGGATGAAATTTTGGCTTATAATCAATAAAACTTCAATTGTTATTAGAAAAAAATTGAGAAAAAGTTATGATTTAGTTTTTTCAAAAGTTCGTTCGAAAACGCCGCCATCTCATACGCCGCAACCCAATAAATTCTTGATATCCTTTATCAACACTCACTTTGGTCGAACGGGTGGAATTCCGGGTGCAGTCAACCATTGATCCCAATCGATTTTGTTCAGCTCATCCTGATAAATTTTGAATAAACCATCAAAGCTTTTCAAACCGTTTTGTCCTTGTAAAATTCATATAGAGTAGAGCGCCAATCATCGGTGAAAATCGATTTGTGCGCATACTTAGCTGAAAATTGAGCTAATTGCAACTGTTGGCGCGTGGATTATTCTAGTTATTTCATATTTTTATTGGTAAGGTAATATTTTTAAAACGTTACCGATGTAAGCGCGTAGAAACTCCTCAAAACGAGCGTTATCCCCAAGCGTTTGCTCAAGGTGAAATAGGAAAGCGGATCCCTAGAAGAAAAAATTTAGTTGAAAAAATTATAGCTAACCTTTTCATAAGGGATACAAGAAAATGCGTCATCAGGATCAACTCCTTTTTGATTTTGAAGCAACTTTGTGTACTCATGAGTTGGCCCGAAAACTTTGTTGATCGTTGGCAGCATGTTGTCCTGAAACATTACTTGTCTGTTTTTTTTGCATAGCGAACTACCTCCCATCCGCATTCACTCTCGAATTGTCGGGCTTGTTCACCATACATCCGGCCGTGTATCTTTCGCTCAAGAAACACGGTGAAGCCCTCGTTTAGCCTTAATGGAGATAAAAGTTAGGCTAGTGGTAAACCGGATCAATTAAGTTTTAGAACAACTTACAATAAGATCCACAATTACAATAAGATCAAACTAAACTACAATCAGATTAGGCTAGGCTAAGCCAGTTGCGGTCAGGTCAAGTGATCTGAACAGATAAAGCCATAGTACAGGGTGCGTCATAATAAAAAAAATAAAAACCCGGACTCACTTTCAATACCCAAAGATGGTCAAAACGCACCAGATCCCTTGCATTTTCTGGTGATGGTGAATTTTGATGTGGTCTCCCGTAGCGGTGCCTATTTGCTAGTCGATTAAAGCTCTCAACTTTTTTATATGAGCTTCAAAAGTTGGGAGTCGCGCTTCTTCTGGCTACTCACTTTGGGTTTTTTAAGACTTGTTTCCTCCTTGAAGACTAAGATGATAAAATCTAATGGATTGCAAAAAAACACATTGATACAGATAAAAGAACTGTTTGCGAACTCGAGAAAAGGTCGGTAAAAAAAGATTCTTTTGAGGCTTGGAAGCATTTAATTCTCCATGATTTAACAAAACATTTTGGAAAATACAAAAAGTATAAACTTTTCAAGGAGGAAACAAGTCTCAAAAAACCCAAAGTGAGTAGCCAGAAGAAGCGCGACTCCCAACTTTTGAAGCTCATATAAAAAAGTTGAGAGCTTTAATCGACTATCAATTAGGCACCGCTACGGGAGACCACATCAAAATTCACCATCACCAGAAAATGCAAGGGATTGGGTGCGTTTTGGCCACCCTTGGGTATTGAAAGTGAGTCCGGGTAATTATGACGCAACCTGTAGACTAGGTTAGATCAAGGCTAGGCAAACTATTTAAGTCAGGCTATTATTGTTCAAGACAAGCGCGCTCAGATCAAGCCAGACTAAGCTTGAGCCAATCCCAGGCCTGACCTGGTTAGCTCATAGTCAAACCAAACAACTCCGTTGAAGCCGGTAGCCCAAATCAACATTAAAACTCTACCAGAAATGCTCCCAATTTGCATTAGTCACCAAATTTCCAGTCCATGAATGAGAAATCTCATGTGCCACAACGTTCACCAAAGATCGATCGCCAGCCTAAAAACTTCATGTAAGAAACTACCTTCATTAGAATCCGAACCAAAAGTGTTGGCGTGATAAAAGTCATGCACGGGTTCTCCATGCCTCCATAAGGGAAAGTTGATGGCAAAACCATAAGGTCATAGCTAAAGGAAAATAATTGAGCAAATAAGCTCTTTCTCACCGTCCCCATTGATATGGTCCAGCCAGATTCTCAGCGACAGTCAGAATTTTCTCGGTTTCTTCAAATTCCCAGTGTGCCGCATCGATTTGTGATGGCTCGGCCCAAACAGCACATCTAGAGAATTGGATGAAATAACCTCTTACTACTGGAGTATTGATTAATTCTTGTAAGTAAACAATTCTGTTCAAGTAAACCTTATTATTGACCATTCTATTAGGCTGTCCAGAGAGTCTTTTCCTTCCTTTTTGTACTTCCTTTTGAAAAATAACAATTTCATCTTATGATTTGCTTAAATAAAAAGTGTTTATTGTTAAATTTCCATCTTTTCAGGTCAATTTCGACTCACTTTCAAGCCAAATCGAGAGTGAAAACGCGTTTTTTCTTAAAAATCTATAAAAACCTCTATGAATAAATTGGCTAAACGAATTTCTCTGAAAATTGGCTTTATGCCTAACTTTTTATGCTCTATCTTTTATCTATTGACACAAAGATAGGTTTCCCTAGCTAACGTGTCTAAACCGCATCATCGAGCCGTCGCTCTTTTTGACTTCTTGCTCCCAAAATATCCAGATATAAGGCATTTTACCCCCGTTTTAATGTTATTTTGCAGAAAAATAATTGGCCTTTCTACTGAAATAAACCGTACTTCAATTGGTGTATTTGTTGGTTTTAAACAAAAGTACAAAAAGGAACGAAAAGACTTGTTTGCCAAACTGATATGAGTGCCGACAAAGACATACCTTTCACTGATGTCCTTCCTGACGATCTTGCCAACAACAATCGCCAAAAGATACGTTGGAATGGGTATCTAAATTTGGATGAAGTCCATTTTAAGGCTATTCATACCTTCTGTTCATAAAAAAACACAGCTCTATCACTCTCTTCTTTCACTTTATCACCAACAGCCGACATGACACAAGTTAAACCGGCGGGAACTGATACCTAAATCCGATTCTTTGTCTAACTTGTTATCGATCAACTCACAGTGGCATCATAAGAAGCTTTGGCAGAGGGAGTGTCCATGCTAAATGTTCGTGATGCAGTAACAAGTAAAGTTTTAGTACTAATTGGATATGAAATTCTTGACAAAAAACTCACCATGGCATCAACGAACGAGCATGAATTGCTTGACATTGAGAAAACAAGTAGGGAGCCAGCTTGTCTAAAAGTTGTCTAGCTTGTAAATTTACCCAGTGGACAATACCAGTTGTTTGTTCCGCTGACAGAAATTGAACGGCTGAGGGAGGCGACGATGTTGCGTATTCGATTCGAACCTTACTAAAGCAAATTGCAAGTGTTGAGTTACAATTAAGGCTTCTACAATATGCGTACGCACATAAATTTAAGTTTTAACTTGGTTTAAAGTGTTTGTTGCAAGTCTTAAATGCACAAGCAAAGTTCACAGATTGGAACGGTTAAGATTTTGAAAATTTTGATGCTTAAACTTGTCTACAGAGTGTGCCAAAAGTTCTGTCACCTCCCTAAAGTCGGCCAAGGCTCAATGAAAAATATCATAGAAAATAGTAGAACTTTTAAACTATCTAGTAGCGAAGTTCAATGGCATAGGTTGCTCCCGCAAAAAAAATAAGAGAGCTAGAAAATTTAGTACCCTATTTCTATCCTGAATTTTCAAAATTTTACCAAAAATAGATATTAAAATAATATTTTTTGATGCTATACCCCTAGAAAACTCATATTACATAAAGATTTATTTGCTGTCCAGCTTATTTAAAAAAATGAGGACCATAGATACTCTCAAAAAAGTTTATACTTGAAATTCCGGCAAATGGTCCGCGACCAAATGCCTTGTTTATAAATTTGTTACTAGTAAAAGATAGAATCTTCTAGGAACATTTTATTTGACGCTCTTTATCCGTTTTTATTCAATATTCATAAAACAAGCTCACAAAAATCCAAAGTCGATTGGTATTTGCCTTAAAATTTATAAACCCGGTAGTAACAGAACTTTTGGCGCACCTTGTATATCTATGTCTATATTAACTTTTATGTAATTTTATTATTTGTAGATTAACCCGGAAATTGTCACCCACCTTGTTGTGTCAGCTTTAAGCTCTGGCACCACCACTTCGATCTTTTGCCCGAATGGTGCATAGTCAGCAACGGAAAACTTCAACTCGTCTTGATTTCCTTCAAACCGGATTTTGGAAATTGTGAGTCCAGAACCGTCAAGAACCTATATGTTGGTCAATAAGTGTGAAATCTGCGAAACTTACCAATTTTGACGTATCCTTCTTCACTTTCAAATCAATGACCACATTTCCATGAATGAGCTCTTTGTCGAAATCGACCGTCCAACTAGTAAGTTTTGATTAAGATTTGAATTAAATCACTCACTTCAAAGAATAATGCGTGGGAAGGACTTCGTCGAAGTTTGAGCACGAGGCGGGATCCATCTGGAAGTTAATGGGTAGCTTTATAAAATCTGTAAAATCAAAACAAAACCATTTAACCTTACGCAATACCTTTTTAATCACTTTTTTAAAAATAATTATACACAAAACCCAAGAAGGTCGGGCCGATTTGATTTGGTAAATTTTGCGCGTTTTAGTTGAAAGACAATTGGTTAAGCAAAGTTTATGCGGCATGTGCAAAAAGATTCGAAGACAATGGAGTAGAAGGGAGCCGAGGGAAACGAAACAAAACAATTTTAGAAATCTAAACAGAAAACATGAGCGGAACAATATAAGGAATTTGGGGAGACAGGTAACCTTAAAACGCGCTACAAAAAGGAGGATAGATTTTACAGAAGTAGAAGGAAACTTATGCGGGATTCAGGACAAAAACTGGCTAACATTCAGGCCATAAGGAAATGAAGGAAAATGAAAAGAATGGCAAAAGGGGAATATTTGTGCGGGGTACGGTAGCGCATCCACTCTTTAGAAAGCGCGCCGCGCTGCTTTGCGCCAGTCCTTTTAAACCACGCGTAAAAAGGATTCGGTACTTTTCCAATATCGGGGGAGCGGTCCGATTATCGGGGGAGCGAAATGAAAATCAGGGGAGCAAATTTTGCCAGCGCTACATATGTCCTATATTATACAAATTACCACCATAAAATTCGCGAATTACCCGTTATTCTCACAACCTTTATATTAGATCACAAAAGTGATTTAAAATACCCAGCGAAATAGATCTTTTCCCTTTGAGCGGACTTCCATCAATTCGTCACAGTTGCAAATCCACGACTGGATGACTCCTTTGGTGACGAAATAATCGATTGCCGTCGATTCCTTAAACGCACAAATGTCGGAGAAGCGAATCGTCGTTAAAGTTTAAAAAAGCGTTGCAGTTAAAATACACTCCTGGAAATGCATTTTTCGTGGGGGCAAAATTTGCTCCCCTGATTTTCATTTCGCTCCCCCGATAATCGGACCGCTCCCCCGATATTGGAAAAGTACCAAAGGATTCTAACTGGGTACATGTAAAATCAAAATAAATCAAACAAATCAAACAAAAAACCGAAGATTGGATTAAGGCAAATTTAACTAAATGTTTGTTTTAAATGGTATAAATTCGTTTGCAAATAGGATTTTTTTGAAAACATAGTTTTTAGTTGATAGATAAGTAAATTTGTTGCCTATTTTAAACATTTAACCAGTCAAACGGTCAACAAAAGACGCAGAATGTTAAAAAGTAGACGAAAAGGACAACAAACTACACGATGTTTGAAAATTTTCTATCATAAAGAGAGGCTGTTGACAATTGGCATTCCTTTCTGTTTAATTGTCATTTCTATCTTTACCTTAATACTTACAATGTTTCTCTAAGCTATGAAAATGGTAATTTTTTTTCTTTTCTTTTGAATAGAACTCATTTTAGCTAAAGACTTCACATGCCGCAAAATGGATTCTGAGAAATACGAGAGTATCAAGCGAAAGTCTCACACAGTCAATAAAACTTCATTTGATCACAGAAGTAAGTTCAAATGTTTGAATATATAAGACAAAGAATGAGATCTGAACGTCTTACCCAGTAGTTAATGAGTAGCTGGATGTTTACAGGGTCATTCAAAAGTTCAGGCACAACTTTTTGTAAACGCAACTAGCAAATGTCTAACTTATTTCAGAAGTAAGTGTTATGTAGAGATTTGAAGTGCGAAATCTTGGCTACATTTACATACCAAAAGCTTTGAAATTGGAGTCACACAACTCATGTAAAAAGTTTGACAAGTTGTGACAAGTCCTTGATTGAGCACTACTCGGAATTACTCGGAATTAAGTTCAATGCATTTCTAGAGGTAGAGCAGCACATACATCAAAATCTGGATGCAAATTGAACACCAAAAACGCTTAATTTTCGCTTTTTTCCTGAGCTTCAAAATGAACTTGAAAACAAATTGAATTTTGGTTAGGAAAGTTTGACAAAACAGTTGAATGTTATTCTTATTCTTATTAAATGATAATAAATGTTACATTTTAATAAAATAAATAACAAAAAAGCTCTTTTAAAAAAATTTTTATAAAGAAAATCGTCAAAAATGCCGAAGAAAGAGACCGAGTAGTGCTCACTCAAAAACTTATCACATGAGACCCCAATTTAAAAGCTTTTGGTATGTAAATGTAGCCAAGATCCCGGGCTTCAAACCTCTACATAACACTTACTTTTGAAAGAAGTTAAACATTTGCTAGCTTTGCTGCTAAAAAGTTATACTTTTGGTACACCCTGTAGTGTCGGATTAGTTACTCGAAAGGGCCAAGTCTTGTATTGGGTTGATGGAAAAGTCCTTTCCGATTTTTTGGGAGAGGACCTTAAATTTGTCCAATTTTGACGTTTTATAGCTCATCCTTAAGCTGAATTCAAGACGGATCGATTGGTAAAAACCGTTTTGAGATATCTCTTTTTTAAAAGTTTTAACAGCTATTTTGGTAAAGGGCGGCAGAGCCAAAAAGTGGCTGTTTTCACGTTTCGTTAGTTTTCCGTGCAGAAACCTAGGCTAAAAACATGTGTTTCGTGATCGGCGTCAAAAATAACCCCTAGACACGCATTTTCAGAATCTTAGCAAAAAATTTTTGAAAAATATTGTCACCTGTGGAAGTCGAACCAGCGACCCTCAGATCAATAGCCTTTCCGCCGCTTTTCGCGATTTTCCTTCGTTTTTCTCTTTTTTTTTGTTCTGATTCTGAAAATGCGTGTCTAGGGGTTATTTTTGACGCCGATCACGAAACACATGTTTTTAGCCTAGGTTTCTGCACGGAAAACTAACGAAACGTGAAAACAGCCATTTTTTGGCTCTGCCGCCCTTTACCAAAATAGCTGTTAAAACTTTTAAAAAAGAGATATCTCAAAACGGTTTTTACCAATCGATCCGTCTTGAATTCAGCTTAAGGATGAGCTATAAAACGTCAAAATTGGACAAATTTAAGGTACTCTCCCAAAAAATCGGAAAGGACTTTTCCATCAACCCAATATTTGGATAAACCGCTCAATTAGTCAAAATCCAAGTCTTGGAACAAGTTTTTCTCATAGTTAATAACAATTTGCAAATAAAGCGTAAGCAATCTATTCTCATAAATCTACGATTCATGCATTTCCAGGCTTGTCCATTGTGGATGTCAACTCCCGAGCAATGCCCATTCCCTGATCCCTATTGGGCATTCTATTGGCCAGGTGGGCAGGCTTTGACAAAGTTCGTACTATCTAAAGATAGCTAAGGAATTCGCGAATATTTTATACCAAATTTCATCTCTTAGATTCATTCTCGAAAACCCCCGAAACAGTGAAAAATTATTCTGTGCTTGATTGGGGTTGTGGTTGTGGAGCCTCTTCAGTAGCTTCTGCGATTTCTGGTGCTAAAGCGATTCTCGCTAATGACATTGATAAAAGTTAGCAAAAGCTTGAACTTTAAAAATATCTATAATTTTAGATGCTTTATTAGCAACTCTACTCAATTATCGATTAAATCGAATTTCTCTCTCAAATACGGAATTTTCCTCTAGAAACTTCGTTGATGATGCTGGAGTCGAGGAGCTCAGAAAGTTTTTCAAAGTAGGTATAGATCTAGTTTTAAAACTTTGAAAGAATAATTTTGTGTTAGAATTATATACCCTAAAGTCGCGAGTATAAGTTCTGTTTGGTTTTCGCATGCAAATTGACGGCTGTCTCCGGTGCGGTGTGTCGAGGGTTCGAACCCCGCTGCAGCATAACTTTTTTGCTTTTTAAGAACAATAATAGAAGTAAATTTATTGAGGGTTATAGCAATTTTATGCTGTTATTTGTTGCTCCGGGCGTGGCTTGGCCCTGGCCCTGGCCGTGGCTCGGCGCGTCCGCCCTGCTCCTCTCCGGTGCTCAGTCTTATGGATCCCTCCGTGGCCTCTTCATCCGGCCAAAGTCCAGTCGACGGTCGAAAGAGATGCTTTCCAGCGTCTTCTTCAACACTATCGTCTGGATGTATCCATGCACATAACAAATAGCAATGGTGATAGGCCGTCACTGATAGGCTGTCACCCTGTAGTATCCCGCGCTCCAAGAACAATAATAAAAGTTTATATATCAATAAAAATGTATAAAAACCCAACAAAAAGAAATTCAAAGCAATTAAAGCGAATGTAAATTAAGGCAGAACTTATACTCGAGACTTTAGGGTAAATTAAAATTAAAATTTTCTATTCAGGATCCCGAAAAATCTTTGATTTTACTTGGCGATATGTTTTATGACAGCGACTTTGCCAGTACGGCTTTCAAATGGCTCAAGAAGTGAGTAAAAATTTGGAAAGTCGAATAAATTGACGAGGGAAGGTCAACCGGGTGTGATGGTCAAATGACACAAGCCATATTCGATGCCATAGTTGGCTTTCGATGCAGAATTTTGCGCTAATTTCGAATCTGCTTTCCGTTTTTGCAACGCAGCACTCTGTCAAAAGTTATAAAAGCTCAAAGTTTTGTATGGAATTTAAAAAATCATCCCTTGAGTTTAGTCAGCTAGAGTACAAAGACGATCTGATGCGGGAAATGGCTTCCTCACGAGTTAAGCAGTGCAAACGCTCGTTTATATCCGAACAACCTAATACATTGATCGTTAATCGTTAGTCAACAAGTCAAAGTGAATTAATACCAAATATATTATATAAATAACAAAGCTTGCAATCAAATTGTAAGCTTACAATTTAGGCTCAAACACTTGACAGGAGCGAGAGTTCTCGTTGGTGACCCGGATCGACATCCTTTAGCTGAACAACAGTATTTGGACAGGTTATTTTTATCCATTATCGATCAATTTATCAATAATTATCTTTATTTATTGTAATTCTTTAATGGTACTTGTTTAGATATGAAACAAAATTCACGAAGAGGTTGCTCACCGAATATTCCTTACCAGGCTATGTCACACGGGAACATTACGGCTTCGCAACTGCAAAAATTTTGGAAATAGATTTTAGATGATCAATAAATAGTTCTGGAATTGTCATGATCAATAAATAACTTTTTTAATTCATTCAAAGTACCCGATAACAATGAAAACTTATCACAAATATAAGAATAAAAGAATTTAAAAGCAGATCTGGATTATGAAAGCTCAATCATAACAAATTACGAGATTTCTAACAACCAAATGTCAAGAAAGAGTCTGATTGCAATGAATTGGACTTAATGGAATCTTGATGAGAACTCCTCGCACTGGTTTTGCACAATGGTGGTAGTATTTGTAGTGTGCGGTGTCTGGTGGGTAAAACGACCGAAAGAGTAGACTGCTTGAACTTTGATCAAATCTAGATGGCAGTAGATTGAGAGATCTCGTTTGAAAGTGAAAATAAATTGATTGAAATTTGATAAATGAAACTTTTTGCAACGAATTGTCACTGACCGATGACAGCCGCTTGCTGGCGGACTTCCACAATAAAGGACTGAACCAGATGGTGCAATGCATTCCTTTGTCAGGGCACAAAGAACTGCCCTGAAAGGAGATTTAGTGGTTGACAAGCATTTGAATAAACCATTTCAAAATCGTTTTGCTTGTTGGAGTTGCACGAAAGAAAAGCACTGCTTCTCGTTGACTTTCATTCCGGTATTTCCCAGGGAAGGGAATGTAACGACGCATTCCTGAAATTAGAGTGTTCCTCGCGAGTAAGTAATTACTCGAGTAAATTTGCATGAGTAACTTTTTACTCGAGTAATAACTCGAGTAATTGTCGAGTAATGCGTTTTCTAAAAAGTGCGCCTGCGCGAAAAAAATATAAAAGCAGGTTTTGTGGTAGGCTAGTTTCCGCAATTTTTTTTGCGCAACAGGGTCATTTGCGCGACTGGGTTGTTTGCGCAACTGGGTCATTTGCGCAACTCGCCATAACTTTCTTCTAAGTCGACCAATCTTTATGATTTTGGTTTCATTTTGTTGCACTTATTCAGCTCTACAAAATGAAACCAAAAGCATAAAGCATAAGCATAAAGATTGACTCACTTAGAAGAAAGTTATGGCGACTTGGGCAAACGACCCTGTTGCGCAAAAAAAATTGCGGAAACTAGCTTACTCGAAAACCTGCGCAAAAAATAGCTTTTATATTTTTTTCGCGCTGGCGCACTTTTTAGAAAACGCATTACTCGACAATTTGCTTTCAAAAGGTACAAGTATCAGATGTAGTGCAATTCTAGTACCGATTTTGGTTTCATTTTGTTGCACTTATTGAGATCTACAAAATGAAACCAAAATCAGAAAGATTGGTCGACTTAGAAGAAAATTATGGCGAGTTGCGCAAACGACCCTGTTGCGCAAATGACCCTGTTGCGCAAAAAAAATTGCGGAAACTAGCCTACCGCTAGGTTTTTCAAAAAAAAAATCATTTTTTCATTGGAAGGGAATTTCCCACCAAATCAGTTAAACGGCTGAGTATCTTTAAAAAGTGTCGTATAAAATGCGGAGCTCGTGATTTTTGCGTCATTTTTTTGCAATAATTTTTGCTAAAAGTACGGTAATTTTTCCCAATTGTGCGTTTTAAAAAACGCATTACTCGCGAGGAACACACTCTACCTGAAATACAGGGTGCGGCATAATTGCTAACCAAAGTTTTTAGAGAAACCTATTTTTCCATAAAACTTTTCACAAGAAATGTTATGTATTACCGTAAATACTGTAATAGTACCCCACCCCCATCGTACAGTCGCGTAGTCGCAAAAGTTTTTTAGTATTTCATTTTTTTCAAAGCGCCCGTACTTTCAAAAAATGCGTCTTTGGTATCAAAAAATAGCTGAAATTCAGGGCTATTTTTTGATACCTAAGCGCGCATTGTAGCATAAACTGGTGTCGAGAAAAACTCGTTCAAAGCTAGACTACGCAACGCTCCGCACCGTCATTATGGGAGTGGGGTCCAATTACAGTATTTACGGTATATCTATTTAAAAGCTCCAATTCTCAGCTATATTAACTCACAAAGAGTTTTTTGATTGGAAAAACTTTCGGCTCGACGTGGGCGCACAGCAAACACCGCTACCATTTTTCTCTATTCCATCAAGCTTTACTAGAAAAAGAGAGTTTCAAAAGAAGTTGTCTTTAGTTGAATAAAGTTTTAACGAGTCTATTAGTTTAAAAAAGAAAGCTTAACAGAATAGAGGCGAGTTGTAGCTCAAAAAAGTCTCCCGCTCTGAAGCAAGGCTCATTTTGTGGGGAAAGGAGAAAAACCGGGTATGTTGAGGGTTCAAAAATTGGTGACCAAAACATTTTTAACCTATCATTTTTGTGGAAAACTATTGAAATAAGTTTTTCTTGATAAACTATGCACAACTTTGCCGTTAAGAAATGATTCTTCAGAGAGGATTCTTGTCTAGAACACCAAGAAAAATGTTAGCGTGCCGAGGGGTGTTTACTGTGCGCCCACGTCGAGTCGCCTTAAGAATTCGAAAATTTTTCCAATCAAAAACTCTTTGTGAGCTAATATAGCTGAGAATTAGAGCTTTCAAATAGTATATAAAAAATAACATTTCTTTTTGAAAGTTTTTTGGAAAAATAGATTTTTCTAAAGACTTGGATCAGTATGCCGCACCCTGTAGACATGGGCACTACAAACTACAAAAGCTTTGAACTTGCTTCAAATCTCTCGGATTGACATGATCTATAGCTCAAAAAATAGAAGTTCTCAAGAGCTTTCGAATGAACCGAAGCACACCCAAAAACATCAATGCTAAAGAAAGTTACAGTGGTTTGTAGCCTGACTCGAAATAGACCGTACTCGCGCGTAGTCGAGTCAGGCTACAAACCACTGTAACGTTCTTCAGCATTGATGTTTTTGGGGGCACTTTAGTCCATTCGAAAGCTCTTGAGATCTTCTATTTTTTGAGCTATAGATCATGCCAATCCGGCAGATTTGAAACAAGTTAGAAGCGTTTGTAGTCAAACAGTCCGTCACTTTTGTAGTTTATAGCGTCAATGTCTACCCTGAAAGTAGAGTTGAACTTGAATTTGTAAAATTGATAATCACTCACCAGGATGAGTAAATTGGATTTCTTTCGCCACTTTTTGGCCAATCATGAATTCAGGAGCCTGAAAACGTTTTGAATTTGCTCATTCTAAACAAAAAGTTTGCCTTTCCATTCTTCACATCCAGATAAAATTGCTGTAGAACGGGCAATTGTTGAAAGACGAGCGATGTGTCGGCCATCCAGAACACATTATATGATACCGAGACTTCCTGGGGCATAAATTTTGAATGAAACTGACCAATGAGAGCACAAACTCACAGCTTCAATCATAACTTTAAACGCATAAGTGCCGAGTGTTTGTACATGAGCGGGATACGCTGAAAAGTTGAACTGACGTACTTCCAAATTGCACACATTTGCGAGTTCGGCTAACTAAAAATTTCAGAAGATTTGCTCATTTATAAAGCCAAAATTTCATGTTCTATGCTCAGAGCTTTGTTCTAAACGGAAAACCCAAAGGAATTCGGATCACTACATGCTATTACCGTAATTATTCTAATCGAATTTCGGTTGTCTTGGGTTGGTGAATTGAAAACTGCGGGACTTTGAACTAAAATTTATTCAACATAAAACCATCAATTCATTCCAAATAATCTCCATTATTATTGACGACCTCTGCCCATTTTACAGGCAATTTGCGGATTCCTCTTTCGTAGTAGGATTTTGGTGTGTGTGTGAGACAAGTGTGAGACTCAGAAATGGAGGACTGGAGATGTCCCAGTTTGAGCACTTTCTTCAAAAGAAATCCATTTTGGTGTCAATAGAAAAGTTGTAGAGAATCAAAAATTAGGGTTATAGCCAAATTTCCAAAAAGATACACTTATTAGTTTCGATTAAAATGCAAGTTTTGTGAAAATTCGTAAATTAGGCATTTCTTGAAAACCAGTTTTTGAATCGTTCTGAAAATTTGGATATAAGCTTAATTTTTGATTCTCTACAACTTTTCCATTGACACTAAAATGGGTTTCTTTTGAAGAAAGTGCTCAAACTGTGACATATGACAATACCCAGCAGTTTTCAATTCACCAACCCAATATATGTATTTTATGGCCAATCCAGACCGACAGAGATCTTTCAAACGGGTTGTTAGCATCTGTTAATCAGGCTAGACTGTACCTGTAGTGCCAGGCTAGACCTGACTCCTCGATTGACCCTGTCCTTGCCTTGTCTGGCCTGACTTAAAAAAGTCTTAAAACAAAACTGCAGGTCAGGCCAGAGTAGACAGACTAATCCAAGATCATATAACTATTTCAATTAATTACCCACCTCTCCTTTGTTCAATCCAATATCATAATAGATAATCTTGTTTTGAAACTTTTTCCGAAAATCTGTTAACATTTGACGACTTTCTGAGAAATGATTGCTCGATGAGTAGCTGATGAAAACGACTTCTTTATAGCTGAATTCAATTTGCTGACATAAGGCGAACACTCTCCAAACTTGAAATTTTTGATCTCCGTGTTTGCAATATCACTCTCCGTCAAATGAAATTCTTTCAAATATTTTAAAAGTGAACAATCGAACATTTCGCCAATGAGATTTTCAACTTGAAAGCAAAACTAGAAAAAGATTTTATCATAAAAATTTTGTTCAATTACCGTTTCTCCTTTACATTTACAGCTTTTCTCAGCGATTACATTTTGAGATGTGCCTTGTGAGGAATGATCGACTGACAATAGAAAAAGAAGAACAATGATAGATGCAAAGATGATCAATAAACGCACAGATTTTGATAGTCGGAGCCTGAAACCAATAGGTTTATCAAACCAGTTGCCTAGACCGAGGGCCGAAAGCTAAAAGCCAAGCCAAGAGTCAGCTCCTATGCTGGCTGGATTTTACTACAGGTTTGAAACCAGCCTTGAACCTGGTTTTTGGCTTATGTCTTGTGCCTAGCTTGACGTGCCATCCCTAAGTATGGATGGAGTATTTCTAGGAGTAAGCTAAAAAGCCAAGCCAAGCCAAGCCAAGCCCAGCCAAGCCAAGCCAAGCCAAGCCAAGCCAAGCCAAGCCAAGCCAAGCCAAGAGCCAGCTTCTCTACTGGCCAGTTTTTACTACAGGTTTGAAATCAGCCTTGAACCTGGCTTCTGGCCTATGTCTTGTGCTTGGCTTGCCATCCCTGATTATGGATAGAGTATTTCTAGGACGATCGGTACTTTTGTGTTATCTGGGGGCGAATTTTCCCCCGCAAATCCCACTCGCTTCTTTAATCACTTTGATCTTAGAGAGCTTGCAGCACTTGGGCTAAGCCTGATTCCCCTAGGGCTGAGATGAGTTTCGTACCGAAGCTACTTTCGTACCAGGAAATACAAGGCCCTTAAAACCTCTGTTATGAAAGTAGCTCCGGTACAAAATTCACCTAGGAGCCGTAGGAGAATCAGGCTTAACCCGGGTGCTGCAAGCTCTCTAAGGTGCGAAGTCAAAGCCTAGAAAAATAAACAACACTGAAAGACAGAAAATGTGAACGCAAACTATTAGAAATGAAAGAATAGAGTTCAAAATGAAAAAGTGAACGCCAAAAGTAAAAAAAAAACAAAATCAAGTAAGATCAAGCGGAAAATGAACGCAAAAGATTCCTCCCAGCTAATTTTTTTCTGAGATTTTCTCCTCCCAGATAACACAAAAGTACCGGCCGGCTAAACCAATTGCCTGATTTGAGTTGGATTTAACCAAAACTTAATGGTTTGATCTGCTTCAAGCCAGATCTGCTATTAAATCATCAAAATCATTAAACTTTTACCATTCCGGCCGCATTGAGAGTAAATCGTTGTATGTAAAGTAATAGAAATCTAGAAATATTAATTCAAAGCCCAAAGGCATTAAAAACTGAAGACCGTTGGAAAATTGTCAAATTTGCAAAAGTGTACAGCTGATGAATCGATTCAGCGCCAAAAAAATAAAATTAGATTATTTTGGAAGAATAAATTAAACAGCCGTAGATCTATTTCCAAACATTTCCATTTTCATTTCCAATTACGGGTGTGTAGCTATGGAAAACCGTCAGGAAGGGAGCTGGGTAACTAGGCAATGAAAGAAGGGAAATGGTTGTTCTTTCAGAAAGAACAATATTTAAGACAAAGACATCTTGGCATTATCAGCAAGTTATCAACATTAACAACAAGTTATTGGGTTGTCCAGTTATGAATGCGCGTTTTTTACTATTCTGTAAATTTCTCAAGATACCGAAATCAAGAAAAAGATATATATGAGTATTATTGGAAAGCTGAAGATCTCCTCTACATTTTGATATAAAAAGTTTTTGAATTTGTCCAGCTTTTGGGCAAATTGACTGCACAGAAGAAGAGGTGGCCAAAAAATGGAAGGGTGCCTTTGGATCAAGCTTTAGCTCCGCTCAAATTGAGTTAACCGTTTGATGTTTGGCCAATAGATATATCAATACAACTTTTTTTAAAATATAACAATTTCAGAGCATCTTTACTTTTCTTTTCTGGGCGGTTATTTTACACCATAAAACTTGAGGAATAGCTAAGCCGGAATGGGTTTTTTTTGAAAACGACCTCTCCCTTTGTGCAGTCAAATTCCCAAAAAGTTGAATGAATTCTAAAACTTTTGATTCCAAAATGTAGAGGAGATCTTCAGCTTTCGAATGATATATAACACTCATATACATCTGTTCGATATCTTGAGAAATTTACAAAATAGTAAAAACGCGCATTCATAACTGGACAACCCAATATTTTACTCCAAGTGTTTTAAAAACTCATTAATCCTTATACAGTAACTTTTAATAAAAAAAATTGATGCTACAGATTGCTGCTAAAGCTGATAGAGTTAAAATTATCAAAAGAAATTGATTTTGAAACAACTTACAGCGAGTGCTTGCTCATAATCAGCAAAATTAAATCTAGTTCAATAGGTTCAATCAAACAAAAACATATGTTCTGGTCAGAAACAGTTCATCAAACCACAGTCCTGAAGTCTGAAGCGACTGTGTCAACAGTTAGTTTTAAAAAAAACTAAAATCCATCCGGAAGTCACTTTGAACAATCCATATGACGAATTCTACAGGGCGCGCCATAATTGTCGCAACAAGGAATCAACAAGATAACTATCTGGCTCTTCTCAAGGATGAATTCTTGCCCTGGGCTTGTAAACATTTTGGAAATCGCATTTGAACTTATCAGCATCAGACTTATCACCGGTCCACAAATCCAAGAAAGTTCAAGTGTTTCGTCAAAACAATTTCCCGGACTTCATTTCTTTTTCTGAGTGTCAAAACAACTTCCCGGACCTAGCTCTCCTCAACCCAATGGATTTTTCAATGAGGTTCTAGAAGCCAAAGCTTGTTCAAAGCCCTACAAAAACATTAAAAGCTTGAAGAAATCATTGTTGAAAGCGTGGGAAGAGCTCGATCCAACCTATTTGGTCGCCACCGTGACGCCTTCCCGAAACGTCTGCGAGCTTGCTCAAATGGTGGCCGATTCAGATTTGATAGCTGATTTATAATTGTTAATGTACAATAAATGTATTCAGTTAAAACTTTGTCTTTTTTGCTCTTGTCTGCCTTAAAATCAGAAATTTATCTTGTTGCGACAATTATAGCGACTTGTTGCGACCAATACTTAATGTGTCATATCATTTACTTCTCAACATCGCCTTACCCCATCTTATTAGGTACTTGCAAAAGAAACTGCGGGTTCTTTTGCAAGTACCTAATAAAAAGATCTTAAAAATAGAAAATTATCCGTTTAAAAAGATTCCAAATATGCGCAAGATAACGTATTTTTAAATACCAAAAGACATGCTTTCAAAGTTTCTCTCACAAACAATAAGTTCAGCAACGCTGGTTTAGATCCGAACAGCCTAATAGATTTAGAGCTTTAGCTTTAAAAGTTTTAGCATCTGAAACAATTGAGTTAGGCTAGATATACTTTGACCACGTTAAAGTTGTCCCTAAAGTGACTCGATTCCTTTTTTGGTCACTCGCATTTCGCCCTCGAAATTTCTTCAATGGTTCGATCAATTGAAACACCTTTTAGCCTATTTTGTAGAAGAGATTTACAACTTTCAAATAGTTTATAACATTCATCGATATCAGGCTTCTATCGTTGGAAATTTATGAAAATGTTGAAATCCGCATTTCCTATGCATGTACACTACTGGACAATGAAATATCATATTTGAAAAAAGATCGTCACTTTCGCGCGTCTGTAACTCCCTTGTTTTTACCGTGTTTCTAAATATTAATATTACCATTGTGTAGCCCTTGAAAAGAGCTTTCAGAAAATGTATCACACTAATAGTTTAAACTCAAAGACAAGGGGGGTTACAGACGCGCGAAAGTGACGATCGTTTTTCAAATATGATATTTCATTGTCCAGTAGTGTACCTAATATTTAAAGAGAAGTAAAATAAATTTGGTAGAATATTCCATTATAAAAATTCCTTTAAAGAGTTGTGACTCTCAAAAAAAGGGTCAAAATTCGGTTTTTAAGCTTATTTTCAAAAATTCTTTTAACAAAGAGTACCCAACGAAAAAACCTAATTTGTATCTTTTTGTACACTTTTTACCTTTTTGAAACGTCTACATTCTGCTCAAAAACGATGACTGCAGAATTCTTCTTATATCGTTAAAAAGAGAAGATATTGAGGTTTCTAAAGATATGAATCAACTTGGATTCAATCTTTACTTACACTATACACTATGCTATCATACTATTGGGTTGATGCATAATTATCCGGACTTCTTTTATAAATGATTTTATTTAACAAAAAAAAACATAAATAGTTAGAAAAATATGTTTAATTGATTATTCTGGAGCATATTCACCGCCTACATCAATAACTGATTGCCATTTGCTTGGAAGACGATCGATTCCACGAGCGAAGAATAAACGATCTTTGGAGGCAATCCACGCTTTAACATCGTCTATCAAGTCATCCAAATCGTTGTAGATCTTATTTGTTTGCCAATTTTTGAGCGATCGATTGACGTGGTAGTCCGTTGGGGCTTCTCCAGTTCTTTGAGATCGCGAAACGACTCTGCGGCAGACCATCCCTTTTCGAAGTGGTAGAGCATGATATGGCGAAGATGGATATGATTGTCGACACGCATTTTGTTCACTAAAGAATAACGAATATTTTAAAAAAAGAAATAGACAAAAAGCTTTCAAAACAAAAAAGATACAAGCACGCAAAAAGAAGTCCGGATAATTATGCATCAACCCAATAGTATGATAGCATACCTTAAGCACTATCGCCTATGCTATCATACTACTACCATCATACTACAGTCGTTGTATGATGGTTTTATGACTTGCGGCTTCTTTTCCAAGTAACTAATACAAATCAATTTTTTGCCCGGTTTAATTAACCCGGATGGAACTTACTCATTACCTGGATGGAACTCATTATCCGGATGGAACTTACTCATTTTCTGAACAGTGTGTGTGTGTCAAGCGCCGGCAAAAGAACACACAATTCAATATGTTAAAGTACCCTATTGTCAGATTAGCTCATGAAATTCCTCAACAACAAAAGCTGGATTCTTCAGAAACACTTTTATCGTTTTCTAAGGAGATTTTACTATATAATCCATACTATATAATTCATATCATGCCCGTAAAAATGTTTGTTTTTGATTCTTTTTTGTTTTATAAACCGCTAAACGCAAACTTTATCTTGCATTTCTCTTCAAAATCGACAAAATAAAGCAAAACATAAAAACAAATCATGGAGAAATAAAGCTGACCGTAGAGTCTAACAAGCATTTTTTAAAGGGAATTACTGTACAAGAATATATGCAAATTACGAAAAAAAAAAGTCTTCGAAAACCTATCTTGCACATTCAATATACAGCACATTTAACTGAACCAATCTAAAAGAGCCGTAAAAATTGGAGTTAAAATTCGAAAATCTAGCATCAAGACACCGTAAAAAGTTGAAAAAAGTTGAAAAAGATTCTAGAATTAAAATATTTCAAATTGAGCACAACAAAAATTTGGGGAAAAATCCCGTATTAAAGGAATTACGCAAACAAAAGAAATTCTTTTAGAGGCACTCAAGAAATTTTTGGAGTTGAAAGAACAGAATTGGAACGAGGGTTTTGAAAGAAATTGCCTTTTTGCTAAAAGATTAAAGAACGGTAAGATTTTCAAGTTTTAGAATAGCGAAATGTTACTTTTTTTCAGAATACAGTACACTACATGACTATGAACTAGGACGAGAGGTTGGAGGCGCCGACTTCGCTATGCTACCATTCTCATTCGGCGACTGTTGGGCGTACATGTCCTGAAAAATGACATCAGTATTTTGAAAGTTTTGTGGAACTTTATTGTAATACCGGGTACAGTAATATTTGTTTATATTTTAAGTGTTAGACAACTCATTATACAGACAGAAAATACAGTACCAAGGAGCCTGAGCTTATCCTTTGTAGCTCTATTCAGTCTAATACTATCATAGGTATTGGACTTACTTAATTGACCAATAAGGCGATCAATTGGTATCAATAGTGATCATTATCTGTAAAAGATCAATAACCAGATCTAGTAGGTACAAAAAGCTAGGTTGGTGCGCCACTTGTGATTAAATTTCAGTTACCGTATTCTCTAATAGTAGTGCACCCCGGCGAGCCGAGTTGATAACTATTTTACGGTTTCCAAGTTTTCCCAGGAGCTCAACACTCTAATCCCCCACAAGATCTCATCGTCAGCTACATTTTCCGACTCCACATCGATAGGTTTTGATATATTTGATTAGATTTTTATTTTAATCATCAATCTTTATGGACAAAAGCATCCCCGTGCCAGACGCTTTTATTTACGGAGCTTCTAATGGCCTTAATTTTTCTTATAGTCAAGCTAACGGGCTAAAAATTGGAATATAAGTGTAAAAATGTTATAAAAAAGAAATTATAACAAACTTTAAGTAATCTGACACATTTTCTGCTAATGCTAATGCTAAGTTGGTGCGCCACCTGTGGTTAAATTTCAGTTACCGTATTCTCTAATAGTAGTGCACCCCGGCGAGCCGAGTTGATAACTATTTTACGGTTTCCAAGTTTTCCCAGGAGCTCAACACTCTAATCCCCCACAAGATCTCATCGTCAGCTACATTTTCACCCCACATCAATAGGTTCTGATAAGCGCTTTTCGAGATTTCGAGCAATTTAGGTGACGCTCACGGTGCACTACTATTAGAGAAAATACGTTATCAATGACAATGACAATGATCAATGACAGGTCCAACAGCTAGACGCATCAGAGAGATGACTTCTTGCTTCAGTTCAAACGCCACAAAGCACATGTCTACTCATTGTCAGTGTGTAGACGTAATTCTTTAACTAATCAATAGTACTACTTGTCTACTTTAGTTAAAAAGTTACTAAAAGTTTGCTCACTTGTAGAATGCCGCCCAATCTCGCCGTCTCGTCGAGCTGTTTCCTATACTGTTCGACGAGATTCTTGATGAGTAGTTGTGCCTCAGAAAGTCTCGATTCAAGAATCAATTTCTCGCTTTCAAGCCTTTCTATTGTTGGGTTCACGTCACTCCATTTGGTAATCGGCGTCCTAAATGGGTAGAGTTAGCCTTTGAACCAGTCACACCATCAAAATATAGAATTGTTCCACTTATCGAAACTCTACTTTACGAAAGCAATGATAGAAGCAATGCATGCTGACCTACGCCATTCGGCTGTTTGTTGACTATCCTGTGAGCCACCCATTGAGCATTTATAACGAGCTGATGAGGAACCGTTTTGCATTGAGAAGAGTACTCGTAGCTCAGCCACCTGAAAATTGGCTTTGCAGTTTAATCTAGAAAAGTTCAGGCAGATGTTCTTACAATTAAATCTCCTAGTTTTCTTTTAGATGGAACTTTTCCAAGGTTTTGTAGCATTTTGCGTCAGGACGAGTTTCAAGTAAATAATATTTACATTTACCGTATTTTCTCTAATACTAGTGCACCCTGAGCATCGCCTAAGTTGCTCGAAATCTCGAGAACCGATTATCAGAACCTATCGATTTGGGGTCGGGAAATGTAGCTGACGATGAGATCTAGTGGGGGATTAGAGTTGTTGAGCTTCTGCAAAAGCTTGGAAACCGTAAAATCGTCATCAACTCGGATCCTAGCATCTGTAAGCCAGGCCAGGTCAGAGTTTAAGTCTAGATACTTAAACAAGTAATCTTGAAAAGCCCTTATCAAAACCTATCGATGTGGGATCGGAAAATGTAGCTGACGATGAGATCTAGTGGGGGATTAGAGTGTTGAGCTTCAGCAAAAGCTTGGAAACCGTAAAATAGTCACCAACTCGGCTCGCCGGGGTGCACTACTCTTAGAGAAAATACGGTAAATAGACTTTTTATCTTACTTTTTCTTTTGCCGCTTCCAGTCTGCCCTTCAACTTTCGAATCTCTCGCTTGAGCACGATTTTATCCTAAAGAGAATGAATTTTATGAAATGAATGAATTCGAGAATGAAATTTTAACCTTTATTCAATTATCTCTATTGAATTTCTTGTAAATTTTTGTCACTCACATCACTCAAACTTCCAGCCGAACTTCCAATATCCTCAATTCCACTTTCGGCTGTTGTTGTGTCTCCAGTGCATGTATGATAGAGTTCCCTCAATCGTGCATCCACCAATTCACATCGTTCACAACGAGAGCTCATTGATGACATGCTCTAAAATGAAAAAAGTGTTTTCGAAAGTGTAATGTCAAGTAAAAATTACTAGTATTACTTTGTGTTCAAAATTTAAAGTTTTTATTAAAATATACCCTTTGAAATGGCATATGATGATGTCTTTTTTCTACTCCAAGTCTCGGGGAGATTTGTTCAAAGATGGACGTGCTCGGATCGAGATTTCTAAATCACAGAGTAGAAAACAGATACTTTAAACAAAAAAACAGCTTCTACAGGATGCCGTCACAACTACCTGGAATCACTTTTGCTAGATCATAGATGCGGTAATGCAACCGATCTCAAAGCCACCGGAAAAAATGCCATTTGATGGCGTTTTATGCTCGTTTGTTAAATGTAGCCACACTCAAAACGCAAACTATACATCAATTATTGATTCTTGATACATTATTTTGTAAAAGAAAACAAATTTTTAAACAATTTTGGCATATTTGATGACCTAGAACCCCAAAAACGAGTTGCGACCCGACCAATGTGAGACTCGAACTTTAGTAGCTTCTATAACAAAACATCAATCGCTTAGATAATGAGCACCGCTGCATCAAAGCATCTTCTATAAGCATCAAGCGCTTAGATAATGAGCACCGCTGCAGGAGATCATGTCACAAGTTTATTCCAGAAGGAATTATTGAGATCGGTTGCATTACCACTATGGTCTAGCAAAAGTGATTTTGGCTAATTATGACGTACAAAAGCCATCAAAATTTTGACTCACTTGTACTTCTCAATCAGCGCCAAGAAGTTGTTAGTGTTTTTGTCGATCAAGACAGAGCTTGTGTGTGCGCGGACCTGGAAAGGGTTTGAATCAAACATTAGTAGATAAATTTAAATATACAAGTAAATATTGAAATTGTAAGTCTCACCTGATTGCGGTATTTGTCCCTCATCTCGGCCAGCCTCTTCTCATAGCCGTTTCGTTGACCTTCCAGGGAAGATTCGAGCATCTGAAAAGTTTGATAGATAAAGTTAAGGTATTGATTGATAGATGTTAAAGTATTGATTTAAAAAAATTAAAGGATTGACAGATTGATATTAAAGTATTGATTGATTGATATCAAAGTATTTATTTAATCGAATTAAAGTATTGACTTAAAGTAAATTAAGTATTGATTGATATTAAAGTAGTGATTTAATAGAATCAAATTATCAATTGACTGATTGATATTAAAGTATTGCCTTAAAGTAAGTTAAGCATTGATTGATTGATATTAAAGTCTTGATTTAAATGAATTAAAGCATTGATTGATATTAAAGTATTGATTATTATCATTTCAAACATTAAACATTAAATACCCACCTTGATTTGACGCTTATATTGCTCGATGGCGGCCGGTCCCTCGCTTTGTGTGGAGGCGGATATCCGCTGGAGTTCGGACTCAAAGTCTTCCTAGAAAAAATTGATTTAAATTTAACAATGACTTTCAAAACAAGTTTAACGCTAACTATAAGTATAAATCTCAAATCTCACTTGTAATCGAGTCATCAACTTCATTTTCTCGTTTGCAAACGATTGCTCCAACTGAGATCTCTCACCAGATATTCGAAGCTCAAGTTGTCGTTCGTATCTGAAAATTTTAAAACTTTTTAATCCCACTAACAAAATCTGTAGCTTACTGAGAATTCAATTGTTTTTCTTGATCGTTTAACGCTTCGGCGAGTGTCTTGCTAGCGGTAAGTTTCATTTGGGCGAGCTCTCGGCGATGATCATCCTAAATCAAAGCTTTATTCCGTAATTTATCACAAAATATTACCAAATTTCATATCAAAAAGCTTCTGCAAGTATTTAAAGCCAACCTGCAGTTTCCCGACTCTATCCTCCAGCTGTTTGATCGAATTCTTGTGAACAGTTGAACTCGAGTGACTTTTCGGGATCTTTCCTTCAGTAGAGGTGGATGAAGAGGCATCTAAAACGAGATAAAGATTTAAATTTGTCCAAATTTCTAGAACAAACCATCTTGTTGTATAGACAGCCGAGCCAAAAGTCGTTCATGTCGCTGTTTTCGTTCTTTTCGTTTCCTCAGCCTTCTTCGTCTTACTCGAGCAAAGATTGCCTCTGGCTCACTGTCCATTTCGGAGAGAGTATCACCCCGAGCTACTCGTCGTTTTCGGAACATCATTACCTAAGAATAATATTAAATCAGGCTATATTTAGATCTTTAAGATCCGGTAATATCTGGTAATGTAATTTCTAGATCGGACGTAACATATTTGTTACGCTCGAATCCGAACTAAGCCCCTGACCGCGCCACTTTGGAGGGGAAATAGAGAAAATCCAGAGGAGGGGAAATAGAGACAATCCTAGACAAGAGTTTTTTAGAGCAAGACAGGTAGATTCTTAAAATGAAGCTAGCTGTGAAGTTAATTTCATATTTTTTTATTAAATTAACTCCATAAGTAGCTTCACTTCAAGAATCTACATATATTGCTCTACAAAATAAGCTATTATAGGCTATTTTTGGTTCACATTTGAGTCACTGACAAATAGCTTAGAAAAGTGTTAAAAAATGTCGGTTTTTTTGTTTAATAGAAAAGTTATGCTGAACAAAATTTGTTATATTTAAACCTATAGGGAGTTTTTCTGCATCAAATGGTACCAAATTTGTACAAAAATATTAATTCTGCGCGATTTTATGCAATTAATTTGGATTGGGACGTAATTTATATAAAAGAGCAGTGTCTGTCTGTCTGTACAGGCATTTTCTCGGCCGTGTTTTGACCGATAAAGCTAAAGCTTGTTTAGAAAACCTTAGAATATATTGTAGTTGTGTCATTAGAAATAAAAAATATAAAAATCAAAATTGAGTGGGATTACGGGGGGTCGAACCCGGGCCGTGCGGACCGTGTGGGTCGTAGACAAGAGCGCTCCCGACTGCGCTACGGCGACAAGGACTAGCCGCAAAACATCCAGACAGAAAAACCCAAATTTAGGGGGTTTTTCTGGTCGGTTTATAAACCAAAATCCTACAGCCAACAAGCCACTCACTTGTGATTTAAAAGCCGACGACCATTTGGTAAAAAGTGGATTCACATCCCTCACCGCTTTGTTCTTTTTCTGATTCAGCGACAACTCTTGCACTTTCTCTCTCAACCTCTAAAATTCTCATAAATTTAAAGAAAACCATCTGCTTTTGCACGAACTTTGTTGTGAGCAACTAAAAGCTCGGTTTTTTGCTTCCACATGAGAACATTTGCGTTGTCATCTTGTGGTCGAGGTTGCATCGCCTGGAAAAAAAAAGGGAATGGATTGAAAAGTTGATGGAGTGCTATGCTATATTCCTTTATTATTCTATTCGATAAATCACTGTTTTATGTTACTAATTTGTCTATTAATCCTTTTCAAATCAACCTTTGATAGCTCTGTCCTCAGTTGTCGATTGAGCTGCTCGAGTTGAGAGATCGTTTCGGTGAATTCTCTAAAGTTTAAGAATTTAAGTAGTTTGTTATTTGTTATTTGTTAAATTGACAATTTTAACATTTTGTCAATTATTAACAATTAAAATATTAGGTGTGTGAAAAAGTAATCGACGTTTTTTATTTTTATTTTGTTTAAATAAATATATCTAAACAATTTTTAATTTTTTGTTAACGATATATATATCGTTTAAAAGCTTATTTTTTTCCTCTTTCGAATGATATATTCATTTTGTTAAAAGGACGACAATAAACTACCTTCATTTTAGTTTGAAAATGGTATCCACAAGTATCGTTATTCGGTCAAATTTGCTTTATGAGTTCAAAAATGGGTTGAAAGCTGCGGAGGCTGCACGTCGAATTCGGAATGCGTTTGGCGAAGACGCCGTTATTGATGATACCGCTAGGTTTTGGTTCCAACGATTCAAAGGTGGTAATGAAAGCCTAGACGATGAACCACGTGGCGGTCGCCCTGAGACCTGTTCGGATGACCAAATAAGACGCTGTCTTCTCGAAAACCCTCGTTCAACCTCTTCAGAAATAGGCCTTACATTAAATTGTGATGGGTCAACCGTAACGCTTGAATGCCATGAATTTTATCAAAAAGTTGGACAAATGGAAACCGCATAAACGTTAAAAACGTGGATTACTTTTTCACACACCTAATAGTTTTTTATTTGTTAAATTGAAAATTTTAACATTTTGTCAATTATTAACAATTAAAATAGCTTATTTTTTAACTACTTACGTCATATAAAGTGTCATAGATTGATCTAGCGATTTCATCTTGTATAATTGTATAAATAAAATTAATTATAGAAATTTATAGGCTCAATAAAGAGCCAAATGTTCAGGATCTCTTTGCAAAAGAAATGGAAAAAAAAGAGGGTGAGTTTTTGTGACAAGGTGGTGCCAAGATGAATGAGAGGATCGAGAATGAAAGATTGCTCAAAAGGGGAAAGAGGGAGTCACCTGTGACACTCAAAACCCTTTTACCCACCCAACTTTTGTCGTAGCAAAAAAAAGCAAAAACCTAAGCGAATCAAAAGATTTGTAGCCTGTCATAGAAGATTTTTCCTAGTCGATCACTCATTTCGAAGTGGTGGACAAGGACAACTCTTTGGTCAGAGAAAGTGATTGGGATCGGAAGTGGACAAGGATTTGAAGATTGATCAGTTTCAAAGGAAATTCTCCATTACTACTTAACTATTCTAGAGGCTTAAGATAAAAATCATTATTAAAAAGAAGTTTGGAGTCACTTTGACTTGGCTATGTAAGCTCAATCCAATCCCCGATCACAGGATTTCCCCCAATTGCTGGTCAGAAAAAGGCAATTTGAACAAATTTTTCTGAATTCAAGGATTCATTTCTAACAACTATATGAAGTTATCAATTTACCTAGCCTCCTCATTGAGTCTACCGCATTGCCTTTCCAGCATCGTCATCTTATTACGCATCGAGGCTTCAGATTGTTTACTTCTTGAGAGATCATCGTCAAGCTGAAACAATTGATAAGCAAATTTTCGTAATTGTTTTCTTAAAATGTATGTTTAGTGTCAAAATATAGCTGAGATTCGTGGCTATCTTTTGATATCTAAGTGCACACTGTAGCATAAAACGGCGCTGAGAACGAGGCGGTTAAAGTTAGAGTACGTGACGCTCCGGCCGTCATTACAGGAGGCTTCTATTAGAATAATTACGGTATTTTAAACTGTATAAAAGCCACTAAAAGTCACTAAAAGCCACTAAAATAGCTAATACACTCACAGGGAATTCTATTAGAATAATTACGATATTTTAAACTCTATAAAAGCCACTAAAAGCCACTAAAAGCCACTAAAAGCCACTAAAAGCCACTAAAAGTCACTAAAAGCCACTAAAAGTCACTAAAAGCCACTAAAAGCCACTAAAATAGCTAATACACTCACCTTATCAATATCATTTTGCAAATCTCTCTTCTCTTGCCTTGACTTCTCTTCGACTTGACCCAATTTCATTTTGAAGCGCTCTTCGGTTTCGCTAAAGTTTTAGATGTCTAACTTTTTAAATTCCAAGCCAATTACCGTAATCTCGACTCAAAAGCTTGTTCGATCGAAAGTTGATTCTGTTCGAGTTCCTCAATTAACATCGTTCGTCGTTGATTTGCGAGTTGAAGCTGCTTTTGAAGGTACTCGGTCTGTGTTTCGTTCTCTTTCACACAACACCTAAACATTGTTTGTTAATTGTAATCTATTGATTTAAAACAACAATTATAAAGTTTAAAACCTACCGCAAATAATCGATACAAGAGTGCAAAGCGATGATGGCGGTTTTGACGGCTACTGGAGCTTCAGCAGCCGCATCGCTGAGCTCTCGTTCCAAAAATCCAGAGAGAAAAACGGCGTTCACTGTGCCAGCGATCGGTTGACCACATTGCTAAATATTCTCAATTGAGTAAGCCAGAAGGGAAATGTTTACAGATATTGAATATTATTTTAGCCTTATCTGTTTTGTCTATTTGGTCTGTAGTTAAAGCAAGGCGAGAAAAGAGAGACTTTCCTAACAACACCAAAATCAGCCGGATACCCGCTTGTCCTTCTCTTATATGATTTTGTCCTAATAAACCGTTACCTATCTAATTCCAATTCTAACATCAAATCGCAGGACAACATTGCTAAGGTTGGTGGTGCTTACATTATTATACAATGGCACCCTCTTCTCAGTCCGAAATGAGTAGGAAGCGGACAGCTGGGAAGAGTCTAGTCTTCAAGGAAAGCCTGGTACGTACGTGGGATTTAAGTGAGAGAGTTTAGCTACACCATAATTACTAAACCTATACTTTTGTATCGATTTGGTATACAATGCAGATTTAAGCCTTATCTATTTTGTCTATTTGGCCTCTATAAGCACAAAGTACGAGCTGAAAGTGAGTTTATTTCCCAACCCCCAAAAACCCCCCCCCCCCCCCCCCCCCCCCCCCCCAACACACCCAAACAAAAAAAAAACCCCCCCCCTCCCTTCAACTTTACTTTTGCATCAATCCCTCTATTTTTGTGAGCTCTCATTCTACCCAATCCAATACCCATTCTATTCACGCAATCATCTCCCGAAATTAGCTTGGTTTTGACATATTTCCTATTGCACTACAAAGAGAGTTATGGACTTGTTAGAGCAAGAGAATTGCCTCCCCGCAGAACAGCGAATGCCTCGAAAAGCATTTTCACATGCCCATTGTTTTTTTTGTGTCTCGATATTGGGTGACCTCAATTTGGTGAATAATTTGGCAGAATTTGTGGAAGATTTGTGAGGATTGAAGGTCAAAAAAAGTCTTTTCCACAAACCTTCAAAACGGAAATCCCCTCATCGATCCTCAGCCCCGCCTTTGACCAATACTCGAGCAGATCTTGACTGTCAATGGTACTGAAATTTTGAGGATTTCAGTGTTTGAACTAAAAAGCAGCAAATAGAGTTCTTCTAAACTCTAAAAATTATTCCCTTAGCTTGTCTTTCTGAGTTTACACTAAAGGTTTTCTAGAGTCAAAAGCCAAGCCAAGCTAAGGTTATGGCTTACTCTTTGGCTTGACCTTGACCTGGGTTTCACACCAGTAATTTCATACAAACGTTTCTTGAGTTTACTACTACAAATTTTTGAACTATTTTCTTACTGTTAAAACAATTTCTTGATACTTTTCGCAAATTTTTGGTGCTATAGTAGTTCAACGGGGCCAGTTTGTAAACACCGGCCTTTTCCCACTCGCCATTAGTTTTAAAAACTTTTCTAGGGCAATTAATTAAACTGAATCCATTGGAAGTATTTATAAACCATTCTGAACAAGTTTTATGCCAGTTTTAGCAACAATTCCAAGCCTTCAAGGATGGCTCTATTTCCACTGGGTGCGTGGTCGAATTAAGAGGCTTAAACCTGATTCTGGACAACTTTTATGCTAGTTTGAGCAACAATTCCAATCAACTGCTTGAAATAAATAGAAAACAGTCAATAAAGCTTAAAGAAATCTACAATTAAAGACTCTA